GCAGTCTTTTTCGAAGCTAAACGAAACGTTGGGAGCCCAAGATATCAAACAATCCTCGGTGTGGCCTTGGCGGTACGAGACTCGCTGATTTTGAAAGAAAAATTCCGTTTAGCTATCGATAATCGATATTGAACAACCGAAGTCACTGAAATGTTGTTTACAAGGAGAAATCAAATAGAGAGAGAAAATAACGGCGGGCTAATAATTTAAGTGGTGACATCTGAGCCATCAGCCAGTAAATTACAACAGACATTTTATCATAGGAGCATATGACCATATGTTTCTTGACAGAATTCTATTGGAAACAGGTAAAAGGGGTGGGGATTAATAAAGGTACACAGCGGAGGTATATTAATGCAATCATTTCGCGACTCAACGAATGTCTAGGGCACACAAAGCTAAAAAGTTATTGCCAAAGTGCTAAGAATTGGGAACACTGCGCTCTAGGCTAAAAATAAAGTAGCAGAGTCTTAACAGTTCCTGGAGGTCTTGTGGCATTTGCATTGTTGAAATCCTAATACAGGGTCAATATTGTTCAAACTTTTAAGGGCATTGAGGAAAATACCAATCTGCAAGTATAACATGCAAAAATGTAATTGCTCAGCTCATTCGAAGAGTTAATAAAGAGAGATCGAAGCGGAAGCAAAAAAGTCGATACCCCCGTCATTACCAACCCGTCTCACCCATTTTATACTACTTTGTGCAAAAAAAAGGTCTATAACTTATTACTGTAGCTAAAATTTCTTGAAAATTTGCTGACTCTATAGGATTCACAAACAATAAAAATATTTTCAAGGATCATTTGCCTATATGCATTTCAAAAAGATGTTGCATCAACGATTAGGAAAAATTATCTTAAATTTTAATCGACCTCTTATCGTTTCAAGGAATGAGAGGAACATCCCTTAATTTCCATCGAGAAAATCGCATCAGAGTCTACTATACCCAGTTTTTTATCAAAATGAATGAAATTTCAGCATTTTGCCGTTTGCATTGTGTGACAAATCGCATCAGAGTCTACTATACCCAGTTTTTTATCAAAATGAATGAAATTTCAGCATTTTGCCGTTTGCATTGTGTGACGTCAAGAACAAGCTGTGGCTGAGCTTCTGCAAAATGAAATTTTGAACAACGTTTTTTCTCAAAATCGAGGATTTTTAGCGATGTGTGGATGCTTTGTCGGCGAATGTTCAAATTTGTCGGCAAATTAAGGCTGTCTCACTCACTTTGTTGGCAAATGAGGCCTGTACACCACCCTAGAGCGAAAAAGCTAGCACTCGCACTGCTTACACCCTATTCGATTAAGAACAAATTAAGAACAATCCAGCCTCAGATTTTCAAAAAATTAAGAACAGTCAGCCTGAACTTGAATTTACTGGTTCTTATAAAAAAGAGTGTACTAAGTAACTCTGTGTTGAGAGTAACTGTCCCTTATTTGAAAAACCATCCAATTGGGCCTTAAGACCCATCAGCAAAACAAAGTCTCTTTAGAACATTGAGAGAATCGTCAGAAAAAGCCAAGACAGATTCCCGAGATTTGCTTACCTTTCTGCCTTCTTCAAAATAAGCAGGGAAACACCACACATACAAAAGGAATCTGATACTAATCAAACTTGAGTTTTCCTTGAAAAGTTCTAGAAAACATCGCAAAGATCGACGGCAAGATCTTTGCCACCAATGCGACCGTATTACCAACACTTAATATGTTACTTCTAAGGCACTCAGTGGTCGATGGGCTTGAAAATACAATTTGTCATTTGCAGCCTAAAGAGGACATGCTGCCTAAAATAACCACACATCAAAGCCACTTCACAGCCAATTACCTCGAGAGTTTATTAAAAAGTGGTCAAATTACTCGCATCGAGACAGATATTACTAGTATCACATCGTTAAATTTTTGTATCAGCCAAGGTCAAGGACATATTAATTCCACTACTTGCAAAGTTGAACGTCGTTTAATATTGTTTTTCAAGTGGGTGCTAAATCACTCTGGAAATCTTATTAGGGCAAACTCTAAACAAAACTTAAGCAGTTAAGATTGTCTTAATAATACTTTGATTCAGATTAGAAAATGGGGAAACCCCTGCAATTAAGGGTATGAAGCATCCAAATTCGACAATTTGCATAGCTAAATGCCTTTTGACTTCTAAAGAAAGGGTATCAGTGGAAAAGAACCCTTCGGAATGACGAAAACTCCATTCAGCAACGTTTCTTGCCAGTTTGCCGATTCAAAATTATTTTGATCGATGATCAGCCAATTAGGGACCAGGGTATAACGAAAGCAATATGTTTTGTGAAGGAAATAGTTTATACTCGTGAAAGAGTTCAATGTAAGGAAATGTTCCTAGATAGATAAACTTTGCTTTAGAGAAAGGCTTAATGAGAAGAACGTCCTGCTTTACATGTAACTATGTCGGCCAGGAATAAGTACAGGAATCAAGCAGAAAGATAACGAAGAATTTTGTTTCGTAGGAAAGAGTCCAAGTGCGAAAACGAAAGGAAATCGGAAATGTGGCGATGTTCACGAATCGTCTTGTTTGCCGAGCTGGAGGCGAAAATTTACCGAGGGACAAACGACGAACCTGGAAGAGATATTTCTGCGACAAAAGTACATCACGGGGAAAGAAAGAGCCGAGATCGCAAATACCCTTGGTCTCACGACAAAGCAAGTAAAAACCTGGTTCCAAAACAGAAGAACGAAATGGAAAAGGGAAAAACAGAGGAATGCATATGGTGCTGAATTTTTTAGACAAGATGGCTGCTTATCATTGCCTGAAGACCTGCAAAGGGGAGTTGATAGATATGCACGTTGTTGCGAACTGCCTTATGTACCAATAAATGACTGGGGTTGTTATGTAATGAGCAATACTTTACCCGTATCTCTTCCAGTAAGTGAAATTAGAAGATAGTAATAGCGAATTATCAAGTATAAAATCTTTTCATTAAAGAGAGTAAAATGGCATTTACAGGTTTAGAAAGCATAGTCATATCAACAGTTGATTGTAGCATTTTCGGTTTGTAACAAATCCCTTAAGGAACAAATTAGCCGGTTAACGACTCCGAAATGCAGCAAGCGTGAGTTTCTCGTACATTTAACGGCCTATCTAGAATGCTAATTGCCAGTATAACCCAAATAAGACTTTCAAAAACTTTAGATTATAAAGCGAAATGCAGGACCCTCTTTTTTATAAGAACGATTAAATAAGAAGACGAGCCTCGAAAGTGATCAAAAATTGAGAACAAATTGAGGCTGAGGCATTATAAAATGTAAGGACATTGTTAAAAAGCATTTATCGTGATATTTGTCTGATAGAGACATCGTAGTTATTGATCTTGCTAATGTTATTAAAAATCCATGCCTGCATTACAAACATACGATTTTTTTAACAGTAAAATATTTTGATAATTTCAGAACAAATTCAGAACAATCCAGCCACGATATTTTGAGAAAATTAAGAATCTCAATTTGCCTGAACCTCAATTTCCTGGTTCTTACAAAAAGACTCTACGTGAAATAAAGTCTCAGTTTCTTTACTCGTGTATATTTGTAAAAGAAATCGAAAACTTATTTCCAAATTTCCGCAAACATGAGAGTGAAACCCAGTATTAGACTACTGGCGACCAAAAGGACCAACCGCAAACCGTGTAAAAGGCGAATACATGGATTTAACTGGTTGAAAACATGATAGCCTTGGGAGTTCGTCATTTGTATATGTTGGATTGTAAAGATGTTAATTCGATATAAATTTGGTTGTGTTTCAGAGAGCTATGATGGAGCCTTATGACAGTTGCTTTCATTTTGAGGTGCTGAAACATTTATTGCCTTGCCCGATATGATGATATTACCCAAGTCTGTACGTCTCCAGATCCAATATCTACCTTATTGAGCAATTTACTCACAACCGTTTAACTTATGAATATGACGTCACAGACACGCACGAATCTTTTCTACCCAGCATGGGCCTTGAGTCTAGCAACTGAGCTGCATCTTTTGGTGCAGATCAGGAAGGCTCTCCTTCTAATGTATGTCTACCGCATAAAGAAAATGCTACGGTTTCACGATAAGAGTTTTGACGAAGTTCCGCTTAAAGTTGATTAGAGTTATTTTGACTAATAAGCTAATGGTAGGGTTCCAGCTGCAACACGTGATTAGAACAGGCCAATGATAAGCTTCAAATTAGGACCCATGAAAGCAATTTATCATTCATTGCCAGCCGTACAGTTTAATTAAATCTTAAGCTCATCTTTACAGAAATACAGCCCTTTGACTCCCCTCTACCAAACGATAGTGATTAATCATCTGCCAAAGTTAAGAGTTTTCTTGTATGCGACAAGCTAATATATGCGTTTAGCTGCTTGATGTAAAAATTGTAAATAGCTCGTAATAATGACAAATGTACTACTGTAGAGCAAACAGTTTTATGCAAATTTTTAAGCTTTGAAAAATCCTGTAGAACAAAGATTAACTTGCTTTAAGAAATGCCTAAAAATTTCAAGACAGCAAGTGACAGAAAAATTTCTTAGTCAGCTGAACTTCTTTTATCTAAATCGTGATCCGGGGTCACCGTGACAACGTGAAGTGCTTTTGACGTGAAAATGCAGTATGGAAAGGCCAAATGTGCGCAATGAAATGGAGTGAAGGTAACATCGATAAAAATATTAGCTTTATCAACCATTTCAAAGAATAAACTATGCTGATGATCGATTTTTCTGTCTAGATCATTTTTTCACTCAGACTTTTATATAAAGTATCTTTGTTTCCTTCCATATATCAGCTTCAAAATATTTCTTAACAAATAAACCTTAACTTAACAAAAAAATTCAGAAATGTTCATAATGTGCCTCCCTGAAAACTCTGGATCTATTCACAAAGGGTGTTTAGGTAAAAGAAACTCTAAAATCTGTTGTTTGGAAAATTCAACTGTATCAGAATTAAGAGTCTCATCTCGTGTCAAGTATTTCCTGTTGAAAAATAGTATAAAACACGATTGGTCACTTACTCGTTTGGGTAAGGTGGCTCGGGAAAATTCAAAGAACCACATTCCCATGCTGCTAATGTCACTTGAGCGATGTGCGGGCCCTGAAACAAAAAAATGCATTAATAAGTCGTCCTTTGGCTTTTGCAGAGCTAGAAAGGGGTCATTCCTGCTTTATCTTTAAATTAAACTCGTTTGGCATGACCTCTTTATGTGTACGTAATGTTTGCAAAAAAAATGTTTGTAAAGATTGTTAGGAAGCTGAAGAAGTTACTAACCAGGAGTTATGAGTGAAATATCTGTATTGACAGTGAAAAGCGTTTTTTCGTAAAGGTTACCTATATAAGTTATAATCCTGGCCAGAGCTGTTGAGACAAACCCTGAACATATGCAGCGTAACATGCATTTATAGATCAAAGTATCAGCTGGGGCGCGGTTACAAAGGAGAGAAGGATTTTGCCAGTGCCTTAATGATCTTACAAAAAACAGTTTACAATATTTAATTTAAAAATAGCGCTGAGCTTTTAAGGAAAGGTTACCATCATTAACGGTATAACATCCTCCGTCTTGAAGAATGTACGCTGAGACAACATACAGTTTCAGAACATAACATAACACGAGTAATCTCTGAAAAATAACTTTTAACTCTACTGCTTTGGAGCCTGGGCTCTAGTATTTTAAACAAATCATTATAAACGGGTTTGCTAGTAATCAGATATGAAACAGTGAAATCTGATGTTGGGATTGCCTTAAAAATGAAAATGCGTTGTCAAAAATTTTGCAGATAAAACTTAAGTGAATGAGTATTCTTGTGGGCTCTGCCAAAATCAACTTCATGACTACAAAATGTTGTGTCTTTGGATAATATATAAACACAGCTTCGCTAATTAGGATTCTTATCTGGAAAAATTATTTCCTTCAGCAAACACTTTCTTGTTTGGGCACGTAAAGTAGCACCCCTGACCTTGCGCAGATGCCCTCTTGGCGGGGGTCTCGTCTGACCACACCGCAAATGTGCATGACTGACGCAATCAAGGCATAGGCATTCTGACTGGCATGGAAATAATCTTAATTTTCGCCATTCAAACCTTGTTTTCGATGTTCGCCTAGATGGCATTCGGGTCAAAAGACTAATTCAATTTTTGATAATTTACTTGCCACTTGTTACAGTTTTTGGGACATAGGCCGTAATAAAGGTAGTCCCCTATTCAAAGGCAGAGCGTAGGTATTTACTGACAGTAGCGATACCAGCAAAGAACTTGGAGGAGGAGAGAGCGTGATGCAAAATATCTGTCCAGTTTGGTAATTTCTGTATGCAGCATCAAAATGCAATACTCTAATGGTAGCAAAACAGAGCAGATTTTATCAGTGAATTAGCCGTGTCACCGAAATTGTCATACAGAACTGGTAACCATTGAAATAAGAACAACAATAAGAATCCTTGAGCCTAAATTATCCAGAAAATAAGATCAACCAGCCTAGAAAGAAATTACTTTGTTCTTATAAAAAGAGTGTATTGTATAAACAGAATGAAACCAGTGCTTACCAAATACAGCAAAAAGGTGTGTAGGCCGGTGCCAAGACCGACTGACGATAATATTCCAAGTCCTATCCAGTAACCACACCAGAACAACTGCTGCTTCATTGCAACAACATACTGAAAACAAACAGATCAAAAATTTAGCAGTCATTGGGGTGAATGCTTAGCCCCAATATTGAGGGGGGGGATAAGAACTAGCAAAAAAAGGGGGGTTATTTTTAAATATATGCTGACGTTAAGTTCTAAATAAGCATTCATTCTCACAAATATACTTTACAAAGCAAATCTTCCTTGTATATATTCGACCACCCCATTAGTTTAGGCCACTTTCCACTTTCAAAAAACATTCACATTTTTGACAACTTACTGGACGTGCTGAAACCACACAAATAAATACCGGGCGGAAAAGGCTTCATTTTGGAATAGAGGCCGGGCTGGTAAATCGCATCGATAAAATAGGTACACCTACCCACCTTTTTTATATTTTTCTATTATTGTCGCTAACGACTGTAATTTACAAATGCTTATTTCTTAATATTATTTTCACCCTTTCCTCACTCTTCCAACATCTATCAGTTTATATTCAGCTTGCAAAATGATACTGTAAGTTAACAGTAGTCCACAGTGTATGCACTAGACTTGCAGGTCTCTGTAACAACAAGTAGCAGTGAAGCAAGTGCTTATCCAATGCAAGCACTGCTAATCTAATCTTAATCATTAAAACTCAACGATAATAAAAGGAATAAAGAATAAACGAGCAGGCATATTAGAGAACAAATACCCATTGAAAGCTCCTGCTAGGTTACAATACCTTACTTTCCATCACGGACCGAATATCTAATGGTTTTATTGCGCGGTATAGAACCAAAACACTTATGCTTTTAAAGAAACTATCAAGGAGCAATTATTGTCAGAGGGGAAATAAAGGCAGATCTCATGAATCAGAGCTATCAAGCACATTAAAACGTGGTAAAATTTGAATACCTAAAAGCCATCAAAAGCGAAGAAAAGTGTAGCTTCTTTTCAAGCAAGCAAATCAGTTTGATAATGCCTGTAGTAGCTACTTGAAATAACATACGACCATAAAACAAATCTTTCAACAGTGTCAATACCGTTAAGGACATCTTTGAGGCTGCATGGACCTGTATGAGTAGCTAAACAGTTTGATGCTAGTCTTGGTGATATTGTTTTGCCAATGGTTGAAGATAAAAATAAAAGGGCGACAATGTTTTTATATTGATAAACTGTAAACAGTGATGTTATTGTACTGATTTATCGAGTGCTATTGCGTATTGTGTCCTTGTGACTGTCGAGAGTCGTGTGCTATTTTGCTGCTAGCTCAACAAAACGATATTATCTTAACATTGTTGGGATTTACTCTGGATGAAGGCTTTTCCATGCTAAGTTGGTGGCTGTGAACGAAATTCATTCAAAATCCCATTCAAAACGAATTAACATTTAATGCCATGACCCACATGCAAACAAAATTCACCGAATTCGTCTCCGGAGCAGAAAGTCTATGTTAGAAGAAAGGTTTGTGTCCTGCATTGATTCCAGTATTATTTGCAGAATGGAAAACTTCTCAATAGCTGTTCTATCGCCTGATACAAAAGGTATGGCTTATGATGCTTTTTGCAGCGATGCATGTAGGAATTCAAAATTTTTGAATCTGTGTAAATGTTACATTTGTTTTAAACTAAATCTTAACAATAAAAAGACTGTTGTATTGACTATCACGCTGGCTAATACTGTAAAAAAGAGCAAAGATAACTTTTATAAATTAATAAACGAGAAATATGTAAAAATAAATTCTAAGATTTCGAAAATTTTAGATTTATTCAAAATTTAACACTAAATAAAGGAAGGGAAATAATGATCGTTTCAAAAATATTTTGAATGGTTAAAATTATCACCGAAATATTGAAATAAAAAAAATTATCCTTCAAGAAATAAAATAAGTCGTTCAATGGCAAATAATAATGATATTCAAGAGAGATTTAAGTTGCAGACATAAAAGAAACGATTTTTTAATCACCTTGCGGCTCCCTTTCTATTTCAAGTCCCGTACGTAAGAGCAATAAAGAGGCCGGTGAAACAATGAAAAGCTCTTAGGTTAGATAATCCAAAGAAACGTCAGCATACGAGTTATGTATGATGAAGGGGGTATACTGCAGACATGTAAACCCATTACATTGTGGCTTGAGAACATATGTATACAGTGTATGTATGTTTTGAATACAACTTTTTAGACAACTTTTAAGAATGCATAAAAAAGACTAAAAAACAGTGGCGGACACCTGCCCCCCCCCCCAATACTTTGGAGGACAATGGACTTTTGTTCTCAAACAATGGGGGAAAGTGACGTCATCTTTTTAAAACAATAGGCTTGCTTCTCGATTTTTGTCCGCCCCTGCAAAAATACTGGAATATCAAGCACAAAACCACACATTGCCGCCTGTCCCGCCCTTAGCTGCTCAACACCGCGCTATAGAGATGGCGAAATTGCTACTTAAATGTAACTTTGAATGCCACATTGACAAAACATTCAAACTTTGATAGCAAAGAAGATTGAAAAAAGAAAAAAACGTCACTTTAAGGAAAAGAAACGTGACATTTTTAAAGTAAAGCATACAACAATGGCAGAAAAGCAACTTGCTCAGCTCGCATATAAGCCTCAAATCGATTGGTTATTGAATTTTATGTATAGTTGCAGGAATTTGGCATCAGATTAAATAGCGGTGCTGTTTTTATCTTTTATAAGAGAGCAAGTTTACTCTTCATTTAGGTTCCAGATCCAATTACGTTTTCTTCTCAAAATAATCTGTGCCTCAGATGGATTTTCTCACTCCATACATTTCAAGGTACTCTGCCTTGCCCTAGACAGAGTCTGCAATAACCACGAAAATTAATTTTAATTTGCAAGCATGTCAAAGACAGTAATTTCATGAGGCTTCGACTCGTCATTATTGCTCGGTTGCAATGCATAAATCACAAACCACAGGCACAATCCTAATAAAACTGGATTATTTGAAACTTCTTAAACTGCTTATTAAAAAATGAAGAGCAAGAGAAAATTAAAAAAAGCTAGCAATTTGTGGCTGCTCTGAAGAAAATATTCCGAAAAGGCGTTATAGCGCATATGAGATCTTCAATTAATTAAAAGGGAGGGTAATCCCATTGCAAACTGCCCACATACCCAAAGATGCAATAAATGCCACTCCCACGCTTATCCTCGCAACGAAAACTTACTAGAGTCAGTGAACTAAGGAAAGGCGATCGTTTGACAAATGCGTGTGATTGGGTAACTGTATTTTTACTATGCTAAGGTTTAGTGTCTTAAAATTTAAAGCACAAACATTATCTAAGTGGAAACGCTTGAATGCCAAAAGAGTCGTGCTCACCTGTACTTGTGAAAACAAGCGTGAAGGATGGGATAGATAAGAGGGAGTTAATGGTGGATATTCACAGCATCGCCTTTGAGCTGAAGCCAAGCACATTCCAAAGTTATGATCTTAGTATATCGAGAAAATAAAATATGGAACCGAAAAGTATCCTAATCACAAGGCTTTCACTTTGCCCTATACATTAAACAAACTTCTTATTCTGATCAACGAGATAAACCATTTCAATTCGATCAAAAGAAAAAGTGCGATACATTAGCCAAATTTCTTTAAAATATCTAATGTTACCTGGCTAGCATTATCTCACATAGCATGCTTTACATTTAACGATCTTTACCGTGCAGCAATTTCAAATGCATTATTATATATTTCTTTGAAGTTTTGTAATTTACAAACTGATATAAATTTTCAGCTAACTTTCGGTTATTCTCCAACATTCATACTTTGAAGAGTGTCGGACGAAAGGTACTTTAGTGTGCCATGTTTCTGTTATTTCGTGCTATCTTCAAATATAATCTGTTTCTTATCATGGTTCAATTACCATTGTATCCTCCGACTCAGAAGGTGCTCAAGTCAAAATTGCCACCACTCTCTAAAAACTTTTTTCCTGAACCATCGAGCCAAAAGCCGTTTTTGCCAAGCCGGTTTATCATTTCCAGATAAAATTGCGGTAAGCGCTAAGATGCCTCGAAACTAATACTTTGTCGCAATAGCAAAGGCCTCTACAAAAGCAAACCTTAGCGATGTTCTAAAGAATATCTGAGGATGAACTTTGGGAGCTCTTAAAGCCATTCGCTACTTCCATGTCCTATCAAAAATTCGCTCTGGAATTTCTCATAGTCCCAAGCGTTCAAATTCTGTAAAGTATACATACAAATTTTGCAATTTCAAAAATTCCGAATAAAAAATAATAATTAGAGCACAAAAACATGGCTTTTCGATAGTATGATTCCAAAATCATTTTTCTCTGATATCTACGCTCACAGTCATTTATTCACAATCCAGACTTTCTTGCTAATTTCTAGCAAAATCAGGTTTTAGTTCTGCAGGGGAAATGCTTTTTTTTCGCTGGAAGAAACAGCTGTTTTATTCTAACACCCAGTATTTGGGTTGAATGTCCTAAGATAGAACCACACTGGCACGAAATCTTGTAATTAATGCTATCTTGGAGTTCTTGAACCAAGAAGTGCTGTATCAAGTTCGTTGATAACCATACAGAGATGGAGTTTAATCCACGAATTTGTACATTTTGTAAGCTGTTGTTGAGTTCAAAAAGAATGAAAGAATTTGAACGCTAGTAAGAAGAGTATACTGTATACTGTGCCAGTATACTGTACTAAAATCTACATAGATTTTACTTCTTTCAGGAGGCCACTTTATAAGGATACTTTTCATTATACTCTTATATTTAAACACTTAAAACTAGTTAAGTAGATAGCAAAAGAAAAGCATCTTCAATCTTGTCTAAGATAACGCAAACCTTCCACTCTACCAAAGGTTTTAAGAAAATATAATACAAACTGCATTGTCACTCTGAAACAGCTTTTTAGCATATCTGAAGTATTGGATGAAAAGGAAATGCTGATCTTGTGAATGTTTTAACATGTCATGCATCTGCAGTCTCCAATCTAACTTTTGTAAAAGGTATTAGAAATGAAACAGTGTTTTGGGCACTAATCTATTAAATCTCAAATCCCTTGCTGTCTCAAAATTTGCCTAAAAAACTCCCACCTTTTTTTCAAATTTCAGATTTTTAAAATAAATCTGGTCCATTGACTCTTACTAGCTGACAAAAATTTCTTGCCATAGAGAAGCAAAATCTTTCAAATTTTACTTTTGTGTTCAACTAGATGCATATTTTTATAAAATATCATAGTATCAGTTAGCAAATGTATACAAAGAAAATGTTATTGCCATGCTGCTGTAACAAACAGCTAATATTTTTGCAAATTCAAAAAACCTTGGATTCAGGTTATTCTTATAAATTTTTTTATCTGTATTCACATAGTACTCAACCTACCATTAGAAAGGTTTTGTATGACTTTAAAGTTTTTCATAATCATGGTTATGTAATTATACTAGGCTATGTGGGAAAGGATTTTTTCTTACCTTCAATGAGTACATATGCTATAAAGCAATCAAATAAGGTTGCATGATTGGGAACATTCAATCTTCAAGAAACTAATAGCACAAAGATGTGTTCTAATCATGAAGGTAATGTACTCACAAACTGGTGAGGTCCTTCTAGTAAATACCCAGCTATGACTGCAAGGCTTAGCAATACCAATGTTGTGCATGTTTTCTTGTGCTTCATGATACTGAAATTCAAAAAAAATTCCTATTATTAAAATCAAGTATGTTTTAATAATCAAAAACAGCAGGTGATAAGCAAAATCAATCCTTATCAATAATGCCATCTTTATGATATTGGAAAGAAATTCTTTTATATATAAATACCCAAATAATTTGAGTGCGAAGCTAATGGAAAGTTTCCCTGTATTAAGAAATGGAAAGGATAATTCTTGAAAACATTAGGAAGAGAGGATAACAAACAGCTGGAACATCACAATTTAAGTATATATAGAGTCATTTATTTTTATTCACAGAGTCCTATTTGCAAATGAAAAGTATAATGTATTATATATATATTACACTTACTTCCTTCTTTCTTTTTCAAGTAGTATTAATGACTCTAATAGGAAATATTTCAGCGTAACTATAGGCTTTCTCCATAATACTATTTTATGTCTTTTCTCTCTTTCTGCCTGCCTCAGCTTTTTCAGATTATCATTGATTCCTGGTCTTTTTGACATTTCTGTATTTTCCTGTTCTTGATTGCTGAGCTCAATAACAATGTTGTCCTCTTCAGTTGATGTTAAACTCACTTCTGTTTCAATCTCATCAGCTTTGCTGCTGTTTTCTAAAAATTACTAGTGAAATAAATACATAATTTAGACAGCATAAGAATGTTTGACATAAGGATCAATAAATTACTAAGAGACAAAATTCCTTTGAAAATCTTTAAATTTTTCAAGAAGGACACTGGTTCAGTTTGTAAAGGAAGGAGAAAGTATCAATAATGAATAGATTGCAAAAAAACCAATGTTTGAAAAGCTAAATAATGGTATTTCAGCTTAGTAAAGAAAAATGATATTTTGTCTTTGTTTGTCCATGGTTAAAGCTAAACAAGAAACTTTTGTGTGTACAGTTGCTTGAAAACAAACATACTTTAGAAACATGTTTTACAGATGTCAGTTTCCAAAGATTTCAACTTTCGAGTTTCCAAAAGCATTACTTTCACTCAAATTTAGTTATATGTGCCTTTTTTAGACACATATTAGCTTATTTTGAAGCTTTTTCAAGCTAATTTCAAATATGTTAGTGTGTACAACCTATCCCAGAAGATTAGAAAAGTAATTATGAAAAAGGATCACTCAAGCCCTTTGCTTTTTGTAAATTAGTACCTTCCCTCCCCCTCCCCTCCCCTCCCCCTGATGCAAAATATACACCATAAGCTTCTTTAATGTGCAGATAATCAAGGTGTAAATTACTGGGCCCTTTATAAATGATAGGGCTATGGGCTTTGCAAAAGGGTAGCTCTAAAAAACAAATTGAAAACCATGGATAGCAATCAAATGCATGTATGAAAATTGAAATTTGAAAAGTATTAGAAATTTGAGTCAGCAGTCACCACTTTAATCATAAAAAAATATGCAGTGTCCATTTAGCCTTATCTATTACAAAAGTTTGAATTTCAGCCATTTGAAGAAAGTGCCAGTGCATTTGTGACAATTCTAGTGCTTTACTGTTCAAAATACCGCTTCGTCCCTTCATGAGCTCCTGAAAGCATGCAAGTTTATTCAATAAAGAATATCGCGACAAAGGAGGCGAACATACTTTACATCCAAAGCCCGTGACACATTTGAACTATGTTCATTTCGTCACAAATCGAACCACGAGGTCAAGATGCGATTGTTTCACCTAGTCTGTTGTCCTATCTAATAATACCGGTGAACAAGATTAAAATCAGCTTACCTACTGACATCTAAAACGCTTCGATACTGTTGCTCTACGCAATCTAGCTGTTCTTGGCAGTCGAAATTACTTGATTGATCAAGTGAAACAAGAAACACGTAGGCCTAGATCAAGGTCATTACAACGAGACGGACACGCCTCGTTTTCAATAACAACGAAGGCGGAAATTTTGAATACAAGTAAGTTATCGGTGAAGGTGAAAGCAGCATTGTTTTCTAATAAACTCTGGGCTGTTGTGATGATGGAGCAAAATCAGAGAACATAGTAAGACTCCTTTTAGGGCTCCTTTAATCCACTAAACGAAACCCAGCATTCCCTTCTTCATATAGTTTGGAGACAGCTTATACGGAAGGCTTTTTGTACAAAATTTCCGGAATTCACCCTTTGTCTTTGGGCATTATCTTGCGAAAATTTTGTGCCAAATTCAATTACAACATTATCACAACAAAGCAAAAGCCTCATTCAGAAATAAAGTATGCCCTCGTTATTTTGATAGCCACCTTTTTAGCTTTTTAAAAAGTCATTCAAATTTCAAATCTCCTTAATAAAAATGGTTGCTTATAAAATAAAGAATGTGTTGCTTTATTTAAAGGTCAAAATCAACAAATTTTCTGTAGATTTTCAGGCAATTTTTTTCCTTACAATAAAGAGTGTGGCATCATTTAATTCTATCCTGTTTTCCCATCACAGTATGCTAACGATAACTGCTGAAACTATGCTGACAATAAGGTTTTGTAGATACATTTGTAATTAAGAACAAATCTATCATCGTCTAAGTGTCTTTCTGTTATTCTTTTTGTTTACGCTAGCTACATAGATGCCTGTCAGACCAGTATCAAAAATACGAGTAAAATCTTTTCATTGCTTTTTGTAAAATCTCGCGTCTCATCCTAAATCTCACTACCCCCTTTATTGTTCTTTCGTGGGCACTTTTTCCATAATTTAATCATCATACCTTTCTCCACCGCCTGCCATTCCCTGATATGGTTTGGTTTGATTCTGATATAAAAAATATGCTGTTTTCAGCATCTTCATTAACATCACGACTTGGTTTTAATAGTTCTCTTTTATATCTCTATGACTCTTGCAGTTTTTCTGCCCCTGCGAGCCCCATTGATGTTAGCCATGAAAAAAATATTTCAAGAAATCATAATATTTAAAAAGTAGCGATCGTCTGCTAATCTGATATTTCTTTGCTCTTTTCAAAGTTTTTCATTCTTAGCTTAATTTTCATTTTTAATTCGATTCTCAGTTTTTCAACAACGATTTAATCTAGGCCATATAATTTGGTATTTTTGCACAAAAATGATATTTAAAATCCAATTGTTAGTGACATCATTATCTAGAAATGTTTTCGACCGAATGGTAATTACATAGCCTTTTATTCCTAAATTCGAGCACTGGTTTTGTCCACTAGTCTACATCTGCTATTGACAAATAACATCCATCGTAATTGTTTGGTATGCATCTTGAAACTGTCAAATTTTGCTGTTTTGTCCTGAGCGGGGAGATATTTGATGGATATCTTAAGTAAACCTGATATTCGTTTGTTCAGCACATAAAAATGTTGACACATGTATCCTTTCTATCTGACACTAGCCTTTCTATAAATTCTTTGTTGAAAAAGGATCAGTTATTTTTAATTCAAAGGGCTCAAGATTGAGCCACATTCGATTTTGACTTTCAATAGATTCAGGGATAAGCTCCATGCTGAAGTTATTATCGAAAGGAAGGCTTGTCCATGAGGATTAAAGATGGTTATACAGGAAAACTGAATTGAGAAGAAAAATCGCGTATATTTGTAAGCTGGATGCTATTGATACCAAATGGATGGGAAAAATCAAAACAAAGATGCAAACAAACATTCATTTTATTCTATTTTGGTGATAAAGTTTGCGTAGAGAAAAATCTATAATTATCTTCTGATGAAAGGAAATGAAAATTGGAAACGATCGAATCGACAACAATGGCTGCTTTGAAGAAATTCCCCAAAGCCAAGTATCTGTTAGAATTCAAAGACTTTGCGGCAGAAATTTCGCTAGCAGAGGTCGAAGAGCTATGGAATTTTCTCACAATCCGTAAAATCAAGCCAACATGTGAGCAAAAGATAGCATGGACGATTACCTTGGTTAAAAGAGTTGAAATTGGAAGCATAAAGCACCTCCTGGTATTTAAAAGAAAAGGTATGTTTCTAGGATGTCAATTTTAAGTGTTAAAGGGTGCCGTTGTGCAAATTAGAGATTTCTCTGCATAGATTTACTATTCGGTAGAGGATAAAATGCACTGAGATAGAGCGGTGAATTATTCACGGCCTTTTCTTTTTGGATTCGAAACATCCTTCAGAATTGAGCTGTCGAAAGATCCTAGGCTGTTTTTACCTCCTTTCCACCTGGTAACACTATTGAGAATGAGGCTGTACTTTAATTCAGATCTGACCATTCATTGGCTACGCTTATGTAAGAAGGCTGTCGTGGTTTTCATTGACTATATTGTCATGAAAAGAATTTATTTTATCGGTTTTTGAATACAATACTACCTACTGACAGTTATTTTCATGATCATGAAAAATCATTTTGAAGTTAATTTCACTTTTCTCAAGGCTTCTACTAATAAACAAAATAATACAAATCAAACAAAAGATTCGCTCATAAACCCCCAAAGCTCCATAAACCAATTTAGTCAAAAATACTGAATCATATAAACAATAATTTAAACAGTATCAATTAATTGTTTATTTATATTAATTGACAAAGCAAAAGTGATCTTAAATACGAAAAATAAACAGCCCAGTAAATAATTCCACCTGCCTGTTGAAGTTGTATAAAATTCGTATAAATGTTGTTTGATTTTAAATTTTCGTCAATTCTTTTATTTCAACCCATTATAAACCAACAATGTTTGTAAAATTAAACATGATTTGCATCAGAAAGTCAAATATAATTAAAGGCACTTAACACATACTGCATTGCTTTCAGGCCAAGACATTATTGGAGAGATCAACTGTGCGCAACTTTCTGTGAAAGCTCCAGTTGTTGGCCAACTAACTCAAGTTCTCCTACATCCAAAGCAGCAAACACATACCGAAACAATTGAAATTTATCACTGCACCAAGATTAAAGAGCAACACAAAAGCAGAAAAAGCATTTTGAAAAAACGATTTATAACAGAAATACTGACTTATAATAAAAGTGATAAAACTGTATCTAATCCTGTTAACATTGCAAATTATTAAGTAATATTAATCTTGTAGGCAGTAAGGTACCAATATCATATTTTCTTTAGTATCAATACCTCTATTAGTTCCATTTGTTGACAAGTTGTAAATGCCTTAATATAACCTATACGACTTTCTTGGCATTTGCAATGAAACAAGATTAGAACTTAACTTTCACAATGCTCCTTTATTGACAAAGCAATAAATGTGTGAATTTTCTGTAAAAGGTTTAATCCATTCGTCAAAACATTTCAAATTAAGCCTTCCAATCTAAACTCCAATCAACCAAATATTATAATTCAAAGCACTCGTATTTTTTTGCAAGAAAGTTTTCTCAAAACCCCAGACAAACAAGGCACCGTGTATGTATATTATAATTCACATTAAACAATTTTGCTATTAATTTGTGTTGCACTTGAGCCATCCTCTAAAAACTGAGCCATCCCCGCACAAAACCTAAGCGTGAGGATGGCTAAGTTGTTAGAGGCGCTGACTACAGACCCAAGGGTCTGTGGTTCGAGTCCCTGGCATGACCAAACTTATGATCTTTTTGTCATATACAGAACTTCTTTAAAGAGAAAAATGTGTGATGTCAGGCTATCATGCTTTCTTTGTCTTTGGTTTGTCCCCGATTTGACACGATTCAGCGCTGCGTGTTTTTTAAGTGTCACCTTAATATGACGTGCTTTCGAAATGCCAGATCTTAAAATATTTGTGAAGATGAACTCCACACCTAACATTACCACAACAGTAACAACATGATGTATAGATATATGTTTAATTGTGATATGTGTGAGAGTTTAGGACTGCACCAAGGATAATGATGACTGGTGCAGTTTTATTGGCTGTGATAATATTGGTGGAAGTGGGATAGCAGGCAAAGGATGAGTGCCCTATCCAGCACTGGGGGCTAAATTGGACAACAATTATGATAATTGTGGCTATATATGATGAACATTTTGATTAAATAAAACAAATGATTGTTGTTTTTAGTGTCTGTGAAACTTTACTAAGGGAAGACCGTCCACACATGTAGCATTGAGAGAATTGCTTATTCAATATACCTCTACAGGTTTTTGATAGTTGCATCAAATTTGTGTTTATTCAATTCTGTAGCACAGTATGTACATACAAGGTTCAAGGGTTTTGTACTAAGCTCGCTAATTTTGTACAGCAGTATTTATACACGGTGGATAACAAATTAATGGAAGTATCATGATATGTACCCTGGGTACAAGGCCACCCAAGGTACGTTATAAGGATTATGATGCTGTTTAGGTTGTGGATTTTGAATGTATGTTTGCTCCAGTGCTATTCCAGGGATGTAACAAAGAATGTAAATCATGCAGAGGTTGGTTTTCCCCTGCCAGTGACGACACATCGAAAGCAACTGAATGCGAGATACCTATATAGCTAATACCGTGCTCAAAGTAAGTTAACACTTTAAGAATGGAGATAAAAGATGGATTAATTGATTTAAAGTCTCCCAAGCGCATCGAGATAAACATTAGAACGCTGGCCAACATTTTGCTGAAAATTCTTTGAAATTGAGATATTTTGGTGAACATCTGGTGAAGTAATGGCATAGAAAGATTTTCATTGGTCCAAGAGAAGAGATATGTTCTTGTTGCTGAGTGCCTTACAAAGGCTTGTAAACAGAGGTAAGATATACTTTTTGTATATACTGCATCCTAATTATTTCTCTCTTTTCCTTGAATAAGAAATGTGTTTTTTCCAGAATAGCTTGTTGTCGTCCAATTGTGGGTTTTGTTAGCAGTGCTGTTTTGTTCGAGTTGATATAGCGTTCTTCTCAAGCACCCGATTTAAATCAAAATTTAGTGAAACAAACGGTAGTCTCTAGGAATTAAGAGACATCTTCCACCCACATTAGTCCATTCTTTTCATCTGCAATTGTCTTTCAACATAATCAAACGTTTGTCGCTTTCCTTGCACCTTTTCCGAAACAACTAATTTGAAATTTGCTTATACCAATGAGGTGAAACTTGTTTAAACCAAACCAAACTTACTTTTTTCATTCTAAAAGTTTATTTTCAATGACAAACATAAAACTTTTGTAAAAAAAAGTTCCAGCTACTGTAAGAAAGTTTTATTCCTTATATCAAGAATGGTTTTAAAACTTTCCTAAATTGTCAGTTCATTTATTTTAAAATTTTTGCATCCATGTTTGCTACTGAAAGGAAAATTAGATTGGATACATAACAAGAGGGAAGCAAAGAGTTTCTAAAAACGAATGTGTTTCTAAAAACTTTCTTTCAAACATTTTAACGTTTTTCATCAATAACCTCTGCTCGTGAGATTTGAGATTCTTTCATCAAAAAAATCAATGATAACTCTTAAAAAGTGGAATGATTCATTCGCAAATTCTGGCCTAAGCCATATAGGCTCAGGCCCGTGAACTACATTGTTCAAATGAAAATCATTGCTTCAATTTTTGGCTTTTCACTTTACCTTGTAATGTAATCTTTTCAAAATAAAACTGGCATCCCTGAATGCAAAGTCAAAGAGATATGATGCTCCTGGTTTGGTTTAAAAAGTGGAAATGTTGCATTTTAATTCAAAAAAGTCAAATCAAACTTGTCTTTTTTTGGGCTGTAACTCCAAGTATACTACTTATCCTCTTGTTTGCCTCTTCTTGGTGGAGAAAGCTGGTTGGAGCAAATAGTTGAGATTAAAATTCTATCCATGATTAGGACGAGCAAGATTTATCTAAAATTACAGTGTCACTTCCAAATAGTAGGCTATCTTGACACAAAGTACAAAGCAGAAAAACACTGGAGTAATGGCTCTTTAACGGCGTCATAACAAGCATGAAGTTACAGTAATGAGCTACAAAGACAGTGCACACAGAAATTTTTGGCAATATACCCAAGGTACGAGAGAATTCAAATCTCAATAGAAAATAGTGACAAAGTTGTAAGTAGAAAAAAAGTTGCCTTGCGCAACGCAACGATTGAAGTTTATATTTAAGCCAGCCATGTTAGAATTACGGGCGGAATGCAGACTGTATATAAAAATCTTTCAACAGTTTATTGGTCCGCTACCCATCTATATACTTAACTATGAATATCATGGATACTTAATATCAAAACAGTGAGAAATTTAATGACCAATATTGATGATGATGAAAAGTATGGAAGATGAAAATACCATTATCATAACAGGCTATCGAGTAATTTGAAGGTAAAAATAGACTGCACAAGCATGTTTTGTTGAATATTTTGCCTTATTTTATTGCAACGCAACGAAACATTGTGGGAAATAGTCTGTCAAAGCTCAAGCCTCTTTAATATTTTAAGGACCGCCTAAGCTGAAAGAAAACTAGAGTCAGATTGTCTAAGGTTTAGCAAACGCTCCCACTTTGATTTATTCAAGATCTTAGAAAGAAACAATTCTTGCTTAATACGTCCATGTTGCAATAATTCATGGAGAGACCTTGAGTTGGTGGCCTAAATGTATTTTCTGAACCAGCGTTTTCACCTTACGTTACTCATCCAGCAGATATGCGAGCAAAAGTTTTAGCATTCTAAATGTGACTCTTACTGCATCAAATAGCCTAGAAGATTTTGAAAGTTTTGAGAAATAAGAAATTGTTGACAAAATGAAGACCTCTAGCTTGCAAAATCAGCAACAAATTATCTTATTTGCTGATTTTTTCAATATTTATAACATAATGTCATTATTTTGCGATTAACTTGGGCTCTTCGATCAAAATAGCAAATTACTGTTCCTACATGAGCAAATATTTGCAAAGCTTACTCCTTCAGCTTACAGAATCATCCACCCACTATTCTTTTCAGTGCTAGGACTTATGCTCATGGATACATAATTGTACTAATCAAAACAAAGCATTATTCCTAAAAACCATTTTGCTTGTCCTGCGATAGGAGAAGCAGAACAAGAAGAGCCAGAAGGAGAAGTTGCAGCTACATGCAATGAACAAGCTTCTCAACCAATCCTCGCAAACATTAATAGGCAGCGCTCCGAAGATGCAGTTAGCAAGGACGGGACAGCAAGCCAGTGCAGTGTACGAAGCATCGGGGTTGAGAGTACAGGGTATTTATCTGATGACGAAGGCGATGATGATTATATACACATCTTTAATACTGAATACTCATTTAGTGACAGAGAGAGTGATGATGGTGACCGAGCTAGTTTTAGAAGCTTCCGTTGGAGCTCAAGCAAACAAAGTTTGACGTCACTGCTTGAAACTGTATCAGAGGAAGCCCCGTTAGCTGATGAGGCATCAGAGATAGTGGAGGAAGAAAATGCCTCGCAGCATCAGAGTGTTTTGCATCTAGAACCTGATATCAAGGACAAAGACCTTGAGATTCTTTACGCTTCTTCTGTCAATGTTTCACAGGAAAAAACTTTTGAATTCACTGAATCCGATGGAGAATTTGTTCACTTGAGTAGACCATCACATCTGGATGCCAGTTTAGGAAACGCCGAGGTGCAAACGTTCTCATTAGAGACGACGGACACCTTGAGGAATGATAGAAATAATAATGATGTTGTCCATGAAGAACACAAACTAAATATAGAGCCTAAAAAGCCTCAGTTTTTCATCGAAAGTGAATCTTATTTTACGTGTCTTGAAAGTGAAGGCCTTTTCTTAGAAAGAGTTACAGAGTGCAATGAAAATGAAATACCAGCAAGTTACAGGACTTGCACAAGAAGCATAGATATAGCTCAGGATCCTGTGGAGGAGGATCCATCTCTTGAGGTTATTTTAAAAGAAGAATCTGAAAACAAAGCAGAAGAATGGAGAGCCACTTGTAATGAGGAAACTTTGTCTTCCTTGGCTTCCTTCCACAGCTCTTCTTCGACTACAAACAAAATGTTTTCTGCACGTGAAGATTACTTACAGCCCGAGAGCCTTGATATGGAGCGCAAATCATCGAAAAGATGTTGTCTTGAAGAAAAAGAGCAGAAAATCCTACATATTCATGACGATTTCCAAAACCTTGAGATAGTCACGGTAGAAGCTAGAAAAAACCAATCCGAATTGAGGAAGAAGCCTGAGGAGAAATCGACATTAGACGACATAACAGCTAAACATGAGGACTGCAAAGAGCACAATATCAAGAAGTTGGAGCAAGATCAAGAAAGTCAAAAAGTAGATAAAAAGAATAAGCATGACTGTGACAATGACGGGAATGTAGATTATGAGAGAGGCAATGCTGAACATGAAAATACGACCAGCACATGCTGTGTTGAATCTCTTGAGGTGGTAGAGCTGTTGCCAATCATGCCTGAAAAGTATGAAATTGAGAGAAGAGAAGAAAAGACAACAATTGGTCAGAATGAAGGGCTACGTAAGATTGAAAACAAGAGAGAAGAAGAACAGCTTGTTCGAGAAGAATGCTTTAGTACAGAGGCCACGTATGATAAAAATGAGATCAGTGAACGATATACTCAATTTGAACAAAAGATGCAAACAAATGAAGATGAAATAACTAAAAAGGAGGGAACCAAAGAAAGGGTTGATTTAGGAGTTGAAGGAAATCGAAAAGCTTTTGATTTCTGTGAACTTCAAGAAGTTTCCCTTGAAAAATTTGCTGCTAATGATATGATAGATTCGAACGAAGTAAAAGAAGATGTGCATAAAAAAGACAAAACAAAATCAGAAGATCAATGTACGATGATTGAAGTCGATGAATCTGAGCTAGAAAGTGGGAATCTTGCTACACATTCTATTGTAGACAGACTAAGCAAATTTGATGACGAGAAAATGCACAATATTTCTAAAGAAAGGAAGACAGAAGAGGCTTGCAAAGAAGGAGGTAAGATAATGGCAAAGATCAGTGACAACAAAGATTCATCTCAAATGGGTTTGGATGAAGTTTGTGAGCTCCAGCCAATAACGGTTGAAAATATCCAAGTTATGAAATATGATGATTCAAACACTTCGCAACAAAAGAAAACAATGAAACACTCTTTGCAACGAAAGAAAGAGGAAAAAGTTGAAGAAGAACGGTGCCTCGAGCTTCTATTGCTGACTGAAAAAGAGGGAGCAATGGCGGACAAGTTTTCTCAATGCCGCAAAAAAATTCCACATGTTCAGGAAAGTAACAAGGACACAACAAAATTTGATGGTAAAAAAACAAAGAAATTCGAGAAAAACATTAGGAAGGAGGAAAAAGAAGAAACAAATTTCGAACTGGAGAGTGAACCAACAGTTGAGGATTATCAAGCTGGTTTCAGGCTGGTTTCAGACATGCAAGGTGATGAAAGAGCAGAGATCAAAAGACAGGAATATGAACCAAGTAAAGCAGAAGGAGCCAGAGCAGACAAAAATAATATAAGGTATGGTAAAGAAAACAGTGAATTGTTTCAAGAAAGTCAAATCGTGTTACATGAAGTATCAAGTGATAATAATGCACATAATGAGTCACAGAAAAATGAAAATGAATTGAATCCCTGTGAAAAACAACAAAAGGAGGCAATATTTACTTCAAGGAAAGAGAATAGGGTTGGAGGAAAATACCTTGAGCTGACAAGAACTGATGAGCTTACGGGAGAAAATGTGACACAACAACAAATTAGTTCAAAAGAAATGGCACATTTATGCAAAGATATCGAATATTTGCAAAGTGAAGATGACGTGACTATTGAGAAATATATTGAAGAGTGCTCAAACACACACGCTGACAAGGATGGAAAGGAGAACGTATTTGAGTCGAATAAAGTAACTAAGCCAATAGAATACGAACACAGATCAGTAACAAGTTTTCAGAAAGAAAAGAGCACGAATGTAGTGGAAGATCTAGAGTTTTGTCTCAACAAACAAATGGAAAAAATCCGGATGAACAACAACGATTAAATGAAGAAGCTAGTTCCAGTAAAAAAACACATACAGAATCAAGGCTCTCTCAAACAGAGGACAAACCAGATGTCCAGGACAATTTTGACGATTCCTTTAGCCTACAAGCTTTGAAAGCTAAAGAGAACTATGCGGAATTGTCTAATGTAATGAGTGAATGTCAAAATATCTACTCTCCAAAGCAAGCTGATAAAACCGGGGAAGAATATTCCATTGTTTGCTCCCAGCCTATAATTGAAAAATGTTCAAAGATAAAAGAAATGGAGCCAAGAAAAGAAGCTAGTACTGACAAAGATACTTTAGACGAAAAAATACAATTTCCTAGAGTAACTGACATGACCATAGAAGAATATCTGCTGTCTTGTACCAAGTCTGCGTCTGGAGAAGCGTCAAGAGTGAATGAACGACAAACCAAAAATGAAGCGACCAGAGACAAAAGTACTCGAGAGGAAGCTGAAATGACCGATGACGAGTTTCTACTGCTTTGCTCAACGCCTACAACTGAACAAGTTACAAACACAAACGAACGGCAATCCACTGAAAAAACTTCTACACCAGAAAAAGGTTCTCATGAAGAAAATGGTATGACCATTGAGGAATATCTACGGCTTTCTTCTATGTCTACGTCCAAAGAAGTTACAAAAGGGTATGCTCAGAAATTTCCACAAGAATTGAGTAAGGACAAAGGTTCTTATGAAGAAGCTGATATGACCATTGAGGAATATCTGCTGCTTTGCTCGATGCCTATATCTGAAGAAGCTACAGAGACAAAAAAACGAAAACTCAGTGAAGAACTGACTACAGACAAACATTCCAAAGAAGAGGCTGACGTGACCATTGAGGAATATCTGCTGCTTTACTCAATGCATACGTCTGAACCTACAAAGACAAATGAACGGAAATTTTCAAAAGAGTTGAATAAGGACAAAAGTTCTTATGGAGAAGCTGACATGACCATTGAGAAAAATCTACTGCTTTGCTCAATGCCTTCGTCTGGAGAAGCTACAGAGACGAATGATCAGCAATCCACTGAAAAATCAAGTGCAAACAAAGGTGCTCAAGACATAGCTGACATGACCAATGAGAAAAATCTACTGCTTTGCTCAATGCCTTTGTCTGAAGAAGCTACAGAGACGAATGAACGGCAATCCACTGAAAAATCAAGTGCAAACAAAGGTGCTCAAGACGAAGCTGACATGACCATTGAGGAATATTTACGCTTTGCTCAAGCCCTTCGTCTGAAGAAGCTACAGGGACGAATGAACGGCAATCCACTGAAAAATCAAGTGCAAACAAAGGTGCTCAAGACATAGCTGACATGACCAATGAGAAAAATCTACAGCTTTGCTCAATGCCTTCGTCTGAAGAACATACAGAGACGAATGAACGGCAATCCACTGAAAAATCAAGTGCAAACAAAGGTGCTCAAGACGAAGCTGACATGACCATTGAGGAATATTTACGTCTTTGCTCAAGCCCTTCGTCTGAAGAAGCTACAGAGACGAATGAACGGCAATCCACTGATAAATCGAGTACAAACAAAAATGCTCAAGACGAAGCTGACATGTTCATTGAGGAACATCTACAGCTTTGCTCAATGCCTTCGTCTGAAGAAGCTACAGAGACGAATGAACGGCAATCCACTGAAAAATCAAGTGCAAACAAAGGTGCTCAAGACATAGCTGACATGACCAATGAGAAAAATCTACAGCTTTGCTCAATGCCTTCGTCTGAAAAACATACAGAGACGAATGAACGGCAATCCACTGAAAAATCAAGTGCAAACAAAGGTGCTCAAGACGAAGCTGTCATAACCAATGAGGAACATCTACAGTTTTGCTCAATGCCTTCGTCTGAAGAAGCTACAGAGACGAATGAACGGCAATCCACTGAAAAATCAAGTGCAAACAAAGGTGCTCAAGACGAAGCTGTCATAACCAATGAGGAACATCTACAGTTTTGCTCAATGCCTTCGTCTGAAGAAGCTACAGAGACGAATGAACGGCAATCCACTGAAAAATCAAGTGCAAACAAAGGTGCTCAAGACGAAGCTAACATGACCATTGAAGAATATCTACAGCTTTGCTCAATGCCTTCGTCTGATGAAATTACAGAGACGAATGAACGGCAATCCATTGAAAAATCAAGTGCAAACAAAAATGCTCAAGACGAAGCTGACATGTTCATTGAGGAACATCTACAGCTTTGCTCAATGCCTTCGTCTGATGAAATTACAGAGACAAATGAACGGCAATCCACTGAAAAATCAAGTGCAAACAAAGGTGCTCAAGACGAAGCTGTCATAACCAATGAGGATCATCTACAGTTTTGCTCAATGCCTTCGTCTGAAGAAGCTACAGAGACGAATGAACGGCAATGCACTGAAAAATCAAGTGCAAACAAAGGTGCTCAAGACGAGGCTGACATGACCATTGAAGAATATCTACAGCTTTGCTCAATGCCTTCGTCTGGAGAAGCTACAGAGACGAATGATCAGCAATCCACTGAAAAATCAAGTGCAAACAAAGGTGCTCAAAACGAGGCTGACATGACCATTGAAGAATATCTACAGCTTTGCTCAATGCCTTCGTCTGAAGAAATTACAGAGACGAATGATCAGCAATCCACTGAAAAATCAAGTGCAAACAAAGGTGCTCAAGACGAAGCTGACATGACCATTGAGGAATATTTACGTCTTTGCTCAATGCCTTCGTCTGGAGGAGCTACAGAGACGAATGATCAGCAATCCACTGAAAAATCAAGTGCAAACAAAGGTGCTCAAGACGAAGCTGACATGACCATTGAAGAATATCTACAGCTTTGCTCAATGCCTTCGTCTGGAGAAGCTACAGAGACGAATGATCAGCAATCCACTGAAAAATCAAGTGCAAACAAAGGTGCTCAAGACGAGGCTGACATGACCATTGAAGAATATATACAGCTTTGCTCAATGCCTTCGTCTGATGAAATTACAGAGACGAAAGAACGGCAATCCACTGAAAAATCAAGTACAAACAAAGGTGCTCAAGACGAAGCTGACATGACCATTGAAGAATATCTACAGCTTTGCTCAATGCCTTCGTCTGACGAAACTACAGAGACGAAAGAACGGCAATCCACTGAAAAATCAAGTGCAAACAAAGGTGGTCAAGACATAGCTGACATGACCAATGCGAAAAATCTACAGCTTTGCTCAATGCCTTCGTCTGACGAAACTACAGAGACGAATGAACGGCAATCCATTGAAAAATCAAGTGCAAACAAAGTTGCTCAAGACGAAGCTGATATGAGCATTGATGAATATCTACAGCTTTGCTCAATGCCTTCGTCTGATGAAATTACAGAGACGAATGAACGGCAATCCACTGAAAAATCAAGTGCAAACAAAGGTGCTCAAGACGAAGCTGACATGACCGTTGAAGAATATCTACAGCTTTGCTCAATGCCTTCGTCTGATGAAATTACAGAGACGAATGAACGGCAATCCATTGAAAAATCAAGTGCAAACAAAATTGCTCAAGACGAAGCTGATATGAGCATTGATGAATATCTACAGCTTTGCTCAATGTCTTCGTCTGACGAAGCTACAGAAACAAGTGAACGGCAATCTACTGAAAAATCAAGTCCGAAAAAAGGTGCTCAAGACGAAGCTGTCATAACCAATGAGGAACATCTACAGCTTTGCTCAATGCCTTCGTCTGAAGAAGCTTCAGAGACGAATGAACGGCAATTCACTGAAAAAACGACTACAGATAGAGGTTCCCATGAAGAAGATGGTATGACCATTGAGGAATATCTGCTCCTTTTCTCAACTCTTACCCCTGAACCAGCAACAAAGATGAAAGAAAAGAGATTTCCGCAAGAATTGAATAAGGACAAAGTTGCTCAAAATGGAAAAGCAGAGACTCAAAGAGAATCTACAATGACTGTTGATGTATATTCTACGCCTTTTCCTCGGGATTCTTACAATTTGAATAGAGAACAGTTATCTGAAGATTCGAGTACAGACAACGGTGATAGATATAAAAACAAAGAATTTCAAGAAGAAGACATGACCGAAGCAGAATATCTACTTTCGTGCTCCCAGCCTAACCATGGCGAAGAATCAAGCACAAATGCAGGTCAGTCTTCTGCAGTATCGAGTAAAGACAATGTTTATAGAATTGAAGACACAAATGCTCAACAGGAAGCTGGCATGGCCATAAAAGATTATCCGCTGCGATATTCCAAGCCGGTTGTTGACAAAAGCTCAAAGGCAAGTGAAGGGTTGCTTATTGAAAAGTCAAATACAGAAAATGTGGATGAAGATACAATGCTAGAATTTCAAGGAGAAACTGAAATGACTGTAGAAGAATATTTAAATTTTTGTTCACAGAAACTAACCGAAAGGAAAAGTGAAGAGCAGTTCCCGTTAAAACCAATTTCAAACAATCTCCCTAGTAGAGGCATGAATATGTCTTTAACGGATGAAAAGGATCCAATTCAGGATTGTGTGGAATTGTATTCGTACAATATGGCTGAGAATGCTTCGGAGAAAAACGATATCAGATCATGGGATCGATCAATAAAGCCCAAGAAAGATGAGCTACTGTTTGAGAATATCATAAAGGAGTTTGTTCCTGAAGTTCGAGAGGGGGCGGATATGAAATCTATTGATGATGGTTGGTTGAAAAAGGACACAGACACTGTGATAAGAGAAAGACATGAGGGGGATCTCGTTAGCAAAGAGCAAATTACTACAGAAGCGGAAGAATGCAAAACAAAGGCACAAAATATGGCTGATAAAGATAAGGGGGAGAAAAGAACCGAAGCTAGAAAGAGAAAACCTAGTACTGGCTCTCTCGTTGAATCAGGCACTCTGACAGAGTTAGTACAGAAAAGAAAAGATAGCAAGGAGGAAACCAACATATTCAGCACATGTGAAGGGAATGTTGTGAGAAAGACGCTAAAAGATTTTGAACATTTTAGAAAATGTGAAGAAAGTAGCATTAAGAATTACACTGAAAGTTTTCCTCTCTCTGGTCATACACAAAGAAAGTACAGCGCTTCAGAAATGGTAAAGACAGACTTGCTAACAATTAAGGAAGAAGTTCGGCAGAATCAAGAGAACGCTTTTTGTAAGGAGGTAAGTGACTCAACAGTTCCTCTAGATGTAAATATCGCACCTTGGATGCATGCCTCGCAATCAGGACGAGGTATCTATAGTGAAGCTAAGAAAAACAAAGGATCTGAGACCAAATGGTTGAGCGATCAAGGAGATTTGTTGTTACATGCAAAAATCCTGGGTAAGCGCCTTAATGACGAAGACACCAATGACAAAGAGGCAATTATGCGGCTGCCTTATTCTAGTGTATTAGAAGGTGATTTGGAAGATTTTTCTCAGTTATCCAGAGCAAGCCCTTGTTTTAGAATAGAAGAGTCCACTAATACATCAGCCACTGAAAAGGAATTAGCCACAAATTCTTATGAGCAACACAACAAAGTTCCAAAGGATGAGAATAATTCTGAGATTGGTCATGTAAAAATTAAGTCTAACATTTGCGAGCAGTCATGTCTAGACGACAAGAAACACCAAATCTCAGAAAAACCTTTGAATAAGATTGAACAGGACGCTGAGGAAAATCGCGAAAGTCTTGGTTCTCTGTTGAAGAAAACTTGTGAGGAATCAGAGAAAATACCAGAGGAAAGCTCCAAGGCCACAGAAGTCGTATTTTACTCACCTGCGTTTGGTAACCTTAGGGAGCATTCATTCCTTCAGCCTGTTCAGATAGGTGGCGAATTCAACATTCGTGAAAACATATTTTGTAAAGAGGAATGTGGCGTAAGCAGTTATCAGTTGGATCTTAAGCCAATAGAAAGCTTACAAGAGCAGTACGAGCTACGTCAGGCTGTCAAGAAAATATTTTTCATAGGTAGGATTTTTTATTTTCACAATAATTTGCTTAGTTAATTTAATTTCGTTGTTTTACTAAAAAATTAGTTCCACCAGACTTACAATAATTATTTTGGACGAGTCCTGCTTGATTTGTTTTAATCATCCACTTTAATGATCCCAAGTTAGGTCCCAAAATTTGTTCTTCAAGTCTATTTGATATGCGTGATTCATCAGACACTATCGTCACTTATAAGTTTGGACCGATTGATGCCATAGGCAAGTTGGTCATGGGAGTTGGTAAAACCAATTTCCATGTAGCTGTGTGTCAATGCATATCTTTCTGGTTAGTAAAACCATTTTTGCATTCATGCAAGTTTTTGAGGCGCAAAAGTGTTGCCATAAAGATAAGTAAGAAAAGCCAATGTTAAAGTAATTAAAATTTTGACAAGCGTTGATAATTCATGCTAAATCAAAAATTAGACCCATATATGGATCTCTCATCACAAATTTGTTCATGAAATATGGATCATGAACCTGACGTAACAATTTGTATATCAGCCGCATGAATCAACCGACAACAAAACATACAGAACTGCAGCTACAACTTAGAGTTGGAGCTTGTATCAGAAAAGTAAAGTTTAGTCTTCGTGTTATATCATTTACATTTTAAAATAGAATCATTAATCTATATCTTCCTTAATCAGTTCCCCTCTAGCTAACGTGCTCGCAATAGCCTGTTTTATATTGCACATAATATCCTGACATTTTGGGCACGCAACTCATATAATCAGCCCAAATTTTTTTTTAAAATGGAGACTTGGGCAAATTTGGATAAAACGCTTTTTAATACAAAGATGTCTGAAAAAGAGCATATATTTTATTTTAAATGAAGTTTGCAACTTCACTTAAATCATTTTTGACAACCTTAAATATTGGCTATGAGGAAAATAAAAATAAAAAAAGTTATCCGTAATGAATATAAAAGTAAGATGATAATCTTAGTGTAACCAGAACTTAACTGGTTAATTCTACAAATTATGTGGTGCTTTTGCAATGAAACCCGAGTAATGTCTGCAAAGTGAACATTCCCCGCGGTTTAGGAAATTTTTGATAGCTGGCAGGGAACGGGAACATTGAATGCTGGGTAAAATTGCTCGTAGCAACTTTGGTGTTCTTTAAGCAGCACAAGCGATTTATATTGAAATACTAAGGCAAGTTGCGTTTCTTTTAGAAAGAAATTGAATCAAAGAAAAATCGTTGGCCTAACCATTGAAAGTTGTTTGTACTGCTGATATTTTATTTTAAGGCCTACAGAGTATCTTGACCTTGAAACACAAGCTCTGGATAGAAATCTGATCATTTTTATTAATGGTTTCCATAAAGAATGCAATCCTTTGGATCGTAACATTCAACATACTCTGTAATGGCGCTGATGTGATTGAGACTTAGTTATCAGGCATGTTTATACATGTAAACACCGTGTGATTCTAAGAAAAATTCCATGCGGTGATCAGGTTATCGATGGTTTTCTCAATAATAAAGTCACTTTGAGAAGATAATAATGTGTTTTGGTAGTTAGATTTGTAATTTGGATGTGGCTTTCAAATCCACTTTGTATCGTCATACTTGCGTAAAATGCCTTTGAGTTGACATGAGGGTAGCCAGTTGGAAAGTCACCTGTTCGTCTCAAAGCTGGTGTATGTCGCAGAGATGCGTCTGTAAACACAGAAGGATGGTTACATTTGAGTGTCATACTTCAAGATGGAAAATAGAGGAATATGTAGATCGCGAATGCTCAGATTGTCGCACAATGGTGGGTTTTGTTTTGATGTCAGTCAAACTAAATTGGTTGAGATTATTCCTAAGTATGAGATGGGTGGAAGCTTATGGAACAGCTGACTTTCATAGAATGTTTACAGATTACTTGGATGGAGGGTGGGGTTATAACGTATGTGATTTATTTTACAATCTAATATACTCGATTGCATGAAGAAGATACTCCAGTGGGTTAATGGATCGTAGAATTTTGAGTACGATGACTTTTCCATTTCATGTCTGTTAATGAAATTCATGCTCCCTAAAAGAAGCGCTTTAGATAGAGACAGTCTCGCCGAGCAAGGGGGAGGGAACAGAGTGCTCCAAGCTTTAAGCTCCAAGCAGGGGGCCCCAAAAAATAAAACAAAGTTTCTAACAATAAAAACAGCAAAAAATAATAGTTTTAATGACATCATCGCAGGTTTTACCGGGCTCAAGAAAAGCTCTCAGTAGGCCCGAATAGTGGGATGTGTTAAAAGAGTTGAAATTATTAATGATCGTATGAAGGCTAACATTCATCAAAGCGTTCACTTTCTGGATAGTGCAAAGTGACCATACCGTTCGCCCATGTAGCCAGTGTGTAATTGAACGGAAATCACTCCATTTGCCAGGCAAAAACATCGTAATTGTAATAATACCAGTATCCAATCTGTCACATTTAGCCGTTGTAACACTTTATCAAATTGTAAAATGCTAATAAGCATATAGAACATTTTTCTTGTGCTACAGAGCGATGTTTCTACCCACTGTGTATTTATTATATTAATGGAAATATGGAACACCTGTCTTACTTGGCCAAAAGCAATTGTGTGTTGGTTATAATCTTTAATGACGTCGTTGAGCAATGATTTTGCCAACTGTGCACATTTATCACTTGCAGCCATGTAGAACATCATTTCAGACGTAATAAGGTAGAGATTCATGTGAAAATTGCTCAGTTTTATGATTTTTGCAACGGAATTCATTTTGTAAGCAAGATAGGGTCTCTTTTTTTATGGCCAATATGGCTGCTTATCATAAAAATGGTAGCAGGCGTTTCCTGTGTTTCATGGAAATACAACGAAATAAAGCAAGATCTTTAAAATAGCTTGTCTTTTTATGTTGTTCTACCCTCTGGTAAGGTAATAGATTTAGTTTTTATCGAATCTGAGTCTCTTTAAATCCATTGTTGGCATAAACTTTCGTGAGCATAAAAAAATAAAAGTTAGCGGGGATTCTGAAAAAGAAAAGGTTGAGAAGTATAGAATGTGCTATACCCAACAGGTTTGTCAGGAAGGGTAACGCTGAAACAAAGATTGATAAAAAGAAAAAAAAATGATCAACTATTGAGCAATTAATTTATCTACAAATTGACAGCAAATTTTCAGAAACATTTACACAAATTTAAATCAGCATCTAATAACCAACTATTGCTTTAAACACTAGTTATGAAAATTGGCCTCAATCAACGTAAAAATTTTAATGCAACTTTTGCAAAAGTTGCATTAAGCGTTAGTCGATCGATCAAATAAAATTGTTCGCCATTTAAAGAGACGACGAAATAGAAATAGAACGTTACGAAATAGAAAGTGGTGGAAACCTAAATGCTGGCGGATGATGTGCTTTGTACGCAAATAATGCTTCATCAAAATAGCATTACTAGATATGCAGTAGTCAGTTTACTTTGCAAATGAGGTTGTCATGCAAAAAATCGAATTCTTATAAATGCTAGTACCATAATGGAACCAACGTTTGCAAAAGCAACAAAATTCGATTTCTCGAAACTGCAAATGAGTTTTTCACATCAATATCTCTTTCCAAACAAGATGTTATCATTGCTGATAAAATCTTCCGCAATTAAAAAAAATTTTAATGCAACTTTTGCAAAAGCAAATGAAAAATGCTGGAATTTTCTAAGAATTTCCTAGACGTATTTGTGTTTGTCACTAATTGAGATAGAAGCATTTGGTCAATTAATCAAAAATTTAACTCCTAGCTTGTACAAGCTTACTTCAACAAAAAATGAAAAAAAAGAAATTATCAGCAATCGAGTGCGAATGCTCGAGATCCAAGCTCTGACTATACAGCGTGCAAAATATAAACTATATCTGTTTTAGCGATAAGATTTTTATAACAAGTTAGGTCTATCAACCTGATCTACAGATTTGGAAAAATGACAGAAAAATAATCCTGTAACCTTTCATTTAGGTCTGGAATGAGAAACAAAGGCATTTGAGCAAATTCAGGCTTTCATTTGAACTGCAGGACTAACTTTGCTTCGCTGGAACGTTGATATTATCTGTCTCTTCGATATCTGTTGATGTAGGGCGTAATCTTCGTCTCCTTATAGCAATTGATGCATTTTCCATAACAACAAAATTTTCGCTCGCCGTTTGTTCAAGAAAGTCTGTATCATACGAGAGATCTCTTGATTTTCTCGGCCCACTTCCACGGTCGTCTTCAGATTGATCAGATGAAGTTGCTCTAGATCTTCTCTTTTTGGTTACGAAGGACGCATTTTCCATCACAGCAAAATTAAGCAATGAACATTCACTGCTGTCAAAAGTCAGACATATTTCATCAATACTGCCATCGCTATTTCCACTTATGGATTGGCTCCTACTTCTCCGAACAACAGTTGCTTGGTTGTTTTCATTTGAAGCAGTGCAAATGGTTTCCAGATTTTCAGCTTTCTTGCTTTCAACTGCCATTTACAAAACAAGGTTGCCATAGAACTCAACAGATTTCAATTGCTTTCAAAAACAGAGCAATATCAACTGTTCCAGACATAATCCAGGCTCTTTTACTTTTGTCCAGGACAACGTTTTCAACTTCCAAAAAGGACGATTTTCTTTCTGAGTGGGTTTGAGACATGGATAATCACTTAACTTTTTAATAGACCGGACTAATAACACTCTGCGTATGATAAAGTAGTTTATCATCCGTAGAAAACTGGAAACAGAAGCTTGTGTGTCTCCGTATAAGACTCTAGAGGTCAAATTCGTAAGTCAGTCATTCACAGAAAGTGTAGCGTAAGTTGAAAGGAGGGGCCTTTAAACCCTTCATAGTACTACGTACTTACATAATGATATTAGGCGAGGTCTGAAAACTAAGTGAGCTGATTCAGCAGACATGAATGTTTCAAAAGCAGATACGCGATGCTATCAAGTCATGATGAAGAATCAAGCGTACCTGAAAAAAGAGCCAGGGGGGAAAATAACTGTGTCACGTTCCCAAAATTATTGAAATAGTCATTCTGAAGCGGAATTATAGTGCCAGGAATCTGGTTCTGACTTCTGCTATCGTTAGAACTTCTCTACTTATGGACATGGGTTTTTTTAAATCGGCCCCTTCTCGTCGAGAGCTGGCTCCACAACAGCCTTTGCGGCTTGCTAGCATGCACGCACAATGGAGCGATTCAAGACCAACGCTTTTCCGGTAAAATGCATCTTGCACAAACAACCCTTTTACAAGAAAAAGTATCATATACAAGAAAACTTTAAGATTAATTAGGTTTCCTCATCTTTGTCCGCTTTTATTCTCTCATGGTGTGCCAATCTAATTGTGACTTATTAACAAAAACTCTTTTATCGAGATTAAATGTAAGGGATAGTTCAATTGGTTCTTTTCGTTTGTGACCAATCGTCAGCCTATAACCCCTCACCCAAATGTAGAGAAACTTACGCTGTCTAACTAACCTTTCATCGATAGAGCTCTTCCGAGATCAAAATTTTTCTCAGCTGAAAAACTAGTTACTCTTTTTCTAATAAAAAAAGCAAAAATACATGTTTTCGGTAGCCAGTATCACGAAGAATGTCCTTGATTTTGCGAAGCTCTGGACTCGAATTACGTTTTGGAGCAACTCATTAGTACTCTGTTTGCTAAGACTTTATCAGACCGACTTTCCTTTTTCTTGGACAAAAGAAATTCCTTCCAAGTTACTTTCGAACCGCGCATCTGAATATAAATTTTCTGCTTACTGAATATAAATGTTTTTACTCTGGGGCGTGTCGAGCGAAAAATACTTTAGTATGTTATGATACGTTACCGCCTTTCATGCTATCTTTAAATTTTGCGGAACCAAAAACTTTTAGATTTAAAACATTATTGTTTTTAGTGCATCTTTGCAATCATTGCTTGAATAAACAAATTAACAGTTGATTAAACTTTAATTCCATGATAATTATCACTTCTTTACTGTTTTTTCAACATTGTTCAACTTTTAACAATGTTATGATATTTACTTTACCATTCAATATTATACAGTTAGAGCAAATTCAAAATCATTTGCTACCTAAACGCCGATAAAATATCATTGCACGCAGAACCAGATAGAAATCTTCAATGTCTGAATAGTAATTATATCTAAAAAGCTTATCCGTGTTTTATATTAATGACATTTTTTACAATGATTAGAAACAGAGCTCATGCTTTGAGAAACCCTTCCAGCAATACTCAGGGCCCTCGTCACGAATTCTGAAGTAGCTGGGCCAAGGCCAGCGAAAGAAGGGGCCAAGACTTCTTTCCCCTTTTACTGCAGCTTCAAAACTACTTGCTTCGCAAAAAAGTGGGGAGCCATGACCCCCCCCCTCCCGGGAGGCGCGAACCCTGTTCTGCTTTCAATGTTATCGTGTTGAGGACACAAAAAGACATTTTAAAGCAAAAATTAAAGCATTTGATCAGGAATTCAATAGATTTCATGTACCAGTTACTAAATTATCCTTGCTTTGGTTGACGTAACGGTATCCAATTGATGATTTTACATTTTTCTCGTTGCAGCAAAAAACTTCGAAAAATCCGGACCTTTTATTGGTTATTCAGAAAACAGCAGTTGTGAAACACCTATGCCGAAACAATCCGATACCTTGGAAACCACAGGAGACAACTCAGCCAAGAGGCATCTTGACATAAAAACAAAGCGCTTATACACTAGGCAAAAGGCGTTTGATAAATTCTCGTTCCAGCATTCTGAAGAGCATGAAATACTAAGTGGCACAGACGCAAGAACCACAATGAATCGAACAGATAGCGAAAAGCTGGACGAACAAAGGCGAGCAACTTTAGATGCGGAAGGAAAACACAGAGTTCTTACAAATGCAATATCAACAGAAGAGCCTGAGGTAAAACTTTTTCCTACAAGGTTTCTTATTTGAACAATACCGCTGCCTATTTTCTTTATGAAAACCATTTTTGAATGTTACGCATGTGTAAACCGCACGGAGATTTTAGTAACACACCCGTTTATTGCAGAAGGCTTAAAAAGGTATTCGGTAAAAGGCTTTTGGCGAATTTAGGGTAAGAGCTACTTTGACGTGGTTGGCTAAGATCCTCTAGATGTTATTATCTCTCTCGTGCTTTATATTATCCAATCAAAAAAGTATCAAAAAACAATATTTATTCAACAATTTTCTACATTCATTGTTAAGCGTAAACAAAGGAAATTGAGATCAGCTCTATGCTATATTTGGCCAATTCATGTCTTGCTAATTTAAAGGTTGGTGCTAACATCACAGTAGTTTTAAATGCTGATGGAAAGTCAAAGAAGAACAAGCTGACAAGGCAAGAGAAACAGAACATTGAAAACGATGACATGGAAAGTTATGTTATATTAGAAGATAATGCTGCACCATTTGATGAACAAGTCCCCGAGGAGAAAATTGAGGAAATGATCCAGCAAACACCGGATGGAAGTAGTAAGTCAAACCAAATGGGTAAGAAAGATAGACGAAAGCGCAAAACGAAATCTGACAGGAGAAAGAAAACTTTAAGGCAGTTGTCGAAGAAAGACAGACAACAGAGCGAAGACAATGACACTGATGTATTTTTTGAGGCTGTGACTGACTTAGACATGGATGCATTTGACACTGGCATGGACACTGCTTTCAATACAGAAAATGAGCGCGAATTGAACTCCAATGAATCTTTTGAAGAAATTTCAATGGAACACGCGAAAACAGAAGGTCAGATGAAACGACGTGGCAGCAATATAAGTAACGATGAAGACTGTGAATTCGAAATGGTCACAAAACCAGCAATGTCTGACAGTCATGATGATAGCAGTGACTCTGAGTATTCCCTTGTTATATCAGAAGACGACAGCGTAACAGTTGTTATGGGCTTTGACAAAGACCTCAATGCACTAACCATAGCACCGACAAGCCTTGTGCCACCGAAAGCAAAGTCAGGCTACAGTAGTGAACTTGAAGATGATGCAGAGGAAGACGCTGTTCCCAAACGGAAAAGGGAACACAAAAAGAAACATAGCGGCACTGATGATTCTATCGACCGCCAGGTAGGAAGGACAGATCAGGAAAACCAACGTTGCAAAAGTAACAATGATGCAGACACTGCTGGTATAGTTTTAGAACAAGACCTAGGTGACACATATAAACAAAAGATGCAAAAAGACACTAACAAGGGTGAGCGTGAAGACCTTGGTACTCAAATTCTTGAATATGAAGTCGATTGGGAGACAGCATTGGATGACGAAAAATCTGCCGTCGTTACAGTTAATCCTGAGACTAATGAGATCAAAGTGGGTATGAGAAAAGGTTTGATAAAAGGATCTAGAATGCGAGGAAGGGAGAATGATAATTTGAAATCAGATGCACGGAGTTCTGGACTACCAAAGGGCAAATCAATGAACAATCTTGGCAAAGGTATAGAGGAAATGTCAGTTGTCTTCATGAAAGATGAAGACGGTTCTCAAGAGAAAGAAAGTTCAAAAGATTGGGAACAAGATAGAGAAAGAAGAAAACGCCGAAACACAAATAGGAATGAAGAAGGTGGTGATGTTAATCAGAACGAAGATTTAGTTCATATAGCAGAAAAAGAACAAGAGAAACCCATTAAGAGTTTTAGAGAAAGCAGAAAGCGCAGAGAAATGAATCGAAATGAAGTGGATGACAATGTCGCTAGGAAAGAAGAAAAAGACCACAAAGCCGAAGAAGATCAAGAGAAAGAAGTAAAAACCTTGAGAGAAAGAAGAATGCGCAGGGAAATAGATCGAGATGAAGATGGCGATGATGCCGCTAGGAAAGAAGAAAAAGGCCACAAAGCAGAAGAAGATCAAGAGAAAGAAACAAAAAGCTTGAGAGAAAGAAGAATGCGCAGGGAAATAGATCGAGATGACGACGGTGAAGATTTCGATAAGAAAAGTAATGAAGTTCATAAAGTAGAAGAAGATCAAGAGAAACAAAACAGAAGTTTGAGAGAAAGAAGAAAGCGCAGAGAACAAGATCGAGATGAGGACGGTGATGATGCCGCTAGGAAAGAAGAAAAAGACCACAAAGCAAAAGAAGTTCAAGAGAAAGAAATAAAAAACTTAAGAGAAAGAAGAAAGCGCAGGGAAGTAGATCGAGATGAAGATGGTGATGATTCCGCTAGGAAAGAAGAAAAAGACCAGAAAGCAGAAGAAGATCAAGAGAAAGAAGTAAAAACCTTTAGAGAAAGAAGAATGCGCAGGGAAGTAGATCGAGATGAAGATGGTGATGATGCCGCTAGGAAAGAAGAAAAAGACCACAAAGCAGAAGTAGATCAAGAGAAAGAAGTAAAAAACTTGAGAGAAAGAAGAATGCGCAGGGAAGTAGATCGAGATGAAGATGGTGTTGATTTCGATAAGAAAAGTAATGAAGTCCATAAAGTAGAAGAAGATCAAGAGAAACAAAACAGAAGTTTGAGAGAAAGGAGAAAACGCAGGGAAGTAGATCGAGATGAAGATGGTGATGATTCCGCTAAGAAAAAAGAAAAAGACCATAAAGCAGAAGAAGATCAAGAGAAAGAAGTAAAAAGTTTGAGAGAAAGAAGAGAGCGCAGGGAAGGAGATCGAGATGAAGATGGTGATGATTCCGTTAAGAAAAAAGAAAAATACCATAAAGCAGAAGAAGATCAAGAGAAAGAAGTAAAAAGTTTGAGAGAAAGAAGAGAGCGCAGGGAAGGAGATCGAGATGAAGATGGTGATGATTCCGCTAAGAAAAAAGAAAAAGACCAGAAAGCAGAAGAAGATCAAGAGAAAGAAGTAAAAAGTTTGAGAGAAAGAGGAAAGCGCAGGGAAGGAGATCGAGATGAAGATGGTGATGATTCCGCTAGGAAAAAAGAAAAAGACCATAAAGCAGAAGAAGATCAAGAGAAAGAAGTAAAAACCTTGAGAGAAAGAAGAAAACGCAGGGAAGGAGATCGAGATGAAGATGGTGATGATTTTGCTAGTAAAGATAAAAACGCCTACAAAACGGAAGAAGATCTAGAGAAAGATATAGAAAGCTTGACAGAAAAAAGAGATCGGAGAGACCGAATCGAAAATAGGGATAAAGAAGGTAGAAAACAGAAAGAAGAATCTCATAAAGCACCAGATATCGAAGAGAAGGAAATTAAGAGCTTTAGAGAAAGAAGAAAATACAGAGACCAAAACGAAGCCAGAGATAATGAAGATATTGAAAAGAAAGTTGAAAAAAACTATGAGAACGCAAACAACGATGAAATTAGAAAGGAGAGTTCAAGAACAACACAGCAAGAGGAAGTAAATTTGCTCAAAGAAGGTAAAGCAGTTGAAAATGTAGAGAAAGCTAAGCAAGGTGAAGGACAAAAGCCAAGTTCATCGATTCAACAGGTGCAAGGAGAAACGGGAATAAAAAATGAAGGAACGGAGGAGTACTTCTATCAAAATAAAAAAGTGTCTGATCAAAGTATTGACACGGGGATTGAAAGAAGGCGTAATATTAATCCTGATTTACTAGAAAATCAGGCACCACTTGAGCTGCCCAGTGAGAAAAGTCATCTTGTTGCTTATACAGACAAAACGCGAGACAGAGAAAGCAAGACTGGTGAAAAGGCTGGAAAAGGACCCGACATCGAGAAAAGTTTCAATACCAAGGAAGAGGATGAGTACGAGCAACAAGGGGGCAGTGTGGAAAATAGTGATAGGAATATTAACGTTGCAAAGGAAAACAGATTAGAAGCTACAGACGGCAATTTGATTTCCAGGATCTCTAGAACAAACGAAGAAGCTGATGAATTAATGAAGATGTCAAATCCCGGTGGATCAGAGGAAAGAGCAACAGAAATTTTGGCCATTGCTGAAACAATGTTACATCAAAATTTGCCGCTGGACCACACGCCAGAGAAATCTGATTGGGAAGAGCACATAAGGCTAAGAGAAACAGGACTGCTTGATGAAGAGCGAATGGGAAGAAGTCTTATACGAGAGAAGATAACAATGCAAAATGCATTTGATGAAGAATTATTAAAGGAAGCCGAAAAGCGTGCTTACTGGGACCGTGTGCTTGAAATCAAGAGAGCAAGACGAATGAGTGTGCAAAAGAGCAAAGATATGGCAAAGCAAATGAAGGCTGAAAGAACTGGAATAGAAGAGACAGCAGAAGAGATCGACACTGTTATCGAAGGAGAAAAGGAGGAAGAGAGTGATTTAGGGTCTTCATCTAAAGAGAAAAATTTGCCTGCTCAAAAATTTGAAGGGAATGAGCAGCAATATACTGAAGATAGATTAGAGTTGGCGATGGAAACAGGAAAAAATCAGAATATGACAGGTGATTTTATTCAACAAGAAAGGGAGAATAAACTGCAAAACGAAACCGATGATTCGAACACAAATGTTACCAAAAGAGCATCCCTGGAATCCGCGCACAGCATTACCGACGAATCAACGCAGCAAAGCTGTGAAGACATTCCTGAGGTAAGTCCACCTCAAGTGAAGAGGGAAGAAAAAACACAAAAGAAAGGAAAGAAAAGAGACAGGGGCAGACCGGCTGAAAAGAAAGACAAAGAAACAGAAGAAGTGACTAAGAAGGTTCCTTTGATCAAAATAACTGAACCAAGTACAGAAGTGTATTTTGACTCGCAGGATTTAGAAATAGATGATGATGACGAAAAATTCATCGAAGAAGTTTTGAAAAAGTTGGAAGAAAGAAAGTTAGAAAGAAAAAAACAAAGAGAAATGGAACAGCAAGAAGAAGAAAATAGGACACGAGGGAAAAAATCTTCTGATAATTTTGATGACCTTAATTTTGATGAATCTAACATGCAAGAAGATGAAACCAACTCCGACGGTTTAAGAAGGAGAAGAGTCCAATCAAAATCAGACAATCAGTTTGATACAGAGCAACACGATGCTGACAATTATTCTGGAAGGAGAGTAAAAGAAAAGAATTGGGTTGAAAATGATACAGAAGATGACGATTTGTGTTTGGAAGAAAAAGGTTTTGATGTCAGTAGAAAATTAGAGACTTCAACTCCACAGGAGGGAAGAAGACAAAAGCGGGAAGCACGGATAGATTCCGAAGATGGAAAGCAAAGACAAGGTAAGGAAATAGAAAAAATCGCAGGATTTGGAGAAAGACGCCAAGAGTTTAAAGAAAAAATTAGCGATTCATTGATAGCTAACTATGATGAAAATGAAAGTTTTGATCAGGAAATAGATGAATTGGAACGTAACCTAGACAAAAAGATTGGAAAATTTATGAACGAAATCGATGGAGGTAGCGAGAAGAAAAGGACCCGTAACAGACCTTCCTCGGATAGTGAGGGAATTGATAATACTGAAGAAGGGAAAAGAAGAGAAAGTCGCAGAGACGGGAGACAAAAAAGAACAGAAGATGATATAGAAGCTGATGCAGATGATGATGAAGATACTAATTCACTGTCACAGAGAGACAGAAGAAGGCGTGGGAGGGCTGACGATGAAGAACAGGAAATTAGAAGAAATAGAGAGGACACTGAATATAAAGACAGGAGTCGAGGAATAAAAGAAAAACTTGAAAATCAGGATGAAGTTCAGAGAAGAAGGGTGCGAAAATCTTCAGAGAACGAAGAAGAGAGCAGCAGGGAGACCGTAACAAAGCCTGTCAAAGACAGTTCAGATACAGAAAATAGATCGCTTAGAAGAAGATCAAGAAGAAGATCCGAAGAATTTGAATCAAAGACAGCAGGTGAGGCAGAAGAATTAGAAACTTATAGAGAAGAAACAGACTTACAAGATGAAATTGAGCAAGATAACACGGAGTTGTCTGCAACACGTAGATCAAGAAGAACAGGGAAAAGAAAAGAAGAAGAATTAATGACTCATGGAGAGAATGCACAGTTGGAAGCTGACATTGAGCAAAATAACACGGAGCTGCCTGCACCACGAAGATCAAGAAGAACAGGGAACAGAAAAGAAGAATTAATGACTCGTGAAGAGGATGCACAGTTAGAAGCTGACAATGACACGGAGCTGCCTGCACAACGAAGATCAAGAAAAACAGAGAAAAGAAAAGAAGAAGAATTAATGACTCATGGAGAGAATGCACAGTTGGAAGCTGACATTGAGCAAAATAACACGGAGCTGCCTGCACCACGAAGATCAAGAAGAACAGGGAACAGAAAAGAAGAATTAATGACTCGTGAAGAGGATGCACAGTTAGAAGCTGACAATGACACGGAGCTGCCTGCACAACGAAGATCAAGAAAAACAGAGAAAAGAAAAGAAGAAGAATTAATGACTCATGGAGAGAATGCACAGTTGGAAGCTGACATTGAGCAAAATAACACGGAGCTGCCTGCACCACGAAGATCAAGAAGAACAGGGAACAGAAAAGAAGAATTAATGACTCGTGAAGAGGATGCACAGTTAGAAGCTGACAATGACACGGAGCTGCCTGCACAACGAAGATCAAGAAAAACAGAGAAAAGAAAACAAGAAGAATTAATGACTCATGAAGAGGATGCACAGTTGGAAGCTGACATTGAGCAAAATAACACGGACCTGCCTGCACCACGAAGATCAAGAAGAACAGGGAACAGAAAAGAAGAATTAATGACTCGTGAAGAGGATGCACAGTTAGAACCTGACATTGAGCGAAATAACACGGACCTGCCTGCACCACGAAGATCAAGAAGAACAGGGAAAGGAGAAAATGAGGAGGAAGAACAAAATCAACGGGCATCTCGACGGAGAGTAAAAGAAGATCGGGTCTCTTCAGACAATGAAAACTTTCAGAATGAAAAGGAAAGAGACGCCAATACAAAAGTAACAGATAAGAGAAGAGGAAAGGAAAATGAAAATTTAGAGAAAGGAAAGTATTTAGAAGATGCAAATGATATGGATGGAGAAATTGACAACGATGAGCAGGATGGTAAAGATACAAAGAGAGAAAGACGTGGTTCGTTTGGACAAGAAGAGAAGACGAAGATAGATGCTGGTGACGACAGAGAAGGTAACGCGAGATCACGCAGAAGAAGACGTAAAGATCCTGAAGAATCCAACGATTCAGAGAAAGAGACGACCAACGCTAAAAGTGATGAACAAAGTAATATGGGTTCTAAAAGAAGAGACAGTTACGGAAACGAAGTAGACAAACACGATGATGTGACGCTATCTAAGGAAAGAAGAGCAAGAGATGCTAGAAGAACATTAAAAAGTTCTGATGTTGAAGCTCAGGAGAAAGAAGAAAAAGAAGTTAATTATAGAAGAAGAAGAAGTAATGCACGGGAGCAAAATACAACTGAGGAAAATGTCGAAGAACACAAAGAAGAAAAATTAAGGAGGTCTAGAAGATCAGAAAATAAAGATGCGTGTGAGGAGACAACTCAAAAATACAATTCTGAAGCCCAGCTGGATGATGAAGAAGAAATGCCGAGAAGAAGAAGAAGAGCAGAAAGGAACATTAATCATGAAGAGCATGATGTTACAGAAGATTTCATACAGGACAGAGGGAAGGCGGAAGATTTGGATGCAGGAAGTAGCACTAGACATACGAGAGAACCAAGGAGAATGAAGGGAGTCAAAGCGGAGATGAACACCAGTGATATAGAAACCAAAAATGTTGATTCAGACTACAGAGAAGACGAGGAAGAAGGATTAGAAAAAAGAAGGTCACGAAAGAGAAGAGAGATTAATAATAAGCAGCAACATGACAGGATAAAAAAGAACCAAGAAAACGAAGCAGATGATGTAAATAAACAAGGAACACGCAAACGACGTGGGAACGATAAAGAAGACGAAAACCAATCAAATCTCGAAGAGACAGATAACTTAGGCAGGAAAAGTGAAGAAGAGGAAATGGAAAGCGACTACAAAGTACCTATGGCAGATGATGGCGAAGATGAGGAATTGCATATACAGGAAAAAGGGACAGGAAGAGGACGAAAGAATAAGGACGTTGCTGTGTCTGATAAAAACAACAATATGAAAGAGGTAAAAGAAAAAAGGGAAAATCGTATTAACAGACGCAGGTTAACAAGCGGGTCGGCCAGCCAATACTCTTCTGATGATACGTTGAAAGGCAAAACCGCCAATACCAGACGGATGCGTCGAAAGTCTCCAACAGGAAGTGACGAAGAGTCATTGCAAGTTTCTAGGACACCAAGTGATGTTAATTTAACAGATGAAGAGGAAACGAGGACAAAGCAGAGAAGAAGTCCTTCCAGTACAGACCATTACACAACGAGGCCTAAGAAAGAAAAAGAGGATTTTGATGAACTAGTTGGGGTTCCAAGAAGTCCATCGTCACGAAATTCGTGGAAAGGAGGTGACACAAGCAGGAGTGAGACGGATAGAAGCGAGGCTGAAAGTGACTGGACACCAGCATGGCAAAGTAAGAGATTAAGATTGATTTTTGATAACTTAGATCTTATGGGTGATAACGTTGTAGGGCTCGCAAGGGCAACCTAGCAGGAAACCTGACGTTGGCAACCCTTCATAGGCAGAAAAAAGCATTTTGATACAACCCAAGGAAGATAGAGAATAGTTCAGCAATAATTTACGTAAAATACCAGTTTATTAGACACTTTATTCAGGAAACTCTTACCAGAAAGTGCATAATGCTTTTACTGTCCTAAATTTCCATACATAAGTCAAGGAACTTAACTACGAAAATTTTTGGAGAATTTAGCTCAAGAAACGACCTCCAAAGAGAAAGAGCCTTTGTTCTATCGGCAAAAATCAATCAATGACATTAAGAAACCAGAAGTAGGTAAGACATCAATGTACTTTCCAATATCACTTTAATGCACAGTTGCAAGGGTATATTTTGATCTTCGCAGACAAACCTGAGCTGGGATTGACAGAAGAAGATATAGAGATGGTTGGCAGACGACGAAGATCTTCATCACGGAACGAATGGAGAAGCGGTGACGAGAGAAGTGAGACAGAAAGCATAGGTCATCGTAGTAGACAAGGTTTGTATAAAGTAGAATATGTAAAAGTCCATCTGGTTTCTAAAAGTGTAATTTTGTCAAGTTATATTATGATATATTTTGTTAAAAGTGAAGTATAGTAATGTTAGTTCTACCATCTTTCTAACCAGGACCCCGCCCTTCAAATGTTGAAGTTGTGCGACTGCATTACTAAAGAAAAGCTGTTGTAATGGCTCGATATTAATGTGTGTGTGTGTGTGTGGGGGGGAGGGGGGGAGTGGGGTGGTAACAAAATATAATTTCCATTGATTTGTTGCAGCTCAAGGCTAGTTTAAATGCTATACATTTGCTTTCTTGTCGCATTCATGGAAATGTCATGTTTTAGCCCCAGCAGAAATCTGATTTTCAACGAAAGAGAATGTTTGTCAATGATGGTCTTTAGAAATAGTAGGCGATCAGGGAAATACTTTAAGAACGTGAAGCTGAATTCACATAAATACTCAAGGCGATTTACTATAAGAAGTAATTTACTATAAGATATAGAAAGTCTGCGAAAAAGCTAATGTATGTTTCACAGCAGATTCTACGAGTTGATAGTATAGGCGTAGGAGTCATAACAGTTGCGCGGCTTCACACCCCCCTCCCCCCTCCACCACAAAAGCAAGCCAAATTTATCGCACTTCAAGCTCCATTCGGTCAATCTTATCTGAACGAAGCGACAAAATTTGGGCAACTGCTACGTATATGGTTGAGAGATCATTAAATAGAAAGTTTTCAGTTCCAAATGGTTGTAAATGTTAATTTATACAAATCTTGATTCTACTTCTTTATAATCATGCACTAGGAATTTCTGATGTGGATGGAAACTTTCACAGAAAAAAAGAAGAGGTAGATAGGGTAAGAAGAAGTTCCGTGGAAAGTAAGTCATCAGCAGATAATTCGAAAAGGAACCGAAGAGAACCTGAGAGTGTCCCGGATGAAGAGAGTAGAGAGCAGTACCCTGGAAAGGGGAGAGACAACGATGACAAATATGGAAAATCTACTGAAGCTGAGGACAAAAGAAGTTCTAATCAGATTAAAAAAGGTAGCAAATTAGGCCGACCAAGCAAGGAATCATTAGACCAAATGGTAGGGTGTATCAGGAGCTCGTCAACAAGAGACGATTGGAGACGAATACAAGAGGAGTGAAGAGCATTTTTGTAGCTAGAATGAATCTTTAAAAAGATTGAAACTTATTGTAAAAACAAGCTGTAAAGCTTAAATTGATGTAAAAGCCACTGTCTTGTTTACTACGTATGAACTAGTTTCTGATTGTTCTAGTTGGAAAATTGGAGTCATCTTTTGAAGGAATATTGCTGAATTTGGATGTCCAAGCATAAAATACCAATATATAAGAGAGTGCTAGTCTTTTTAGTAGCAATATGACTATACCATCTTCAGATACAAGTAATAACTCCCAAAAAACATTTTTAGGTACTGGGGTGTGAAAGGCAACAAGGGATAACCAACAGACAAAACAATATTTGAGCTTCTAACCTCTTGTGTTAGAACCAATTTTCTCACAATGGATACATGCATTTCATTTCCAGAAGTAAACATTTCCAGCAGGAGTGCATTTCTCAATAAATATACGCTTCTTTTGGCTTGTTTGATCATTTGGGTAAACAGAAGATATTTTGTAATTTTTACTATTTTTAACTACCGTAAGATTTTGTGTTTTCATACATTCTTCTTATACCGTGTTTTATATGAATTCCTGCAAAACTGTAGATTTAATAAAATGTATGCCTTTGGTATGAAAACGTTTAGTGTATTAGTGAATGACAGGTTATGTTTGTGTTTAATCCTATGTCTTTTTCCTTTTCATTCAACTGGATGTTCTTTGGAAATAAAGTTTGAAATGCACAGAACTTCTGAACAACAGGCTATAGTTTATTCCACTTAACAACAATAAGACATTCTCAAACTCTAAATTTACCTAAATACAAGGATTAAATAAATATGATACATTTTTCTTACATAATTAGATATTTGCTGTATATAATTTCTCTACAAAGCCTACACAATGAAACAATTACACAACTATAGTAAAGAAATTAAAATCTATGAAAATATGAATTGTCTCTTCTATAATATTCATACCCTTAACCTTATTAGAAGACATCAAGGTTATTAAAAAGTCCCTCTTTGGCAATAAATGTTTTGATGGAAATGGTTGCTTGTTCCTGTGGTTAACACATAAAGAATAATAAGCAAATAGACATGTTTGAATGCAGACCTGTTATTGAGACATACATCTTCAGCTGGTGGCAGTCATTCTCTGCATAACTTTAACTTGCATTGCTTCTGCATACCTTTTGCGACGATTCTCTTTGTATGTTTTCAATCGCTCAGCCTCATCTTCAGAATCAGAACAGACACAATTCCATCTTAGGGTCTCATTGAATAAATTTACAACTTTATCAACACCGTCTCTACTGACATTCTCATAAGGAGTTGCCACTTGAGAAACCACAACACCTGCAACATTAGTCTGGTCTTGTTCCTTTGATCTCTTTGATTTTGCTTTGGTTTTTACTTTAGATTTTCGAGTGAGCTTTTTTGCACTATGAGAAGAGGGTCTCTGAGGCTTTGATCCTTTGCATTGAATGGTTGCTAAAAGTTTGTATGAAGATATCAGAAACACACAAATTACTTTTATGATTTATATGGGTATATTAATAAACAGACTGGGATATGGCCAAGGTATTGTGCAATCCCTGCAATAAAACAGTGCAGTGGCAGCTCGTGAGGTAAATTATTGGTGGGGCTGATGACAAAATATTCAAAATCTAAAGCCATAGACCCAAAACACCAAGAATAATAAACTAATCCACAAGGCTATCATAATTTTGAAAGTTTTAATTGAAAACAACAAATGCTTCTATTAATTATGTGTAATTCAAAATTAACAAAGAAATAAACTTTGTTCAATGTTGGCAAGGTCAACTTTATTTGTTCAAGTCTGCTGGACTGCTTCTCACTTCACAAAGATCAATTTCTCTTCAAGATCAACATTGCCTGTTACAACCAACAAATATTCAGTCACCATTAAACTGAGTTACTTGGTGCTAGTTTCAACTAGCCCTGAAGGAATGCAGATTTGTGCAGAATTGACCAAGCAGAAGGAATTGACCACTTGATTGGTGCATTCTCTTCTAGTTTGGGGCCAGCCCCAAAAGCTCGGGAGATGGTTTTTGATACGCGTGTTTGTCTAGTTTTCAAAAGAACTGCAGGCATTTGGACCTAAACAAAATATTTTTATCTAATTTTAGAAGATATAAAACTTTTGAAGATAGTCCCAGTGAAGTAATTTGAAGACTTGTGAAAAATTTCATTCCTTGCATCTAAACTTTCATACCAACAAAAATTTATTAGAAATTGCAAAATTTTTTAACCCTCATTTTTCAAAATCCAATTGTTTTCTAATTTCACTAACTTCTAAGGTTCACTAAGTTTTTTAAAAATACCTGAGTGTGTACACTTTTGAAAGTTTTGAAGCACATTTTAACGAAGATGTACGATAGTGGTAGTAGTTCACAAATTACAGCTTTGTGAAAAAATTGGTTAATTGTTCATGAAGACATAGATCTGTCTAATAACTTGTTAATGATCTTGTTAAAAATAATTTGCCAATTCTCAGAGGCAGTTCCCAGTAAACGTTTCCATTCAAATACATTACAAAAAGAAACACCTTCCCAACAAATTTCAAGTATCTTACCCAACACATTCCACTAATTAATATCGCATTGAAACGTATAGGAAGTAACGTGGCAAAGAAATGTACGCCCATTATACCTTTAACGTTTGCATTCACGATTCCGTCCGATTCTAAACTTGAAGCAGTTGCACTTGAAGAGCTCCGTTTTGCTAATAAGCGGGTTGAAGTCTCTGTTTCCTTAGAAAACCTTCTATCTGTGTCATACATATGAGGTCCATCATTTTTTTGCAAGTAATTCCGGGATCGCAGTTTTAACTTCCTAGCAGGAGTTATTGGCATGATGTAATTTCCACCTCTTCTCCAGATGTTTACTTTGCTTTTAGACCGTATCGTGTAAAATCTGGCTTAGCCAGCTTTGGAATAAGACCTTGTTATGGTAAATTTAATGGTCACATCGTGAAATGCATCCAATTCATCATGACATCATAGACATCCACAATACCACCACATTCAAGGCTACCGCTGTTTCATTATTCATTCAAATAAAAACAATGTCTAAATGATAAACTATTCACGATTAGATTTCTTTCTGTATTGTAACTGCCGTTACTTCACCAGCCTTTATTAATTAATGTAATTAAATAGTTAAATTTGAATTAACCTCAAGAGGCTGTTCCAGGTTGTTTTCAACATTTTCAGGCAGTTGCCATAGAAACATTCTGGCAAGGTCTGGCTCCGAACGAGGCAGACAGAGGGCTAACATTAAAAAGGAGAACAGAGGGTTGACATTGGTTCGTTTCATTTACTCTAATGAAGCCCTGTATGCCTTAGCGAAGTATCAGTATATTTCTTAAATTTAATTTATTTTGAAAATTTTATCCCGTGACATTGGATTCTCGTCGTCGTATTGCTTTGTTCCTGTATATCCTTCATTAAAAAGGAGGTTGGAGGGCAGACCCAGCGTATTGGAAACTTTTGAATTAAAATTTTCAGTACATACTTTGTTTTGGACTCATTTTTTCAAAGCCCTTGATCAACTAGAGTGCTCATGAAAGCAGATACGGTGGAGAAGAAGAGGACAAGCTGCAGCGCCCGAGCGCTTATTCGAGGCATTACGGTATATTTTATAAGTATTCTTGTTGAGCGGGCCTTGCAGTCGATGCTAAATGCAGACTCATCGTGATGTTAACGGAGAGGATACCATCTAAGCATGTTGTAACAAATCATCGGTAAACATTTTTTTATTTGGAGCTATGCAATATTTGGAGAGAAACGGAGTTGCAATTCGTCAGGGCAAAGCATGATAGATTCATAGTGATATTTATGAAACTGATCTCATTTCAGATTGCAATACTGCTTTTCATACAGAAATAGGCCAATCTTTACAGCGAGAAGGACTGCAAAATTGCAAAATGCAAACCAGAGCGGGACCTCCCTGAACAAAGTCAGTGTGCTCGAGCCATATATCTCGACAAAGCTGGGGCCATGTTTCGCTAGAAACTTTACCGTCGAAACATACGATCAGCAAGTGGAAAATCAGTTTGAACTTTGCTGTCAAAGCTGGTTGACTTTTACTTGCCAAACAACAGGGAAATGTCGCCTCAACAACTCACCAGCTCTTTGACATTCAAAAGAAAGAAACGATAAAGAAAAACGAGTTTAGAGTAAATTCTATATAAAGCATTACTAAATCTGTCTAAAACGAAATAAAAATAAAAGTAGCTCTGACAGGTTTTAGTATCTGATTCTACAATTTCATATTTGGTTTGATAACACGAATCAATTTGAAATACTATGTTATGCGGATAATGAATGGAATCAAATTCATAGATTTAGTAAAGGAAGGCTAAGCCAACGAACTGGTATCAGATCAATCGATGCAGCTGATACATACTGCACTACTTACTACTAGCTGTCAACAGATTATAACCAACGCCACTTGAGGTACAAAGTAGTTTTGGAATATGATTTTATGCATCATTTATCAGTTATCAAGACATAAAAAGAGATAAGATACATAAAAGGAGGATCAGTGTAAAGCCAAGCTTCGTTTAATTTTTACATTTACAGCTAGAAAATAACAAGCTGTATTTCATCATTTTGTTCCTTTGCGAGTCTCTGTCTGCAACTACACCTCAGTTACTTTGTCGTCGTCTTTCAAATAATGAATCGAACAAATAAACATGTACATAAAACAAAATGATCGTTTGTCATTCCCCTTAGTTATCATAGTCGTGAAGATATCGTTTGAGCCATTCTGCAATAATAAGCGTAAAATGTCATCTATTTAACAGACAATAGCTTTATTGACAACAAACAGCCTGTTGTCCCCATCTACAAACGTAGTTAAAGAAAATAGACTTAGGTAATAATTTATCATTGAGCACTATACTGGAATGTCTTGCATACAGTCAATTTCAACTCTTTAAGGTGGTCAGGGTTGGTTTTCATCTTCAGCAACCTAAAAAGAATTTAGCTTGATTAAATAAAAAGACAAAACGCACAAGATTAATAAAATACCATGCTGGGTTGCAACTCAAGGATCAGAACCTGGGAACTAGGTTCCCATAAGATTTTCAGACTTATCAGAAAATTTTTTCGAACACACCAATTTGCGAAAAAATATCTTTAGTTATTACATCAAGGAATATATTGTCCTTCAGACTGCGAATCAAACAAGAAATTCTCAATTTTTGCAGAACTTGATGCAAGTCTGAAGGACAATTATCTTCAAATGGCAGCAAATTTTCAGAAAAATGTTTAAGTTCTCAGAAAGGAACTTTTGTTGCAGCCATTTTACAAGGCTCGGCAATGGAAGTGTTACAAGGAACATTAAATAATAACGACTCCATCAATGACATGAAATAAACATTCATAGTTGATGTGTAAATAAATTTCGCCAAATAAAGGTTCAAGGAAAAAAATAATCCTGTGTAACAACTAGAGACTGTGGACCAAAAAGACTGGTCTATCGATGAAACCAATTCTCTTCAACGTAAATATTTAAAGAGTGAATGTTTGAGTTAAAAATTGAACGGTAAATAACAAATTACTCTAACCAACCTCTTTTCGTTTTCCGGTGTCTTGAATTGAAAGCTGCTCTTTTAGCATAGCTACAAAAGTGAAAAAAGAGACTTGCGAGTTTGCTAATCGAGATTGGGTGTACCACAATCTAGAGTGCCTGGAACAATTGTGTACATTGTGGAATACCCTGTTTCCTGCAGCATGCCCCCGTAATGATGAACATTTTCAAACTCCTTGTTATCGCATGCAAATGGCTTCAAATAATCAATAAAAAACTCAGTCAGACCACCTTTTTGGGACGCAAATTAAAATCAGGCTTGGTTTGCACGTTTGGTTTTCAAACATCTAGATCAGATGAACGGAGGTAGAGAGAAAAATGAGTTCAGAGAATTCCAGAACTGGTTTTGACGATGAGTGTAATTAGCTTCGAGAATGGGGTCTATGAAATATCTCAGAGTTTCAGAATATTTTGAAAGCATATCTGTAGTTGCGAATTGAATAGGTCGATAAATATCGAGCTGTAAGACAAGTTTATAAGGAAGTTTTTATTCAAGAACCATCTTATATTCTATAGGAAAAGCGAAGAAAATTGGTTAGGTTGCAGGACCTTTTAGGTCAAAACAAAACAAGCTCAAAAAAAATTGAGAAAATTTGTACCTATTTCTTGTCGAGCTTGGTCCAGATCTGACTGCAATATCTTCTCGGTACTTTCTTTATCGAACTGCTCTGCCATTACACGGTCTTTTAAGAACATTATCTACGATATGAAAATATAAATTTCATGAGCCTTTGTCATTGAAATACTTGAAAATGCCATGAAAATGCTGGAACAGAGAAAACTGTATAGTTTAATTACCAGTGAAGTACAACAGAATTTGCGAGAAAATACACCCAAAGAGAATGAGAGTGAATGATACGAGCATGGTTGGACTCAAACCCACGACAAGAGACCAGCTTGTGACAAGTAGCTCAGAGGTAGAGCAACCACGTTCAATGTCGCTTGTCACTGGTTCGAGTCATGTTCACTCTCTGGCTTGTTTCTCCTGGCATTATGTAATCATCATATGCGTTCTTGGGAAGTGTCAGACAATAAGGAATTTTGTATGCTTACACTTTTTTACACTTGCTTCCTACATTTAAATCAAGAAGAGACTGCATTTCTCAACGGAGATCGAACGTAACCGATATGATAAAATAATGACTGTTTTAACTAGAGCAATGTACCTAGAGGATTAGGGTTTTCTTCTTAAATATCTTCTATGGAAAGGTGTAAGGACCCTTAATGGTTGAAATACAACAAAGCGTAGGTACTTCAGGTAAATAAAACATTGTGCAAAAAGAAAACTCCTCCCTCTCATATATAGGCTAGAGATTTTCAAAAGTTTTTAAAGAAATTTCAAAGAGAAAAATGAAGCTTTGCTCTGAAATACAAAATTTTACCCTACAGTTAAAAAAATTACAAAAACATACATAACAGAACAAGAAATAATTTGTTATGTATTATAATGTCAAGAGATGTTCATATAAAGAAACACTCATACGTTTGTGATTGAAAGTCAAGGTAACGATATGAATAGTAAATAAATTTCAAAATAACCAACCTCACTCCGTAGCTGCTGCTCGTTTATCGTGGCATTGAGTTGCAATTGTTCCATCTTGTCTTTGACAACTTGAGGATCAGCTTCACTTTTTGAAGCCTTGGAAAAGATATTATTATAAATACTAATGTTAAAGGGTGTGCTCAAAATCTAGTCTACAAAAAAAGTAGCCTTATTGAGCCAAACATTTTGGTTTTCTTAGAACGAACGATGTATAAATTTACATTTAGTTTCTTCAAGCAACAATATTTTGCATGAAAAATTGCTTTGATGTGATTTTACGTTTATACGTTAGTTAAGATTTGATGTAATTTTACATGTCATGTTACAAATTATTTTTAATTCACCATCCATTTTCTCTGTCATTTTCTTTACGGAATTAAAAATCACGTTTTATTAGTTTCAAATAAAGAAAACTTAAATTTTTTTTACCCATTGTTTATTTACCACGTTAGTGGTTTAATTAATGCGAGAGCCATACTTTATATACCCACAAATATTCAATTTGAAAGTACAGTTATAGTACAACTTAATCTACATCCTAGGACAGTGACTTCATCCTTTGAAAATCTAGTTCTCCGTGACTTCAGTGTGGATGATCTATATATACAATACTAATAACTTATTAACAATATTTTCAACGTACCATTGTGAGTTGTTGATCGTCTCTTAACGTTTCCTGGATTGCTTTTAGATTTGCATTTTCTTCGCGCAGTGAGTCCAACTAGAAAAAAGCAGAGACGTATAAAACTTGATATCAATGAAAAAAAAACAAAAAAGTTTATAATTAACGGGATACTTGACAAATGAAAATGCTGTTGAACTAAACTATTCCTTACTGCTAAACTAAACTGAAAAAAATTCTACAAAAGTGGCATGCGTCAAACAAATCATGAAATTAAGCTTCAAAAATCCATCATACCTCGCTCATCATTTTATCTCGATCTTCAGAAAGTTGTAGCTTAAAGTAAGATAAGAGTGGAGCATAAAAACAAAGGTTTTAGCGAGAAATTTTAAAGCATGGAAAAAGATACAAAAATATTTCTTGGTGAAGTTATGAACATCAGTCATTATGAAGGATTAATATTTCTTATTTATATGGGCGATACCTCTAGCCAGATCACATTGCTATTTTTATCTGATTCTCGGCTATAAAAATCTCTTTCAATATATTTGATTTTTCAGTGGTTTTTCAATGATTTTTAAAACAACAACTAACCAATTTGAAATGAACATCTTCTTGTAGCGACAAGAAATCGTTTTGGATTTCGTCAAAGATTTTCTGTTGCTCATTTTCCTTTTCGGCGTGTAGATGAATCTGAAATCGAATAAAAGACGATTCAGTCAGATATTGCTAGTTATCAAACACCTTGGAACATGTATATGCCTCCGAGCACTTCCCCTTTTTCTAACGTTTTAGACTATTGCAGTTTCTTTAAACTCAAGTTGTAATAGAAAATATTTTGCATTGATGTTGAAGGGAAATCAATAAAGCATTTGCTGGTCAAATTATGTAATAAAAATTGCGATCAAAGCCGCTACCTGATTTTGGGCATCTTCAGAGGCTTTACAAATACTTTTTTCCAGCTTGTCAACTTTTTCCTTCTCTGCACGTAATTCCAGCTGTTTTTGATTGAAAGAAGTAATTTCAGACAAGAACACAGTCTTAAACCTCCCCTTTGGGCAAAGTAAATACATAGAAATATAGTAAAGAATTAAAGTAAAATTTAATAGAGAACAAAAATTATATAAACCTGACGGGAAAGGGATTTATGGCTACACCAGAGTGAAAGATGAAAGGGAAATACTATTGAAAAGGAAAAGCAAGAAAAAAGAAAAAAAGACAGAAATGATGTCTCAATAATAAAAGATTAAAAGAAAAGTGAAGTCACGAGATAATATAATAGTAAATAAAAACAATAACATAAAAACAACATAAGAAACATTAGGCATCAACTTTATCATAAATTGAAGGTCGAGAATGTCATTTTAAATGAAGCAGAAGACGAAACTTGCTTATAACCCTTATCCTTAATCGTTCGATAAATGCTCTAGAAGGTGAAAGGGTAGAAGCTCTTGAAATCATGCCAGTAATTTATAATACAAATCATAGCAGCACAAATGCTAGGAAATGGTTTGTATTAAGACACATTCATAACATCAGGCATACAGATTACACGATCAGAGAGCAGAATTTCTATCCTCAAAATAAAAACGCTCTATTCTTACCTTTTCCTTCTTTGCGAAAGTCATTAATGCATCTTTTTTGTCCTTTAAATCAAGATGTTCTCTCTGCAACCGTTGCAACTGCTTTTCGTAGTTTTGGCACATCATACAAGCTGGATGTGTTGTCAAAGACTTAAATCAACAGAAAGTTAATAAGAAGAGTTTTTGAAGCGCAGCTACGTTTATAATATTCACTTTTTAGATTGCTTAAAAGTCCGTATTGAATTCGATTACGATGGTTCCAGCTTATGATAAAAAAGATACATTGAGTCCTGAAAAACACATTATCAGTTTAAACATTCAAATCATACTTTGGTAAATCATTTAAAGGTTTAAAAACTATCCTAGTCTGTGAAAACTAAGAAAGATAACTAAGAAAAGAGCCTAGGACAATGTCCTAAAAATAAATCATTAACAAAAATTTGAGAAGTGTGGGAAGTCATTTAAGAAAAATCCTCACCTCTTTCATTGTACTCCATCCAGTCTCGTTCAAATGTAATTTCTTCTCTAATTCGGCTACTGTTGGGGATGAAATGACTGCCCAAGCATCTTCCCCTGATGCAGAAATAACTGCAGAGACGTCGCCTTGAGACAAAGATTTGCCAGCCGGCGATGGAATACGTATGCCTTAGAAGAAGAAAATTTGATGAAAAGAGGATAAAATGTGGACGATTTAACTTTAAAATGCCTAATGAAAGCAGTTATAAGTTAGTTATCACCTTTACAAAACTTATTTTCTCGAACCATCAATAAAAAATCTTCCACTGTAAACAGCTATGGTCAAATAACTAATCTGTGCTGGGCTCATTTGAGGGCTGTCGGCGTTTCCCAATATTCTCGAGGAGTAAGGATAGGATATGGAGCGGGGGAGGGGTGTTAACAAACAGGGGGGGAGGGCAGGGTGAATGACGAGATCTCCTTATTCCACATGACAACGCCTAATCTCACATATACGCAAGGAGATGATTAAAAAAGATGAGCTACCTTTTTCATTGGATATATCCGAGCTTGATGCAGACTTTCTCATCATATGCTCTTTGTCCTGCTTCACTCCGTCGATATCTTCCTGTAATTCCTCCCCTTCTTCCAAGCTTCCAAAGCGATTCATTGAAACTTTAGATGGTGATGAATCAGGACTATCAACGCTTCCATTACTTGAAGGTGTCGAAGATTGTATCTTCTACAGAGAAATGACATATATGAATTGTGACGTCACGTTACAAATAACGAGGGCTTAATAAAAAGGTGATCTTTGGCAGTAGCTGAATTTTTCTGAAAAAGATTAATTGGCTCATATCAAAAGTAAGCCTATTTAATGACGCTAAACACGCTACACCTTTATCTTAATATACAACTGTTAGTTAGGAGAAAAAAACAGAAAACATTGGCATGTGGCATTGCTATAATAGGGCAGTCGTGATGCTTGTCATGGCTGTAATATAAAGTTATCGCTTACTTCTTGAAAGTAAAACATCCACCTTTATACATGCTATTAGTAAAAATGGTTTTAAAATTATCGCATAGATAATAGGCTTTGAATACCTCAATAAGATGAACGTCGTTTGGATCTACACTACTCTGCCTCAAAATTTTGTCTTTCTTAGGGCTATCATCAAAGTTAATGAGGTCGTCATTTGAATTCCCGGCCGCCTGGGAATGTCCGGTAGGTGTTTTTACAGCATGCGCCGGTCGGGCTTGCATTTGGCGGTATTCCTTTGAGAGACGCTCATTCTGTGCTGGTGTTAGAAGCTCGCGCATCTTTTCGATTTCCCAAGAGAGGGCCATGTGTTGTTCTAAAAACTGCTCGTTTGCTTTCCTCCAAGTCTCTTTCAGGTCCTTATGGTCTGTCTTTTCTTGCTCTAACAGCCTGCAAACTATGCAATAAATAGTACAAAATAAACAGGATGAGAAATAATTTAGAATTGCAGCTTTTAAGAAAACAAATAGGAAAATATGAAGCTAATCAAAGAAAACAATGGCTGGACACAAAGCTTCTCACTTACCATGATGTAATTCGCTTCTTAATTTGTCTGCGTCTTCTTGAAGTACGCCTAGAAGGAAAAGCTAAATGATTTGTGGTGTTATAAGGAAGAAAATATTCAGCTTGGAAACTGTCTTCACAAGGAAATGTACACCTCAAGGCAGTCTTAGCAGAGAAAGTGCTTATCAGAGGCCTAAATATTTTCCGTACTCGTATTTAATTCCTGCAGCTGGTAATCTCTGCAGTTTTTCTGGATACGCTGTTCTATGTTCCCATAATTTATTTGTCTCTAGCCTAATTAATTTGCTTAACTTGTAAAGACGAAAGAAAATTGATTAGAGAGATAAAGCAGTTAACTAGATCCAAGATAGGTAACCCTTTAACTGTGCCCAGTGCTTCTGGATCTAAGAAATACAAGACTTGAAGCAAGCTTTGTGCTGGCAGAAGATTGACACTTTAATGTACAACACGTTTCATTTCTACGGATAAAGCTTTTAATAGCATCAATATTCGCTAAAACTCTGAACGACATATCTTAAAAAATAAAATGTCAATCAAAACCGGCATTATTGACAGTTTTAAGACAACTTACTGAGTCTGGGTTGAGAAGATGAATTTTGGTAGGGATCTTTGAAAGGAGCATTTGTACAAAGAAATAATGGTTCTTATTTATAAAGATCATGTGAACAAACAGCCTCTCCACTACTGTATGATGTGTGAAGTCACGATATCTAAGCCTTTCTTTTAATATGAACAATACAGAATCAGATTGTGGGTGTTTGCCCCGCAGTCATTCAGACATAACATGTTACCTTTTTGGGTATTTAATACAGCAACAAACATCTCTAGATCGGTCCGCGAGGAGCGCTCTGCATCTAAATAGGTCTGTAGCTCTTGTACTTTACTGACTAAAGCCTCTGTGGAGGTTTCACCTTCTATTGCGGTTTTAGCAGCCTAAGACAAAATTTGAAATCAAAAACATAGGGTAAACCTAAGCTTAATTTTGATTGTGCTTAGAAAAAGAAAAACCTATTGATTATAGAAACTAATTCATTAACCTCGTGTAGATAGCTTTGAGCAACTAACAAAGCTTGAGATTAAGTAACCGAATTTCAACAAAAAGTCTACGATTAAACAAAACCACGGAAAGCTGTGTTGAAAATTTTTACATCGAATGCAGGATCCAGATGTAAAAAATATCCATCAATAGAAGCAAACCAATCAAAAAGCTCTTCTTCTATTCCTAATTCTTGTTTGATATTATGTGCTGTGATAAGAAAGTAAGCCTATTTTTCAACTGCACCAATATTACTTCCGTAGGATAGATATCATTTCAAAGGACTTTAATACGTAATACACAAGAATACGGTTTTCAAATTAACATATATACCTTTGCTTCAAATATTTTAAGCCTCTGGTTGGCATCTTTAAGCTTATATTTCAATGCCTGTATTTCCTGAAATAAGAATGAGAAAACTTTTTAAAAATATGTCTGTTAATGAAGAATTGTATAGACAAGTGCTCCGAATTGATCTCGCCTGCCACGGTTCCAGAAACAGCTCTCTGATGAACATCCTTCTAAATTCATTTAGACTAGGCCAAGGCTGAACAAGTTCAAACCCAACGGGTTTTACAGGAATTAATTTAAAATTAGCACAACCGGGGGGGTGGGGGGTGGGGGGTAGAGGATGACATAGAAATAGAAAATGCTGGGTTTAGGGAAAAGCAAAAACCTGAAATAGACACATGAATCTTGTGATGTTAAAACTTCTAGCCAAACTTCTAGTTTTAAACCTATATTATCTATCAAAAAGGGGTGGTTTTTTAAAGCAATAATTTTCTGGTAGCACCCCATTCTACCCTGCATTCCATCGTAAGGTAGATGAATACGATGGACTCTGGTCATTCTCTTTCGAATACCAATGAAAATGTACATTATGATAAAAATCATATACATTTGGCAAAACTCATATTGTTTGAAAAGCACTATCATTTATATAATGCAAAACTGTAATGAGAGTTATTAAAACAAATAAAAATACAAAAACCACAATAAGTAAAAAATTTGTTTTTATTTTCAGCTCGAAAAAAGACAACCTAAAATAAAATTACAACTGCTGATATCATCAGTTAGAATCGATAGGCTAGAAGATTCTGCTACATAAAATATGATCTACTATATACTGTCAAAGCTTTGCGAATGAGAAGATACCTCACAAAATCCAGTTGACATTAAAATGATGGATAAACTGCCTTACAAAATGTGTCTAACTTCAATTAGGGCTTGAAGCTGTTAAAGCATTTCTCAGAGTTTTGAAGACTTGAAGATTATATTACGTTTACTGTTAAAAAGGAAAGACGCATGTAAGAAAATATTTCTTCAGAAAAAAGGCAGAGCACAGAATTCGATATTCTAAAAGAGTAAAGTTGGGTTATTTGTTAGTTATTTTAACGGAAAGATTTTAAGGTTATACCTCTTCGAGGGGCAAAACTATTGATCGCCAAGCCTTTACACTTTCTTGTGCCTACGAAAGCGGAAACGTATTCTAATTAGTTAGGGATTACACACAGGGGCCAGCAATTACATTCTGGTAAGGTAAATTTACAATGCACCCGACAATTGTTTATCACTTTTCTTAATCTTATGTTCATTGAAAACTGTGGGAAACCAATTTATCAACACGAGACGATTCCTGATACTTGAGTTGCCCAGTTTCGTGGGGGTGACTAGCTACACCCTCAGCCCTATATTATAAACAAAGTTGGCTCAATAAATCGCTTTATGCGAAGCTATTGCTACTTAGTGAAGAGGCGATTCATTATGGGATGTCTTGTATTATGTCTAGTAACTTTCCAGAATTATGGAATATTTAGCTCCAAGCAATCTTTTTAAGCTCTCAGTTGGTTTTATCGCTGGCATTGCTGTTTGTATGCCACTTTCACTAATTATCCTGAAGACTAGTTGTGGCGAAATAAAAAAAGCAAATGAATGGTAAACCATGCATTTATAGCAAATATGAAACATCATAAAACAACAATCCCATCGAGGGTTGCACTTTCCATTGAGCTCAATAGCACATAATGGTAACACAGAATGAAGAGAAGCAAACATTTCTGTTACCTGTTTCAAAGTGTCAGAAAGCTCGTCATCTTTATTCTCTGCCTTTGTATCTTGTGCTGGAGGTGCACCGGCCCCTCTTTTTATCGCTTGTGAAACCATGGACATTATACCCTCTGATTTCTCCTCCGACTTCATGGCTTTAATTTGTTGCTCAAGCTTCTGGTTTGCAGCAATAAGTCTTTTATTTTCTTCATCAAAATGCTTAGCAGTTGTTCCCCTTGCTTCATTTACAGCTTCTACAAATGATCAGTTTTTCAGTCAAAGGCAGTATTGCAGTATTCCCTGGCAATATTGCAGAAAATACAAGTATATAAAGCCGAAGAAAAAGGACAAGACCTGAGAAATTTAATAAACCATGCTCTCAAAAATCTTCTGTGACATGAACAGCACTTTTCCTGTATCCAAGTGAAACTGGAGGCGACAAAAATTGTCTATAAGGTGATATAACCAGGACCATATTTTCCAACAGGATCCTATTTCTTTCTTGAATACTCCTTGTAGATAATTACTCCAGTCCTCAATTATTCTTAGATCTCTTACACAAAACAGCTTCCTCGAATGTGGTAAAGTGCTGTATATATAAACACATACTGTAAAAAAAATTACTTCAATTCTTGATGCATTACCTTTCCATATGTGCTCCATTGAAGCAAGTTCTTCAACATGTTTCACTTTCATTGCAGCTAATTCTTCATCTCTTGTTTCATATGATAATTTTGCAGCTGTTTGGACACTTTCTACACTGGCCCTTAAGCTAGCAATCTCTTCTTCAAGATCTTTTACCCTTTGTACTGCGCTTTCACTTTTCAGTTTTTCCTCTTTAAGCGATGCTATTTGAGAATTATCACAATCATTTATCACAAACAAATTGAAAATCATTTTAACACTGAAATACAAAAAAGGGTGCTAATGAAGTAAGTTTTCAATGGCAAACAGACACTGTATTTGTTATAATTTTATAGTCTATGGCTGTATTTCTGTCAATACTATGTCATATTGTCATTCTTCAGTGACTGCACAGGCCAAAAAAAGGAACTGACAACAAAGGCTCAAATCTCATTGACTGCATTCAAAAAGTCAATGTATTACCAACATCAGAAATATAAGATGTCAATATAGCTGAATACCTAGTAAGCTAAATCTAGTTTTATTCCATAAAATATTTCACCTCATCATTTGCTTTGGCCTTCATTAAGAACGCAAAAAGCCAATATTGATTGGTGTTACAGAAAAGCAATACTATTGCATTTGTGTTGATCTTCTAAGATCGTCTTTTAAATCAATCCAAGAGTGTGTGATATAAGTGATGACATTGCCTCATCTGAAAGCAACATTGCCAAAACCTCACTATCACCCAATCAACAACCAGCACATTTACATTAGATCTAGGAATGTTAAAAAACATTCTCTGACAAATGCCTCTTTTCGACAGGGAGTGTTTTTCAAGGTTGAGGGGCACTTATTGAATTTCCAAATTAAGGAAGTATACAATTAAACACATACCTTCACATTCTAAAAACATTGATCTAAATTTGGCTCTTTTAAGGCCAAACTCATGCTCAATTTTGTCTTTCTCCATTAACAGCTCCTGGTACTTTGCTTTATAATAATCTCCTATAATATAAAAAGGCATACTCAGCTAGATAAAAATTGGAAAAGTCTGTACCTCAAAAACCAAAATGCAAAGTTCTAGCTTTACATACAGATCCTTTTACACATGTATCTAAACCAATGTATACAGCCAGCAGTTACACATATATTACGCAGTTTTGTTGGGTGTGAGTGGGAAAAAATAATTCTTTGACTATGTGCTAGGAAATTAAAAGGTTATTTTGGCTTTCTTGCAAAGATTTACATAACTAAATGGAACATTGCATTGATACTTTAGAATATATGTTGAAGTTAATATATTTCAGGTGGCAAATAAAGTAAGATATGTTTTGTTTTGGTATGATAAGAACATGGAAAGGTCTCACACAAAATGTTACAAATGTTAGGTTATGTCTAGATCGATGTTTCGTTTAGTACTGATCAGTAAAATATTTCGTTGCCAAATATCTAAAATACTGTTGTGTTAAATGTTTAAGATGATGACATCAGCTTTTTGCAGTATGTAACATTTGAGCATTGAGCAACAATTTAAAAGTTTTTCTAAATTATTTTTTAGAAGTTTCGTATCAAAAATTGTGTCAGTCTTCAGCCTTCGCGCTTTAAACGGGTTGGGTTAGGCCACACTCACACTGGAACTTCTATTGGCATTGCAAGAAGATATCACAATCAAAACTACAGTTACAAAAAATTAAAAGCAAACCTTTCGGTTCCTCCATGGTTGCCATTCTTCTTGCCTATTTAATATTAAAATTAGTTTCCTTCGTTTGTGTTAACATGCAGACTTTCATGAACTGGTCGGTGTCCTAACTTTTCATCAGCCATTTTTCTCATAAGGCCTCGATTTTGTTTTTCTTTTTCTTTCCCAGAATGCACCAGTACTCAAAGGGTAGAGCCAGGGCTGACAGTGAAGAGGTCCACAAATTTTCGTGCTTCAGGGGGGAATTTTACCGATTTGTAGGGAAGATCTCTCCACTGCCCCTTCAATAAGAAACGAAAATAACATTCGCAACAAACGAGTTTTGCGCCTTACTTCCGCTCAGGAAAGGAAATCTATACTTTATTCGAGTAAAACAGTCATATAGAAAACAGTTATGGGTAGACAGGATGGTCCTGTGCAATATGCGAAAAAACTTTTGATATTGATTTTTGCGATGTCAGTGTAAGGAGGGGCTCTAACAGAACTTTTAGGTACCCATTACTGCCCAGAATTTTACCCACCCAACCCTCCGCTCCAAAAAAATTTTCTTTATGCCCCTTATTCACTTCCATGTTTTTTAAAAATTAATTTTGTGTTCACCTAAGAAAATTAATTAACCTAAGAAAATTGAGCTCCGAAACTTGAGTTTCAAAATTGAGTTTCGTTGATTGAGAGGTAGTAATTGAAGAACTGGTAGTGCTTGAGGAAGGGTCATGTTTTTATCAACTAACATCGATTTATATCTTGTTCTCATAAAGGAAAGAGAGCTCACGAGAAAGACTTCATCTAAAAGTGCCAAGGCCTTTTTGGTCTGTTCCTGCCAACAAGATATCTTCCAAGATAGGAAAAGTCTCACGCACTTTAAATTGAGATAAAACCACTGCAAAATATAAATAGCTTGCAACAATTCAAGGCGTAAATTCTGAATTTGGAAGCTAAACAGGTGTTCGAGTGGACGATTAAGGAATACAACTAAGTATCAGGGCCCACACCACCGGGGGGGGGGGGTAGGCTGAGGGGCCATGGCCCCCTACTTTTTTGGCAAGCAAATTCCATAGAGGTCCTGTTTTGAAGCCCAAAATTTAAGTTCAGTGTATAGAACTTGGCCCTTCCTCTTAAAATACGTGGCATGAGTCCTGAGTGTAGGTTGTGTTGTAATTAGCGTACGTCACGTGACGTTATTTCATTTTCTATAGAGTTTTGTTTGGTAGTTGTTGAAACAGAGTTGAGGAGTTATGTTGCGAAAAAGAGTTATGTTACGTTGAAGAGTTATGGAGTTCAAAATATGAAGTTTAATGTACGAAAGTTATTATAGAGTTACGTTTGCGTTGTATATATTATCCTTTTGTAAATAGCCTTTTTGAGTTGAGAAAATTATCGGAGTCAAGTTTGGAATTGGGTTGTATTCAGTTATGTGTTATCTGCTAGGATTCCACGAACCAGGGTGAAGAAACACAGGTTTAAATAATGAAAACAACCCAGATTCAATTTCACAACAGGTTGAACAGTAGCAAAATAATCAAGTCTTGTTGCTAACCCGCCAAATTGTTTGAAAATTCTTGATTATAAATGAGAATATTAATTTTTGAACAATTTCACATATAGATCAATTCAGTCTTTTAAGGACCTCTGGTGCTACTGCTGCTACAAGATCAATGCTGTCGTGAAAGTGAGGTTATACATTTGTAGTCCATGAATAATGGCGCATCATTCCAAAGCTTATCTTGTATTGGTATCGTTGTGACAAAGTCTTCTAGCACCGCTGCTAGGCGGTACGGGCCCTGGAGCTAAAAACATCACGACTTCCCAAGCTGCAGCGAAGGGCCAACGCCCTTGCTCTGAGATTGAAGGCTAAAATAGGCTTTATATGTTGCTTTGTAGCGTGGATGAAATGTTCATCTTTTCTAAAACCTTCTCGCAAATTTTCAGCCTGGGGTTCTGTTTAATACAAAATAAGCATGGATGCAGTGTTACGCGGCAAATAAAAACGAGTCAACTTATGAGATCGAAGATCTTACCTGGAAAGAGAAAGCCTTACCTGGAATGAGGCACTTTTGTTATGAAGTCATTTGTAGCAGCATTACCAGAAATGGAGCAATGTTTTTTCTACCTGAACTCAGTACAACCTGATTGTAGTCTTTTAGAACAAGGTGTAGCATTTTAACCTTTTCGAGGTTCCTTTCTTGGGTTAAGAAAGTCTCGACGACAGCTTTAATGAACTAAAATGTTACCAAATGGAGTTTTTTATTGCCTTTCGATTTAAAAATACACCCATGCAAAAAAAGAAAAAAAATCAGATTAAAAATCAAAATCCTCCTCTTTTTAATATGAATATATTCGCAGAACTACTTTGCACTGTAAAATTTAGGCATTGACTTTTTATAATTAAATATTTGAATTATGCGTTTTAATGATCGATATAACCCTTTAACTTTACAACGGTTTCTAAAAATATCTATAATAAAAACAAGCTACAAATTTCTAGCCAAGTTTTGAAAAACAGAGCTTCCAGAGCCAACGATCAAGGCTGTATCCCCGTTTTCGGACCACGCTCATTTAAAACCCATTAAGATGAGGAAGGTTTTATATCAAGATTTTCTTGGCCAAAATAGGTGTAAAACTTTTCTTGACTCTGGTTTTAGGCACCTTTTTCATAACGTGTACCGCCTTTTCATTTTTAGAAACTTGCTTGCATATCACAAAGCTATAGTCTACCACATTGCTTAGCGATTCTGCCATATTTCATCAAGAGAGTACCAGTTTCCAGAAAGTGAGTCGTTCCAGAAAGGTTGATATTGTCCCAGTTATAAGGTAATAATGACCTGTGTTCATATCGAAATTACAAAAGGACTTTACATCTTTGGCTGGCATGTCCCCAATACCCTAAATAGCCCCTCCCTCGAGTAAATTGCTAACATGTTGAATAACTTTATGTACCCTAAAATATTGTTAAATGTCCCTGCGTAAATTTACAATTTTTAAAGAAAATCAGATTTATTGCTTTTCTGAACAGATGCCATCAGTTGTGCTACAAGCATTTGATTATCGAATGTGACCTCGTCTATCATACAAACCTCAATAAAAATGTTTTCCCATGGTCGATTTTGAGCGATTTTGAGTATGTTAAAGAGGGACAAATTCTGCACTGGCTGGTGGAAAATTCCCGGTTGACCATGAATTTAACGCTCAATGACCTCACTAACTCTTTAACGCTTGAATTAACATTTCCTATTTTTTTCAATAGCTAGATTTCATTATGCATTATGCGAAGCTCAATTTTCTTCACTTTTGCCTTTTGTAAAATTAAGGCAGTTCTAAACTTATTGTTTTATAAGAATGCTTTAAATTTTGTCAACATGATTAACTTTGCCTCAGACAGTCAGTGTTCTAGAGCCTCTGATAGGATTCGAGTGGCCTAGAAACCCTCGTAATAAAGTGTGGCAATGGAGTTTTGCGATAACTAGGACGTAGAAGGTTGAGAACAGGCTGCTTGTAATAAGCTACATTTTTTTACATAAGAACAATTTTATAAGAACACAAACCTCAAAATTGGCCAAAAGTTAAGAACAAATAAAGAACAAGGCGAGGCTGAGCTACTGTAAAATGTTATATGGGAACGTTTATGTTATTTCATCTCATAAACGAGTAGTTTTTTGGAATTAAGGGCTGCTTTTTCGGTAAACTTTCAAACTTTTCGACGAATAAAGAATGTCTCATTACCTTTGTTGGCAATCGAGGCTTGAACGCCTCCCCAGAGCGCAGAGGCTAGCAATGGCACTGATTACACCCTAATAATTTAAGAACAAATAAAGAAAAATGCAACCGCAGATTTCCTAAAAAATTAAGAACAGACAGCCTGAACTTCGATTTACTGGTTCTTATAAAAAAGAGTGTAAAGTAAACATTTCATATCAAGATGTTACCAATAGAGAATTTTTTTTTCTGTTGGTCTTGCAAACTATTAGTAAATAATCGGCAGCTGAAATAGCAGTCTTGCAAACCCTTATAAGAAATTATCGAACACATTCAATTATCAAATAAAATGATTTTCCTTTATTGAATCTACCTAGCATCACAAACAACACCCAAGCTTCCCTGAGGGTACCTAAATACAAACAGGCCCCTGACGTCAGTTGAAACAACCTGTACATGGCACAAACATTTTGAACAAACCTACAAGAGCAATAGTCGTTGGTTGTTACCCTGCTTTGAATGTTTAAAGCTCTTGGCAAATAAAATCATCATAGAAAATATATGTTTCCTCTTGTTACATAATCTTGCAGCTCTTGCATGTTTTATGTTACAAACTACTTCAGAAAATCTGGTTCTGGAGATTGTTTTCTCTCTGAATATCCTTACTGAAAGATGTAAGTGGGATCTTATTAAAGGCTCCTATTAACGCAAATGTTCGCACACAGTCAGTCACAATCAGTGCTTATGTCCAAAAAATGGGTCTATTGGCTAGGGCATTTTATACCGCCAAGGCCCGTTTGCCTTTACTTAGGCCTCAAGGCTGAGGCACTCCTACCCAGGAATGAAAGAAATGTAAGAATACAACAACACAAAGAAAAAGCACAGAATCCCCATAAAAATTGTTAAGTATTATTCAAAGACTCTCTAGTCAGAGGGTTCCTGCCTAATATACTTATATAAAGTGTTTTTCTGTTTTTCATATTAGGTATGCTGTTCACAGACTTATCCTTAACTGTAAGACGATTATCAGATCTCGCTTGTCTCTGCTTCATATCAGCAAACCTATCGCTTCCCAAAGATAAAGATTGGTGCTTTCGCCCTTTGTCATTACCACGTCGTAAAACAGTGAGTTCCTCTTTCAGACTGCCATGAAGGCCATCTATGATCTTTTGCGAGGGTCGTCGTAGATCCTTAAGATAATCTTTGAAGACAGTTGCATGCTCAACTGGGTTGAATATTGCAGACAATTGCTGCATATTCCCACTGTCAGGTACTGCCTGGTCAATACTTGGCCATTCTGGACTCGATTCTCTTGCAAGCGAAGAGCTGCTGCAACCTGCGCTGCTTATTTCCTTGCCATAGACGTCATCCTCAGCATCACCTTTGATTTGAAATTCTTGCATTTCCTTTGTAACACCGATAATCATTCTCTCTGCATCGAGTTGTGCATGTAGAAAACTGTTACTCTTTTTTATTTGTTTGTATGACGAAAGAACTGGAGGCAGATGGGCCTGTCGCCTCAAATCCCTAAAACAGACAATAATATTCGTTATTTCTGACATCTGATGCAAGTCAAGATTACTTTAAAGGTTAGACTGTGTGAAGCTTCCAGTTGGTCTTGCGATCTGGTCGTCTAAAAACATTCAACGTTGGAAACAGCTGCTTCTAAATCGTTCTTAAGCCTTACATTGCGTGGCATAAATCTTTGTGTTTTGGTATAATTGCTTCGGTTGGGTATTGAAGAACACAAAAGAATCTTTTGCTAAAAAAAGGTCTCGAACGAGAAAGATGGGTACGGGAAGGAGGAAGAATTGGTCTAGAATGAATGGTTAACGTAAAAGAGGCTCTATTTTCTAAAGAGCCTGGCATTATGATACATAAGGTAACATTACGTCACACTTTTACATCACATCTGTGAAAAGACTAAGGTTCTCACCTTGATGAAACACCAGCATTATAAAAGTCTGACAATGTCTGAAGGAGTTTGAGCCGATTGAACAGGTTTCTGAAAAGAGAGAAGTTAAAAATTGGTAATCAATTCTGGTTGGTGAATTCTTGAAATTGTGCTGTTTAAAGCTGCATAAGTGACAACATCATAAACAAACGACTTTGTACCTTCTGATAAAAATATCGATTAAAATGTGTTCTTTAAGAAATATCTTGCTAAAGAAAACTTAACTGTTATAAAATTGAATGCAATTTTAAGAAAATATGACATTATAACATACGAAAAGCGACTTAGCATATGTACCGTATCTATCGATAAAAATGGTTGATGTACAATGAAATGATGATTATGATAAGCAAACAAATAAAAGATAAACGACTAAACTACAGTTTTAGAACTGAGCAGGGGCTTCGTAGCCGAGAGGGGGGCAGGGGGCCGTGGCCTCTGCTCTCAAAATTTGATGGATTTTCGGAAAAATCATCGTTTTGCCGGAAAATTTTCAAACTTGAGCTGTGGGTAATTCTCAAACTCTTAGCAACATAAATTACTTGGACTAAAGTACTTACCGTAAATTCGAGAAGCAATTCACTTTTGTTAAGAAAATACTAGATTTCCACAAAACAACATGATTTCTCAGGATTTACTGATTCCTACCAAAGAGTGGTTTGCTGTTTGGATTTCGTCAGCTAAAATCTGAAACTTCAAGGGCCAAATTTGGTTATGGAAATTGGTCAAAATTGGTATAAATTATATCTTTATTTGATATTGTAGACCAAGACAATATCAATTTTGTGCCTATCACCAGATTTTTGCAAATTGTGTCCCAGGTTTGAAAATTTATGCAGTTATGTTGCGTAAGGTAAAACAAGGTAGACGTCGATCAAAACCATCGATTTTCCCCAGCGGATATTCAATCTAAGAATAAGATTTTTCGATTAAAATTTGCTTCAAATGATGCGATTTCCGACAAATTTGAAGCATTAGATCACAAAAAATCTTTTCCTTCAGCGGCAACCATGGTGCCGCCTCAGATAGTAACTTCTTTGTACCCTTGTCCTAATCTACGGATGTCAGGGGCATTCACTTTAAGTATGAAGAAACAGAGACAAGATAAAAAGTGCATTTTAAATTTCTTCCCAGCTAAGGCAAAAGTTATGAGTTTTTTGCTCCACCCCCCTTTACACTTACATTAAATGCTTTTATTTCAAATAAATCAAATAAATTTTGTCGCAAAAGTTTTCTTTCTGGCCCCCTCTAGAATTCATTCGCCACGACGCCCCTGGAACTGAGGGGCTACTCCACTGAGGTTTCAGGAAATCAGGCATACATTCAGCCCCATGCTCTTGCGAATTTCATGGCTGCAAATGGTTTCGCTTAAACTCTGTAAAAAGCTAGGAGAACCTTGCGAACTGGAAATGTGTATAGTGGTACTTAGCATAGATTAGGGAACATTTCAAACGTTTAGGAGGGGGGGGGTGTGACATTTAGGCAAAATTGGCACCGCACTGCGGTTCGAATAGGCACCTTATCTCTGTTTTTGAAAAATGTGAGGGGGCACGTTCATCGAGTGCTCCGGTTCCCGCGTCTATCGTCTATGGTATTTAGCTTTAGTTAAAAAGCTAAAACAGTTGTTTCCTTTATCCTTGCATACTGTATAGAAACATCCCATTTAATAATGCTATTACCGGTAGATCTGTTCATCTCACCTGTGATCCCCATTTCTTGGCAAATACGGGTCTAGATCAGGGGTAACATTTTGCAGCCTAACGCCGCCAGCACAGTTCTGTCCTACGGTTGAAAACTTCGCTCTGTAATCCTCAATATGTTGTTTTCTGCTCTTGAAATTATGAAAATATTCCTGTACAGCAGCATCAGTTTTTGCACATCGTGTACCCAGATTCCTCAACCTGGTCATTTGCTTCTTCGACTCTGTTTTCTTTCCCTTTACACGAACATATGGGTTGCATACAACTTTCGGTCCCCATCCACAAACTGCTTGACATCTAGATACTTTGCTGGAACAAACGCAAGTTTTGGGAGCTTTTGATGCTCTGAGGAGTTCAGTCAGAGCGTTCTGCTCAAGGCGAGCCGTAGTTTCATCCTCCATTATTACTCTTACTCCCTTGGTGCAACAAAATGTGCGTCAGCATCTATTCACTGCTTTGGGCTACCGACTCTTATCTTGCAATGAACTGACTTTGCGGCTCACAATCCGTATTGTAATGTTATTCTTTCAGATTTTCCCACAACAATCTAAGTACTTGAAGGTTGAGTAACCACTGTGTGCCTTCCTGGTTATCTCTCGAAAGCCCCATCAAATACGTGATCACCTCCTGCAACACAATCGTATAACAAAAGTCGTTGACTTTACAGACAACATTCGCGCCTGACAAAGTACAAATAACGGCTAAAAGTGGCCTATGATTTTTATAATATAAAGTATCATATAAGTGTGGAAGAGATCCTTACAATTTACTTCAGCGTCCCAGCGCAAAACAGGACCTTTGTAACAAAACAGTGAATCAAGGGTAGTTAAGTTCAAAGCTTTTACTTTTTGAAATCTGTATTTTGAAATATCGGTTTACCAATGTGTCAGATTATCCCATCAAATAAAAAGTAACATTACTGGTTTTAGGGTCAAAATATTCTGGTATACAGTTACGTGGTATGTTTAGGTCGGGTTCTGTTATTTGATGTTGCAGTTTCATTCAAATAGATATCTTTAAGGATGACGACGTATTAAGAATGTTTTTCATCAAACAAAAAAGAATGAAAAAATAAGGCCTGTGACAATCACAGGTAAAAGTTGCATTGTATACTTAGATTCCGGAACACTTCTTGTTGTTACACATTTTGTTTAGTTTCCATACATTTGAAGCGGCTTTTCTTCCTTAGCGTGTGGGCCCAGAACTACATACTTCGTACTGGCTATTCGCAAGCGTTTAATGAAATTACAAGAAAGCACATGTTGGTTGAAAACGGAAAGTTGTGGTTCAAACAGCAGCGATTCCGAGTGATCAATTAATTTTGTGGCCTATATCCACTGGTTAGCAACAAGAACATGATCCCAACGCAACGCAAGGATAAGTAATCAAAACTTTCAGGCACAAAGGGCACCTGCGAAAAATAACAGATTATCTCAGATGTGAATAACTACGATAAAAACTACGCACGTTACAGCTGCCACATGAGAGCGCTCGTATTATTCAGACCTAACAAAAGGCAATTGTTATTGAGAGAAAGCCTGACCTTCTTAGCAACAATAACATTCCGGCCGTCCGGAAGAAGTCAGAACACAGATACAAAGCTGTAAGTCCGCCATGTTTCAATTAAAGGGTTTTTGAAAAATTGATTTTGGAAATAAGTTTACTTCCATTATGAATAGAAAGATGTATTTTTTGTAAACTTTTTTTAAATTTTCAACTCTTTTACATGGTCAAGTGAAAAGCGTCATTTTGAAATTTGCAAAAACCCATTGGTAAAAGGATTGCAGAAACTTGTTACCTCGCTTGTTACGCTGCTTAACATTGTAAAGATTATTAATTGATTGAGAAAGTATTCTGGAACGTATTCGTTTTCGACCCTATTCTCTGCCTTTTCCTGGAATAACGTCTGCAATAACGGCTATGATTAAAACCAAGCTAAATTAAGACAATAGTACAATAATAGAGACTGTTATTAAAGACCGGACAGTTTCCGCATTAGGGAGAAAATGTTCCGCAAGCAAATGCAGATTTTAATAGGCAAAAATATTATTTGGCTATTCAACGGTCTACAAAGAAATATTCAACTAAAACATTCTTACGACTTTTTGTCCGAATAAGCTTTATTGCTTACAAATGACAAAATAAACAGTTAAATATGACGTCAGGGATGAGTGATCACATGATAGGGTAATAAAGGGGATGAATCTTTGTTCAGTTAGGCTTCTCACTTGCAGCGAACAACTGTGCGTATGTAAGAATGGGTTTAATAAAATTGTTGACTTTTGGATCGAAATACTCGAAATGCCACGAGGGTTCCTCCGGAAGCCAGATAGAAACGACAACTTCCTTCCTAGGTGTCTTGTTCTTCTATCAGCAACCACCACTGCAAAGTTCTCAGTAATAACTTGACATTCCTTTTAGAACTGAACGGAGGAAAATGAGGCTCGCCTCATCTTGAAGCCTTTCTGTATCCGTACCAAACCACATAGATTCAACTACGAATCATCTGATGGAAGTAGCAAGTACACTATGCTTCCCGTTGCTACCAGCAGGACTATCCCAAAACCAATGCTAAAATACAGAACGAATTTCTACTGGTAATCACTTTTTTGGATTACATTTACAGGCTAATCAAAAATGTTCCACAGAATAGACAATAGGCTTTATAATTTAATGACATTCACACCAGGAAACTATTGGACGATCAACATAAAAGCAATGCTCCCATTTAAAATAGACACTATTCTGTAGACACAGGCATTGAGACTCTTAAAACCATAGAAAAAAGACAGGATGCATTGGCAACACATAATCTGGAACCTTTTATTAGAATTGTGGCTGGCTTAAGAATAGCCACATCACCTTTTAATGGAAAAGTATAAACTAGAAACACTTCCTTCTTGACATATCTAAGCCTCTAGCAAATTTCAATAAAATATATCAAATGCCCTTTAGTTAGAATGTCTTTTTTGTATTTCAGGTGAATATATCAGCAGAAATATAGAAATATAGATTTTGGAAATACAATTCATTTGTGATCTGAATAAAATCTTGACGTACCTCATAAGTTTATCACTACTGAATTTCGACGTAGAAGAGTAAGGTGTCACTTTATACTTGCGATGACGCTTGAATGCGTGAATCACATTCTTAGCTCTAAACGACAGAATATCACGTGTGAGGTTCCACTATACGAACCAGAGTGCATTTATCACTGAAGGAGAAAGGCTGAAAATTCCTCTGCCAAGGAAACGATCCAGTTTAAGATTATGTATGTTTAAAATGATTGCTTATCTAATAAAAGGTAAATTGTGGATTCCATTTTGCGACACTGTGACAGAAATTTATATTATTTATATTTGGGATTATGGCAATCTAAAATCTAAAATCTGATAAAATCAAGCAGAACCGTAGTGACAAGTTTGTCGCTCTTAAATTATGATTGGAATACATGAAAATCAAAGCATTAAGCGACTCAGTGAGCCAAAATGTCATTTAGACTTGATTATCAGAAATTGTAGAGAAAACAGTGCTCTCGTAGATATTCTGACATAGGAAACTCTAAGCTTAGTGCTAGGAGGCAGACCAAGTAAATTTTATATACGAAAAAGTGTTTTCCTGTTTTCAATGCACGGCCAAGAAACCTGAAAAGCTGTCGATATAGCAAAACACAAAGATTAAGATAATTAGTTATGCATTTCATTTGATCTTGTTGGCCTACCGTTTCCAATGGGATACAGCAACTATTGCCTTATGAGAAGTTTCCATTTGAACATCTACTGATCCGAACGACAGAAACTCGTGTGCAATCTACAAAATTGGATTACAGGCGTGAAAAAAGATAGTAAAGTGAAATCTTCTTGATCCTGTAACGAATGGAAATCATTAAAGAAGATACATATGCGTTTGAAAAAAAGACAAAAACTTAGTGAACCATTGTATTATATGTTTAAAGGCTTCGCATTCTGAATCATTTTCAAATTCTTACCTCGTTTGCAGATAGAGGCTCTGAAAGGTTTCCCTTGGAGCAAACAATAAACCTTGCGGGTATCTGCGAAGGAGGGTCATCTCCACCAATTACCTTTAAAAATAGGAATTCTTTAGTAATCCCAAGATGTATAGTATTATTATAAATACAGTTTTTTAATTGAAATACCAACAGTTATAACTCTGATATGTCTACTTTGCATATCTTTGCTGTTAATTGGCAATATAACTGCATTGAAAAAACCAAAACGTGGATTGGAGGCAATATACGATTATTACATGAAATTACATGAAAAGTACGTATAAAAATTACAGGAAAAAGCTTAAATATTTTTTACATACAAGAATATCAAATGAACTATTGTTTGCATTCTTGTCATGTGTATGCAAGAATAAGGAAAAGTGACAAAAAAACTACAATTACCACATAACGTAAAGAAGCTCTTGCAATGTTAATGCAATTTTCAAATTCTTTCAGAGCCCGTAGCTGTTGGCGAAATTTTAGCGGCATAATTTCACTTGATCTACGAAAAATAAACTAATCCAATTAAAAATCAGAAAGAAAAAAATGTCCATCATACAAGCTCTCTAGTTTCTAGTTTGGATTAATGAGGAAGGTCGTGTTTGCTAGTTAGGCACAGGGAAATCAGAAGAGACCATCGTTTAAATGCTTTTGTCACAAAAAACTGAGCAAATGTAATATGATCCTATTGTGGGACATGTCTCTTCGTGACCATCACGTTTTTTAACCCAGACTGCATTCAGCCAAAAGACAGAGATAAACACCGCACGTGCATCTGCTTTATTTCACTTAAGTGGTGGAAGTTTAAACTAGTTTTCATGGCTACCAGATTGTTATATTCAGTTCCCAACAGTACAATCGAAAGACAGAAAATAGGATGAAATGATATCAAAAAAGCATAATAAGAGTCCAATGAAGAAAATATGTAAAATAAAATAAATTATCTGGAATTATTGAATTTATGGAATATTTTATTAAAGATTTCGAAAAGCATTCCAGCAAGCCGAGAAGTTATACAAAATGCATACTCATGAATCAGATTATTAATTATTATTAACACTTAACACGAGAATTTAACAGCAAACATATTTTTGGATTTCAAAATAAAAACAACCCTGTCGAAAAAGCAATATAGCTACTCCCCTACCCAGGCGCACGTTACAGGAGGGAGTGCGGAGTGTGACACCCCCTTGCAAAAAAAAACAAAACTTCTCCCTGCCCTATGTCTCCTTGCATTCACGTTTCAAGGTTTACTCGCAAATATAATGGGCATTCGAAATAGTTGTAGCGAAATATAAGAGATTAGAATAATTAAACTAGAATAAATTTAATAAAGCAAAATGTTATTGAGATGTTCATACTTACTTGATATCTTTAGCAGCCATGAAATGGGCCATTCTGATAAAAACTGTAAAGATCAAACCACAATTAACGCATGAAAGTTATTTCAGGCAGATTTATTCAAAGTCGTAAAACAGATAAAGAAAATCTTTTTGGACGAGCAAAATTGACAAAATCGAAAACGTTTCAATATTGTCCATTCAAAATTGAAGGAAATGTTACAAAAACATTGGAATGTTTGTTGCCAGAAATTGTGCAAGGGGAAAATATTTTATTTAAATTGCCAGCTGACTAGGTTCTAGCATGCATTTGTGCCTTTTCTTATATCTTCAATAAAAAAATTTAGAACACGAATTAATTGAGACACTATAATATAACATTAAAAGAACGATACCAAAAGTGCAAAAAGATCATTAATGCTTCCTGGCAATTCAAATTCATTTCAACTATGACCGAAAATTGTGACGACGCAATGCAAACTACTGAAAAAAAAACAAAAAAAGACACAAAATGTAAACAGCTTTTCTTTTTCATCACTCTTCTGTTACGTCTCTCTTCCGGATCTTTTATCAATAACTACTCTCTATACTTGTGTTCTCAATCTCTCCTCCTTCCAAATTCCTCGCGTTTCTATCCATTCGCTAATAGCACGTGACCAAATAACTAGGTTTCAGTCCTCTCACATCTCCACAGAGATGAGTACAAAATGATACAATAAAAAACTTTTTATGAATAAATGAATACTCGAGCCGTTTTCAAATTGGACGGATATCATCCTTACAAAGGTTATAACGATGAGCCATCATAAGATTCTATGTATTGGATATAACACTGTTTGAAGTTTGCGTTTCATCTGTCACCCTTCTATTGGGCCCTGCCTAAGCCATTTATACAACGTGATTTCAGTACAAAAAAAGTCAGTAGGGCTACCAACCCTTGGCACTAACCATATCCGGTTAAAAACGCATCAAAGCCAGCCTCGTGCAAATGATGTTTGCTCACTAGAAAAAGAAAATGGGGAATAAAGAAATGTCATGTGCTCGTGTTTCTGATTGGCCTATTTCGATCCACAACTGGGTATATATATTTCTTAGCGTAGAGTTTTCGATCTATGTTCTGACGTTTTAAACCCTGAAGAGTGTCAGACGAAAAGCTTTAGTTTACTAAATGTTTGCTTTTTTCAAAGCCATTTTCAAGTTTTGTACCACCAAAAGATTGTTTGAATAAAGAAATGTTAAAGAAGTGGAAGTTGTCAGGAGATTTTATGGAATAGGATACTGCAGCGATAAGACATATCAGAAACATCTTTAATGCCTTTCTCTGTTCGAGTTTACTCTATATAACAAATACCTATTAGTTTTCCTCCAGAAGCTGAATAAGGCAACACACACTGGAACTTTGCTATAAATTATTTTAACAGGTAATTCTTTAGTGAGCTTGGTGAAAATAATGAATTCTAAATACATATACAAAAATACAATAATACATTATTCGATAATTTCTTAAAAGTTTTTTTGAAACAAGAAGAGTAAAGAATTATGCTCACCATAGTGATCAAACCCATCTGCATGCTCAATGAAGGGAGAATACAAGACATAGAATTTTCCTTGATTGCTATCAATAGAATCATGCAAGAAGCATCAAATCCATGCTCACCACTTTTCGATTAAGAGGCAATTTAGACAGAGTTGCCATGTCGGAAGCAAATTCAATTAACGTAACTCAAATCAAAGGATTTCAATATTATTAAAAAATAGCATATACGGGAAAGACAGTTAACAGAAAGAACGATAGTTTTCGAATCTTAAAAGGAATCTCCATAGAAGCATATAATATAGCATAAAGAAAAAGGATTGACTTAAACAGCAAATACGTACCTACTAAGCATGTTGTACAGGTCTGATAGATTTGTTTCGTTAAATAAGGCTGTTTCATCTCTCATGGTCTGAAAAGTACAAAATAAAACTGCTACATCCCAAGTTCAGCTCTAATCCAAAAACATACTGCATCTTGTAGAAAACAGCTAGAATATTGAAAAAAAAAACAAATCCCACCTTTCTAAGACAAAATGAAATCATCTTTGTGTCAAATATGACTGGGAAGAGATTGTGCAGCTCTTTTTTAAAATCTTTGTAATTATCTAGAAAACAGAAATTCCAATTAAAACACGATAACTAAAAAAACATTTGAATTGAAAAAAATGGAATGAAACATTGCAATGCCAAGGTTAAAAAGCAATCAAGCCAGATAAATTTAGCAAAAACTCAGCTAGGAATACTGTAAAGTGTCTCAAGGCTAATGGATTCTCTACAAATTCCAGTTAAAAAACTGAGATGTGAAGACATTGTGAAAATAATCATTCTCAAGAAACAGCTAGCTCAACGATAAACAATCAACTTATGTAGTAACCTAGATATATTGATTAAAAAATATACTGATTAATATTACATAAAAACAAAGTTAACAAGCAAAACCATCCTTATAATTCAAGTCTACTTGGAAAAATCAGAAAACCAACATTTTTGCAAATCAGTTAAAGTCAGGTCAATCATAGTTTACTACACACCTGGTAATGATTTATGAAATTTTTCAAACATAAAAAGCAGATCCGTTAAGCAGTTATGGCCAACAATTGGCTAGAAAAAAGATTAACAAAGTATTAACTAAAATATATCAACATATCGTGTAACAAAAGATTGTTATAGTTTTTCAGGCATTAAAAGTCTAAACGTTGTAAAAAATGTAATATTGGAGATTTATTTGTCTTGGACTTGGAGTTAATAATTTGGGATATACTAATACAACTATAAATAAAAGAAATCCCCATGCTGTATTTTGTGGTGCATGATAAGTCAAACTTATTATTCTTTGTTTTTGAATTCAAGAGACGATTGCTTTTCGGATCAAAAGAGCAGACCCCAGAAACGAGATGATCGTTGTGGATTAATTGATTAATAGAGCTTCAAAGCAAAGGAAAACAAGTATCTTTGAATTCGATTTACAATGCCTGCCAAAAGTCTTGGCACACTGAACTCAGTTTGCAAAGTCAAAATCAATCATCCCTCTTTCCCCCACAAAACAATGTTGGCTTACCATCAAACGGGTTAGGATTTTTGCGTTTCTTTTATTATAATACTTTAAATTATCAACATTGTTCTAGAGGAAAGGGGGCGGATTCGGACAAGGAATGAAAAATATAAAATGCAACAAAATTTGCTGGATGTTCCAAGTACTTCTAGCAGGCATTGTAGAACATGTAGCCCACATATTTTCTTCTTTAACATTAACGATAAAATACAAAACAATGGATTTTCAACTCGGAATTGTTGCCTTTCAACCATAATAGACTAAAGCGCAAGTTATCCACAAATACAGGCAAAACACAGATTTTTAGTCCTGAAAGACAAGAAACTTAAGCAAAAGAAACCGTTTAGTTTACAAAGAATAAGCACTTAACTTGTTGATAATATTTGAATTAATTTCGTGGCATTTGCGGACAATGTTTCAGAAGCAAATGAAAAACATTTCAGATTTATAAGCCAAGTTATTCTCTGCGGCTGGAAATTTCTTTCACTCATAAAATATTTAATGATCTAGAAAGTTCACAGGAAATTTCATACATTCTACCTTCCTTGAAGAAGAAATTTTCTTGAAAACTCTGGAAAACCCGATCTCAATTTGAAATATTCTGTAAGATAAACAAGGAAAAATATTAACACACTGAAGTGATGCATTTCAGTATCTAGAAGAGAATTTTTAAAAATTCAACTTCACGATTAACTTTACTGGATAAGCACTTATGTAATTTTCCAGGTTGGCCATTCTCTTGTTGATAGCCACAATCCCTGCCAAAGTTGATGAAACATCTACACAAAACTTTCACTACTTTTTACAGTTGCTTTCTCTCTCCCATTAAAATTTTTACATAACCACTTCCAATGAAAGAATCGACATTTACAGGGAGGGGGCGAATATAGAAACAGCATTGTAGAAACAGCATGGGGATGTAGTTTAATTCTAAGGTTGTCAACTTTTGAAATTCGGTAAGGATTTTAGATATCAATCCCATGACTTTGCTTAGGAGACCCGTATAATATTTGCCTTTCTCTACAGATTAAACCGACCTTCTTACTGATATCGTTGAAGTTCCTGCGCAGAATAAAACAAAGATTATACAAAAACCTCTCGGAAATCAAAGCAAATCGTTACGAATACAAACTGACCGTAAAATGAATATACTGAGCACAAAATCTGAGGAAAACTTGAGAAAGCCTCTGCTTACTATTGCACAAACCTTTCGAATTCCGCATTATATGATTTTCGTACTTTTTCTACGTCATCAGATTTCGTCAGTACGACCTATACAATGGAGATTTTGGCCGTCAGCTATTTGTTTTCATAATTCCACGTTAATGAGCGTAGTAAGGAAGATACTCAGATTAACAAATATTTGACTTGCACGGGCCTATGTATCTAGGAGGACATCAACAACACCTAATAGTAGTTTTGTCTGTTTTTGCTACAAAATTGGAAACTACAAATGCATAATAACTGCATAATATGAATGACTTGTCACATGTGATCGGGATGATTTGCCACATGTGATCGCAAATGATTTACCACATGTGATCGCGAATGATTCACCCCATGTGATCGCGAATGATTTACCACATATGTGATCGCGAATGATTTACCACGTGATGGCGAATGATTTACCACATGTGATGGCGAATGAGTATTACATATATTCAAGCTACTACAATATAAGTACAAATCGAAAAATGAAATTATTCAAAGGGCAAGAGAGGGTTCAGCATTAAGCGTTTGCATCCATTATCAATCTAAACATCTTACTTGATCATGAAATTATGATTTGCCTTTTCGAGTTGATACAGGATACAGGTATTTTTGGCAGCAGGGACACAGGAAATTATTGAAGTTTGCTTTGGAAAAAATTAAACTAGTTAATTTTCCAACCGATGGATTACAGATGCTAGGTTATTAAGCTACTACCCGTTCACACTACTCTGTTTTCAAATGAAAATGGAGTCAAATTAATCCGTTTTTGCCTTGCGTTCACACTGTTCTGCTATGAAAGTGGAGTCATATGAACACGCAAATGAAAATGGATAATTATGAACATGGTGCGTATGGAGTACGCTCCGTTTCCAGTGTGAACACCGAAAAAGGAGACATTTAAATATGCTAACAATGGCAACAAAATATGTGCTTTCTAGCATGCCAAATCTTAAAAATTTTGAAAATGAGAATTCAAAATGGATTAGAAGCTGTTACAACAAAGTTTTTTACGATTTGCTTTTATCTAATTACATTCATAAATCATAATGATGCCAATTTGATGAGGATTCGTGAAAGCATCTGTTCAAAAATGAGGCCATCGACAGCGTTTTATTGGAGCAGTGTAAACACCTACCGCACTCGACGTATTCATTTGAAAACAGGTAAGTGTGAACGGACAGCGTTTTCATCAACGAAAACCTTTATAAACTGCATAAATTTTGACCACAGGTCACCTCTTACCTTTTCGCTTTTGACCTGGCAAATGACATCTTTGAATCTTTCTTGCAAATCAGCAAGCAATACGTATTGATTTATTCCTAAAGAAATAATTATCATTTTTACTGAGAAATAATTATCATCTCGTACCGATTTTTACCGCTGAATAGAATAATTTCTAAACAGTTTTTGGCGATACAGAGCATGAAAATGTCTTTGAAATATAAAAAAATTTTAAAACATACATAAAGTGCTACTGACATGAGAAATCAAAATTTTGCAAAAGGCTTCTTCTTAGGCAGTAAATATTACTGATTCTAAATATGCAAGTATTTTTTCAAAATAAGGACCATAAGTTCATTTTTGTGGGGTTTGAGTCAAGGGAGCTTTTTCGAAAAGAGTCTGGGGAGAGTGACGCATTCTGGTGTGTTATTGACTATTCTATGGTTGACGGTCACGATACCCTCACGGAGCCTAACAAATGTCCTGCAACCTAAGGTCGGATAGGAATTTTCAGCTTCAAATGTTTCATTTTACGATGTGAAAGTCGTATCGGAAGTGAGAGAACATGTTTTGAAGACGGAAATGTTGAAATGAAGTAAACAGCGCCAAAACATTGATCAAAAATTCTAAGCTAAGAAATATATAAACGAAAGGAGGAAACCATTTTATAACATACTAAAAAATTTTTCGTCGAGTATGAAACGTCAAAATTAAGAGTCCAATGAACAAGTTGGAACATATATAACCCGCTGTTGATCTAAACAGGGCAGTCAGCAAATTCAGTGCACCTTGACCTCCAAACACAAATAAAACTTATAATAACGATCAAAATTTTTCCTGGTATAATTTACTTACATAGATCGTTATTATAGCTTTATACTGTACCGCACGCAATATAGTACAAATAAAACTTATATAAGAATGGGAATAAAAATCCTTTTTAGTAAGCAGAAAGGCTTAAGGATATTCCACAAAATATGGCAATTAAAAAAATCTGAGTTTACAGCACAAACCAAAATGAAAACAGTATTTTCAGTTCTATGAAGTCAATACCTTGATCTGGGGCCGAATACTCTCTGCTGTCACCCGTCTTGGCTCCATATCTCCATTGGCTAATATCATCAAGAAGAAGTCTGAGCTCATTTTGATCGTAATCTCTGAAAAGGTATTCAAGGCACTGTTACGATCAAATAGATGACATTTAATGCAGCATTGGTGCCACCTAGGCAGCGTAAAACATTCTTTTTTAATTGAAGAACTTGTCAGGCTTGTAGAACATGTCATAGCAGTTATGCTTGGAGACATGGCCCTATAGGAGAGAAAAGGTACCTAAGGAGAAGGATGTACCCAAATTTCTAGTTTCGGGAGGAGCATCAAGGGTTGTTAATATGCGGCTATATAAGACTTGTAGAATGCCATAAGGCATAAAAGCAATGGCACAGATGCTGGGGAAAAGCCCAACAGAGATAAAAAAGAGACCTGACTGTTATACTTCAATATCTGACAATCTTACTGACATAGCTCGTAAACACCGAACTAGAAAAAGTTCAATGAGCTAACGTAGGTACGGTTCTGATAACAGAAGAGGCATGTCTTTCTTGCAGTGGTCAACGCCATTCTGCCAGGGTGAATCCCATTCCGACATATTCCGTTAAGGTTGACACAGTCATAAAATGTGCAGATGCACCGGTAAACAAATCTTCAGTTCCAACCCCCACATAAAGTCATCGCAGACAGACATAAAAATCTTTCGAAGGATGAAATTACGACATTCTATTACCTCAACTTCATTGAATCGCAACTATGTTTGATGCGGCCGAGTTGATGCATTTTTCTCAAATTTTCTTCCTATTGAAAAATATAGTTTAATGCAACTTTATTTTTACAATCTGCCAAGTTGGTTTCAGAATATCATAAAGAACTGGGCACCCGACGACAAAAAACCTCAGTAATAAAAAACATATAAAAAACCATATAAAATAATCAGTCAAAACAATCTTTGCTATGCGTGAAAAGAAGAAAAATTTTGGTATTTTGTAGTAAGAAAAAATTGCACGACTACATGTCTAGACGACAATTTTCTGTTCTCAAATTATCCCGTCTCGAGCAAAAACTTTAACTCAATGAAAATGGTCTTCAGAGCTCCTTTAAAATATAAAAAAAATCGAATCAAAAACCCTTCACAACCTTGGTTTGAAATCTGCAAAGTGCCATGAGACAAGTTTATCGATATTTCTTTTAGTTATTACAAAAAAATGTTTCAAAATCAAAACAAAACAAAAAAAATTAGTCATTGGGAAAAAATTGAAAAAGCAACCCACCTGATCCTTGTTCAAGTAAGTAACACCTTCATACATGAACTGCAAAAAAAAGATTAATTATATTCCAGGTCATAACTTCACCATCAAATCTGAGCCTGTGTCAACAAAAAATTGAGTGCCTCAGTCCACAGAGAGAATATGCTGTTGAGTATGAAGCTAAGGATCACCAATAAATTTGAAAGTAATTTGAAATAAAGTTACACGCATGAAAAATAGGCTGAAATGTAAAATTATCCCTCAAAGATATATAATGTTGTAACTTGATGAGTGAAACTCGTGGTTGCAACACAGAAACGCGCCAAATTGGCACCATAGCACCGAGCAATCAAATGATTCAAAACAGTCCAATGATTTTCACAAAACATGACAGGTGTAAAGAGAGGTTGTCTAATGGTAGTTCTGTTGTTGAGCTCTCTTTATCCTTGGGCAACAACTTTCTAGGACAACAGCTCTTGTGACTCATATGTTACCGATGTGTTTCTGTACTGAATACAAAAACAATTGTCCTCTGTTGCTTTTACCTGCAAGTTCCCAATCTAATGATTACTTAATGCAAAGCAAATAAGGGTTGTAATCGCTTGCCATATTTTCATGTCTTTACTGGGTTACCATTTATAATATTTATATGCTCTGTATCGCAGGTAATACAAAAATAATAGGTTCTCTCTAAGCGTGTATATCTAAAGCATGGTTCTCTCTAAGTTAGAGAGAATAATTCTGCTAATGTATGCATTGCCATATATTGCAACGTGACACCATACAGGGTTAAAAAGACGAGCGCAAAAAAAGATTGTCTTACCTTATTGAAATCAAAGGAGTGCTCGCAGAGAAATGCAACTGAAGATGCCTATAAATAACAATACGAAACATCAAAGTACTGCTATTTCATAATTGAAAAATCACAGAGACACAAAAGTATTTGTGCATATTGCAACATACATCTGTAAAGAAATACACAGGAGTTTTCAAGCAAAAAATACTATACCGCATTCTTCTAAAGAAAGCCGTTGCGTCTATTACAAAATCCACATTTAATAGAGGGTGGCGCTAATCAGAGGGCGGCGTCAATCAGAGGGCGGCGTTAATCACAGGGCGGCGTTAAACTATAGACTATAAAAATAGACAATAAAAAGAAGGCTATAACGGGTGCAAAGGCAGACAAAAAACGGTGAAATAACATCTGCCTCTATGTGGCAAGAACAACTAGTGTCAGATAATGAAACACTATTTTACAAGCAAAGTAATTCACACTTCAAACAGTACGATCAGTAAAACGGCCACTTAAACAGGTTTTTTTTAATTTCCCGGCTTTATACCCAATCACAAAAACGAACAGGCTTAAGACTGCCCAATATTTTTAATCATCAAGTTGACTGAGTTTTATTCTAAGCCTTATCATTCACGTAAAAATCAACAAAAGATATAAGAGATTAATAATTCACTCTAAGAACGCGCTCACACCACCAGGAATGACCAGAAATGACCTACCTTTGCAGTCTTGGCAAAAAGGTATAACACAATCGCAGGATGAAAAAGAACGAAAAAGTCCCAATACCAGTCATCGTTAGAACAACATCGACTCAAATTCAAGAGTAGCAATGGCTACAATTCAATTTTAGAAACTGCAACTAAAGCAGTTTATATTTTTTGTTATATGTTTATAAGCAGTTCATCCACTTTATATTCTTTGCTGGTTAAAGGTTTTCTGAATGACAGAAGACTAAGAGCTCAGCATACCAACAGGACGAAAAATCATCATGAGCTAAATGTTAAAAAAATAAAAGCCAAACACAAGCGACAATTAAAAATAGCATCCAACAAATTTGTCGCTTCACATTTGATAAGCCATTACTGGGACTCCTCCGCTTATATCTTCAGTTAAGCGCAAACTATTTTCGCAAACTTTCATGAAAAGGGCCTGGTTTTTCGTTTTTGGATTTGCGTACTAGAATGCACGAGCTGCGGTCGCCATTTTTTCGCTATTTTGTCCCTGCATTGCTAGGCTAGACTGGACCTGGTCACACGATTAACAGGGTGAAAAATTTGTCAAGACGTACATCTTGGGCAACAAAACTTTTAATGGGAAATAACAAACCGTTAAACCACAATCGTGGCCAAAACTCCTTGACACTGAATTACAAATTCGGCATGCTATCAATTGTTCCAAGAAAAATTAGGACATATCAATTTCTCCCCTCCCCCCTATATCAATGTTGATGTCGTTTGAGAGCTAATATCCCAGCATTCGATTTTAGCCCAACAAACACCCCAACATTGATGTAGGGGGTAGATAGGGGGTCACGTTGAATAAGAACCCAATTGCATTTGGGATGCAGTCTCACGAGTTTTGGCCAGGATTGCAGTTTCTAGAATGGTATTATTCACTGAATACTGACCAACAGAAAATAAAAGAAATACCTGGCAAACAAACTTCGCATCCAGTGGTCCAAATGGTTGTGGAAACAAGTAAACATTGAAGGTTTGAACTGAGTAACTGAGAAATAATAAAGTGCAATGAGTAAGCAAAGATGCTGTGAAGAAATTATTAGGTTCTTTTGAGAACTTAAAGTCGTAGCACAGAAATAATATGCAGTAGGGGTTTGCTCTTGAACAGTAAAATCTTTGATTTGAGAATGGTAAACAGCATTTTACCTTGGGTTAAATAGATGGAGCAAAACTCATTTTTTTTTAAATTAATCTTTTTTGATGCAAATGACTACAATACACTGTATAGAACAAGTTAAAACATTAGGAAACGTTTAACCACATGACCAGGGGATGAATAAACCATTGGAAAATGGAGTCAAATTGTCAGTTTAAGTTACCTTAACCAAACCGACTCTAAAACCAAGAAAGGCAGCCATGCCAATTGGCACAGATACAAGCCCCTTTATTTAAAAATAGTAACTGTAGAGATATCAGTTCAAATATCATTGGAGATCAGTAATTACAATGACACCACAATAAACAGATAATCAAAAATAACTCCGCACATTTTACTCACATTTTTATGGAAACAGGCCTTAGACCTTTTCAAATTTTGACATACCTGTTTTGTTTTTGGTCACTTGGTATATACAATGAAATTCCTAGAATATAAACATCAAAAAAATAAAATTGAAAATGACAATACCAGGTTGTTGTTTGTCTGCATTTCGTTGGAATATAAATGAATCAAATACAACCACATCCTGGCATAACATCTTCATACACTGATGCAAACAACAGAAGAATCAAGTAAAAAATACGGGGAGGCAGGAGAGAATTGCCAGGGGAAGTGCCCTTCTTGCCCTTTGTTAGGAAGAGAACAAGTTTCTTTTACATTTGATTTTGCAACCTGCAAGAAAATTTGTAAAATTTACTTTTTGGAGTGATGATTCAATCAATTTTCCTGTTGTTTTGATGAAAATTTCACTCTAAAAGCGTAATAATTTTTATTAAATAAGCCCATGTTCTTGATAAATAAAACAAAGTGAAAAAAGAAATGCAAGATAGGAAAATAACAAAATTGAAACTGTCATGAAATCTTACAGAAAATGAGACATACCTATTTGGCACATTGAGGACTGAGTAACAATCTTTTTCAGCTTCTGGTACCGCACTTCACCAGTGTCAAAGAGACTATAGTGCAAACAAAGAAAAAAGTCATTGATTAGTGCAGCAGAGGAAGTGACCTTTGTACTGGGACTTTTGCTTTCCCTGATTTTTATCAACGACTAGCCACATGTTTTAAAAAGTTTATGTTTTATTCTCTTACCAATGATGCAAACATCTGGCAGATTAATCAACTTGTCAATAAAATCAATAATGAACTTTGAAAAGATCTTGAGATGCAAAAATGGATGAGTGTCATATAAAACCTGACATTGAGATCTCTCCATCAGTTTCTAAGAAGCTTTAGAATATTCTGCTACTAGGAATAAAAAATTATCTTTCCAATACTTTACCTAAGGAAAAAATCAAAGTTCACATGCCAAACTTAATTAATACTGTTGAATAAACTCAGAAATTTTAATCCTGATTTCCTAATCAAGAGACATTAACCTTAAAGAAAATTCAAGAACTAATTCGAGGATTTATGGTAATAATTAATTTTTGAATATAGACTAAAGATACAACATAACCTAATACTGAGTACAAAACCATATTTGTGTATTCAAGAACTAACCTGGGCTTTAGGCTGTTGTTTAGCACCAAGCAAGTGTACTCAGCATCAAATGCTAGAATGCAAAAAAAATACTTTAAACATGCACACTTAGATATGCAACAGCCTTATACCTATGTCAAAAAGGTAAGTGTTGACATCAAAGGTAAGGTTATATCTTCATACATACCAGAACTCAATTCCTAGGCACCCAGAACCCATTTACTTTTTGAGCATACAACTATTTCAGTATCTTGGAGAGTCAAAATCTCGGAATAGAAAGTCAATCATAGAAAATGAAACTCAGAAAAAGAAAAGATGTGCCCTGGGAAGAGGATAGAAAGAAGGAATGCTGTTTCGAAACACGAATGGAACAGCGTTTGAAAGTTAGCAAAGAATTTTGTACTCAGAAATGATACCACGCAGCACAACAATCCTCCATTAAAGCTATCCAACAGAACATTTGAAGCTGAAGACAAACAAAGTACTTTATCCTTATTTCATCCAGAACCAATTAGAGAGAAGGTGTGGCTACTCTTCTATGCTTTGTGATGCTACTTCTGACTCTTGCTGATTGAAAAGAACTCGGAAGGAGCAACAGCACCATATCTTTGATAATCTATCTGGTAACAACAGATAGATACCATATTTCCTCTAATGAACACCATCCTCTGATTAATGCCGCCCTCTATTGAAAGTCCCACCTTCAGCCAACCATTTGTAAAAAGTGCTGCCCTCTAATAAATGTGACCCTCTTTTGAACACCCCCATCTTAAAAAATTGCATTCATTAGAAAACACATCAAACAAGAAGTAACAAATAGTTGATATGCCTACTATTTGAAAGCTATTAAAGTTGTTATGTCTTAGAGACGAGGACTCTGATGGAGACAGGGATATTGACATTCCTTGACATTCCCATAACGTGAAAAACTTTAATAATCAGCCTTCTGATATTTAAATGCCGCCTTCTGATAAACGCCACCTTCTGATTAACGCTGCCTTCTGATAATTGCCACCTTCTGCTGAACGCCGCCTTTTGATAAACGCCACCCTCCTTTAAATGCCGCATCCAAAATTTTGATTTTGAAATAAATACTGTGATACAAAAGTGCTAAAACCATGACAGAGTTTGATATAATAAATTAACAAATAGGAAAAAATGTTAGTTATTATCCTAGATAGCATGATTTGTCGCCTGTCTGTGCCTTTGAAAAATTGCATCACAGACATTGCTGGTCAAATGAAAAATCTGTGAAGGCAAATCAACAGGCAATTAAAAGGGATTAATTTTTGCTGCTTCGTGCAACAGGATGGAAAAAATTTGGTGGAAATTTTACCTGAATATGATCGCGTAAACCAGTCTTAAGAACCTCTGGGATCATTGAGTGTGGCACTTTTTTCAGCCCCCAGATTCAATTTTGTGGCACCCTTTCTGTCTGATTCAATGATGCCATTAAATTCTTGAAACTTTCAATTTATTGAAAGAACTTCAATTTAATAACTATAATTTGATAAAATGGCCCATAAGCAATGGCATGATGGACTAAGAGGTTACCTTAAAGGACAAGTGACACACTTTTGGCGCCAAATTTTTTTCTTCTTTTAACTTAAAGTAAAATGCTGCATGAGAGTGTTGTTGAAATATTTTTCCTTTCTGATTTCATTTTTCTACTTAAAAACCCTTTTCAAATTATGGCGATAAATGAATCACGTGACACCGTGACGTAGATTGTGATAATTTGTTATTGCTGCTACTGGTATACAGTGCAATATTAACGTTTACAACACGCTTCTAAACGAATTCAGTTCGTCTGGACCTGTCGCGTTGTGTTTCGTAAACTCTCTATTAATGACAGGAAAATTCCGAGTTATCACAATGTACGTCATAGGGTCACGTGATAAAAAGCAAAATTGCGCCCTTTGCGCTCCCTGATTAGAATTTTTTATTCTAAACCAGGAAAAACTTACTTCTAAATGATGATCTTTAAGTTAATGAAAAGAAAAGATAGGGTAAAAAGTGTGTCACTTGTCCTTTAAGTTAAAAAACTAAGAAGTCCCAAACATAAATTTGCTCTATGTTATTTTACTTTGAAGCTGGTATTCTGGAAATAATAAACGAGTTCAAGGGGCCACCAGCCTGTATAAAACATAAGTGTGAATGAATAGAATGTCTTTGATTTTAGTATTTTTCTGTTTTGCCTACTGTATTTCCTAATGTAAAAAATAAGCCAATTCAAAATTGCTGGATATTTTACCAATCCATGATTGAGAAGTTCAAATGTTAGAATGACATAATGTTTTCCATTCATACTCACATTTTCAGTTAAAACTTATTCATGAAATTTTGAACTCTAGTTGAAATTGATTTCTCTTCTAGAAACACATGCTTTTATATAACCACGATATATACATGATAGGGTGCAAAAATTGACTTGGCAACCCCAGGGAAAACATAGCCAACCCAACACTGTATAGAATGTTTCTATACCCTTATAAAGGGGGTCAGATGCAGGAATTGATGAGAAACGTCTACTGGATGTCTCGTTTATTCTTTACCGAATAAATGTTATACATTTTATCTGGATAACCACTTTATTGTCAATTTGTTTCACAATGTGTGCACAGCAATTACTTCCTGCAAAAGCACTTTCAAGCATTCCAGAAAATTTTGACTTCAGATTATAATTTAGCATGGGGCAATCATATGTTTTTTAAGATTAAATTTCAATTATTTGATCCCCCTCCCTTGTACTTAGCCAAATTCCCTTCTAGGTGGGGGTGTGGGATTCCAATGTAACCCCCTAAAAGTTCACGCAGTCAGCTGATTTTAACATAATTCAATCCACAGAATGACCTCTACAGAGTAAGTTCTTGACCCTATAATCATGCTTGAGCACAAGTCAGATAACTGTAGTTTCCAAAATAATCTTTCTTTCTTTGATTCCGATCTTTTATGCCCCTTGTTAGCAATCGGCATGGCCTCTTCTTACCGGCCCTCACTTAGGAAATTGAGAATAAAACTAAGAATGTAGTTTCTCATTGAATTGGAATATGCTGATCAGTAGATTTTTAATTCTGGGCATCAATGGCTTTAGAGCAAGCATAGCTCATTTCAAGATAGCAAATCAAAATACTAAGATATGAGATGACTCTAGGGCCATTCTGCAGTAACCTATAGGGTGTGGCCCTTAAAAATTTTCCTGGGGGACTACCTCCAGCCCCCTTCTTCTAACCTCGCAAGGTTTTGAGATTTCATTGCGCAACCCTGCAAAACTGTGCCTCATATTTCATTCAATGCATTTGCATGCCAAAGCTTTTCGAATCAGGAGGAGAGTATCATCTAGAGGAATTCAATCTGCTCACAAATGAACATAGCAAAAGTGGCACATATGTTCACTAGTTTAGTTATCGGCAGCAACTTTTTCAACTTGTGACAATCAGATGGTTCTGATGCTGACCAACACAAGTTAAAATTGTTTTATGAATATTACAATCCCAATTCATCAGCATTTCAAAATTTCAAAGAAAACGTTGTTTAGACCAAGATAGGAAAGCAACGTTTGAAAAAAGGGTGTGGCATGTCCTTAAAAATTTCCCAGTACCCAGAAAAATGTGTGTGCAGCCCTATGTTTTATGTGTGCATTAGACGAGCCACTGAAAAAATCTTGTGTGTTCACATGCCACACTCTGCAAAATAGGTACAAACTAGGTATGTTTTATGTGTGCATTAGACAAACCTCTAAAATATATTGTGTGTGCGCACATGCCTCACTCTGCAGAATGGGTGCAAACTAGGCCTACGGTCTCCTTCCCCTACGGTATCCTCCTTAATACTCGAACATAGGCCTTTAATCAACACAATCATACCTATAAAAGCCGATTTTTCGATTGCCTTTGCAATATCGTCATACTTGAGCTCAAAATTCGACTTTGTTATGTCTACCATCTTCAAGTTTGAAACATCTGATTCCACAACTTGGATACCCACGTGGTACCATTTTAAGAAACCTCTTTATCACGATGGAAATGCGAAATCTGGCGCGAATCCTGTTATGAAATTCTGTTGACAATGAGTAAGAATTTATGTAAGAATTTTCTGGCCTTCCAATTCGAGATCATTTTACTTTTGGAAAGTCTTCATTGATAATTTAAAAAGCCAGATAGCCAAATGATTATCGGGACAGTTTTGTCACAAATTAGATTTTTTGGCTCCCAAGAAAAACAACTCGAAAGAAACTAAAATTAAAAGACCAAATCAAGGCTTGGGGTCTGTCTATCTAGTAGCGTAATCGACGGGAGTTGGGGTAAGAGTAGCTCTTGGGGCCTCTAAGCCTTTGGGGTTTGTTTGTATTAATTGATGTATAAGGTGATTTGAGAAACATATATTCTCAAGTTAACATGTCAATTAAATACACCAGAAGACACCGACTACCCAAAGACCAGCAGTTTCTTTCTAAACGAGACAATCATTTATCCAAGTTTACTGTGATGAGTCTGTTTCAAACTTCATAATCCTTAATCTAGAATCAATTCTAGATAAGATCTTTACAATGTTAGTTTAGTGCCAGAGCCTCTTATAGAGCAGAAAAGAAACACTAAGTAGGTAATTCCCAGGCAGTGTTGTAACGCACGGTGTGCACCTTTAAGCACAAACCTAAGGGCCCTCAAGAAGTTTCTAAAAAACTGGTTTTTTGATTAAAACATATGTTTCTTAATAGCATTCACATCATCATTGAAATGGGCGAAAGTCTGGATATGGTTTGTGAATGTAAGCAACCATATTATATTGTTGCAAGATATAGCATGTCAATTAGGTTTCCCTCTAAAGCACAACCATATAGCTATAAACAATTTTGCATTTAATTTACAAGGATATAACAAGGATATTGAAAATCTAATTGGCTTTTTTAATGAAGCAGTTTGAGAATATTTATCTTTCTGAACATGCTTTTTAAATGCATGTTCAACCCCCGTCTGTATATGCTGCATGGAAATCCAGGGAATCTTAGATGAAGATCAAAGAAAAATCTCAGGCAGCAGAATTTCTCTTCGTATTTTGTTGTATGTTATTTCTTTGGGTTTTACGGGAGCGAGTACTTAGGCTCTAAAACCAGACCCAGATTTAGTTAAGCAGAGGGGCCCCAAAACACTACTTTCAATAAGGGCCCCACACTGCTCCGTTACGCCCCTATTCCAAGAAGTGTTGCCAAAGGGGGTAGTGGTAGGAGGCTGCGGTACCCCCAAACACCTTGTCCGTCGGCACCTCAAGGCTTTTTTCCGGGTAAAAGAAGCATATTTTGTACTCTTCCTGTAACCTTTTTGATTAAATTGATTTGAAAAAGTGATTTTTCAGTTAGCAAAAACCTTAGGACTACAACAAACACAAGCATTCATTACAGTTTACGTTCCACAAAAGACATTATTGCTCACGCAAGAAAATTGCTTTTTTATAAATATTAAAGAAACTTTTTTTTCTGCGGAATTTTGATGTCACTTCAGAAAACTCGTTGCTACGAGTCGTCCCGAAGTTTCAGCTTGAACTTTAAACCAACTAAGCGAAGTCTTTTCCCGTTAATCACAGTTGATACATTTATGGCTCCTTCATACCAACCCTAAAATGATATAATAATGATAATGTTACGACGCACAAAGAATGCGCATTCCATTGGCTAAATTGTTGTTGATCACTGTGGTAATGGTTTACAAAGAATGGCTATGGTGAGTACTGACGAGACATGTATGGTCTGCGAATAAGAAAGGATATAGCAATACTGTCTGAGGCGGCACCATGGTTGCCGCCAAAAGAAAAGAATTTAAGAAAAAGAAAAGAAAAGAAAAGAAAACTTTCGAATTTAGATGCTTCAAGTTTGCTGGAAAAAGCACTTTGTGAAGCAATTTTTAAAAACGTAAACCTTCTCTTAAATTAATATTATCAGGCTGAAAGCTTTTTGATGGTTTTGATGGATTTTCTTCTGTCGTTGTAAAATATTTTTGCTTATGCAACATAATTTTCTTTAGATTGTTTTTCCTTCCTAGCTTTTCTTATCTTTTCAGTAATTCTTAGTCCGTAGGAAAATTCTTCTTCTCGGCTTTTCTTAGCTTTTCTTATCTTTTTATTAATTCAAGTTTTTCCTTCCTAGCTTTTCTTATCTTTTTAGTAATTCTTAGTCCGTAGGAAAATTCTTCTTCTCAGCTAGACGCTTCTTCGCTTCTCCGCTTGGATATTTATCGACGCGCCCGAAATTTTGTGGCTCTGGCAGCCAGGGCAAGATTTATTTAAACAAGTGCCAATGAAGTAATGTGTCATAACATACCGGTATTAGACCAGTTTCCATCATTTTTACCTCCATGGGTATATTGTTGGGTTCTAAAAGCAAAAATATTTCAATAAGCTGATACAAACAAAGCATAAATTCAATAAAATGAAAACTAGAAGGCTTCTGTTTGCTGTTCATATTGCAACTTTAAATCTAGGTTACAAATAGGTCAAGCCAACTTTGGTCTGGAGAATGTCTGAATCTAGATTGACCCCGAAAGCAAGCAAGCAAGGAAATAATGATCCCAGAACGTAAGCACTCAAGGGGAACTCATAGAGTAATAAATTCAATTTCAAGTATGGAATCGATTAAACGTTACAAAAGTGTGTCTAGAAATAGTAAGAAATTTAAAATTTTGCAAGAAGATGAATGCAGAAAATATCTTTTTGTGTATTTTAAGCTAATCTAATTTTGCACTAGGATCTCCAAATTTTTCAGCTACAGGCTCCACTTGTAAATACTAAAAGGAACCTTTTCCCACGTCTTAATTCTGTCTTTCCCCCTAATTTGTTTCGTAGCACTACACATCTGGGTAGGAACATGATACTGCAGTAGCTCCTCAATTACCTATGATGAATACTTTGTCTGTTTTTTTAGAATTTTACTTGAAAAGCAAGGGTGGACAATCAATTTCTGCAGAGGCTCCCATGAGAAACCCAAATTCTTTCGGAAGGAAGAATCATCTCAAATGAAAAAGAAACAAAGTACATTAAATTTGAGCTGCAAATAGTTATCAGAAGATATTGATATGAGGTAAGGCAGTGTAGCTCAAGTGGGAAAATCAAAGCAGTAGCGACAAAATTGTAGAGCATGAATATCGTAACATAATGAAGGGCGCCGGAGCCACGGAGGCAGCGGAGACAGCTGCCCTCGTTGCCCTAGTGGTGGGGGGGAGGCAGCAGGGGGCAGCAGGGGGCAGCCAAATTTCCCTTTTCAAGAAACTGATTTCCGAGCAATACTAATTCTTATAAGTATTTTCAATGCTTATAAAATCTAGGTTTCAAGCATCTGTTGATGCCTATATGCAAGACAAAAGTCAATATTTCCCATTTTGATGGGAACTGAAAATCGATTTGCAGAGCAATTTGTCCACAAAAAATATTTTCGTTGATAAGTTCCCTTTAACTTTCATGATCATGCTGAAAAGATTTCAGATTGCTACCAACGTTGGCTTGCACATGTTCGATGCATCAGTCAAGGCATCAATGATGTCTTAAATTCAGGCCAAGGCGTAGGAACTGGAAGACACAGTGGGCACGTACCCCTCTTTTTGCCAAAATTCAGTTTGCCTGCCCCATTGCAGCTCAAAGAGCTGCTCTTTTTGCCAGCTGCATAACCAAAAGTGCCCTTGAACCTCTTAGGTGTTATTTGACATTAGCAACGAGATGACCTTTTGGGGCGATGATCTTTTCGTTCTACTATTAGAAACACCAAAAAACAAGCTCACAACAAGGGTTGCCGAAAGGTGGTGGCAATGGCAAATTGGCCATGGGCCTTGAGGTTTAGGGCGTTCTCGATGTTTCCAGTTTGTGAAAGCAATTAGTAAGACATAATAAAATTGTGCAACTTTTTAAACGATTGCAAGAGGGAAACTGCAAAATATATTCTGAAATGAATTTCAAGGAAATCTAAAGGGCATAGTTGCAAACATGTTCATGTTCGCTTCGCTCGCAAAGAGCTTCCTCTATTGGTTGTGCCACGAGGCCTTCGAATACCTCTCGGCGGCACTACACACAACTAAGCCAGAAAATGATATCTGTATCATTGTAGCCAGGCTTAATGTAACAGCCTTTTTAACAATAATAGAATGATATGACTCCTTCTGATCTCAGGATCTTTATCAAACAGATCGAGCCAAATATGGAACTCAGTTCCAAACGAAATAAGCACTCCCCAACTTAGTGAATCTCAGAATTCTCATCGTTCAATACTTGTGATCTTTACAAGAAATACGTATGCAACATCAGTTATAATTGATTTAAATTATATTTAGCGTTGGTAATTTATGTTAGTTGGCTTTATTTAGCTTGAATATAGCTGCAGATTCTACTAACTTTAATTAAAGAAAGAAAAAAACAGTAAGTTTAGAGGAGTCCAAACAGTAAGTTATATCCAAAAGTAATATCAAGCCATCTAGATGGTCATCAGAATAAAATTTTGTTTAAATGTAAAGTAGAATTGGGTCCAGCCTCCCTTGCTGGTTGATGTTGGGGTAGAAGGAATTTTGAGAATAAAGTTTGACTGAAGTCTTCTTGATTCAAATTATTTTTATGGGTGTTGCTTTCATTTCCAAGGGTCTTTAGGGCGTAGCAATGCAAAACTTTTCTAGGGGCTATGCCCCCAGAACACCGACCCTGTCTCCCTTGACAGGGCCTTCACTTACAACCAGGTTTCGTCACTGGCTAAACGACGATTCCCGATTTGTTTCATCAGCAAACTTTGACACTCCAAGGTGCCCTTTCTGCCGCTCCTGCCCCGCCGCATCACGAAGCTTCCGGCGCCTTGGACTTGATTTTTCAGATTACTAAATGGATAGAGAGAGACTTGTTGCAAGTCCAACGGCGCCTCGGAACATAATTTATGTATTACTTTTCATTCATGTCATGTACTGATTGAACTCACACTACGGTGGGCCGGACTGGAGCACCCAAAGGACTAGATATTGCCCACGGAATGGTAAGATGCCCAGAGAATCAGCTTATAAAAGTCCAGCCATAAAAAAATGAGAAATCTGAAATCCGGAACAACCTTAACCCCAACAAAATGCTGGAAAATCCTTGTTTCAAAGAAAAAATGGACATGACTTTTCTATGATCAACTCCCGTTTTGTGGATCGATTGGCATAGACATTAGAAAAAGAAGACCATTCTGCGACTGATTTAGTACTTTGTTTCATGTTATGTTGGGTTTATTTTCTGAAAAGTGGCAACTTGTCATATACGGTTTTCAAAAAACCTTTATAAACTTTGCCTCAGTACTTCAATGCAAAAAGTTGAGCTACGGGGAATTATTCTGAGCTTGAAAAGCGCGTCTTTGTCAAAATTTACTTGAAATTGTTGTAGGAGATGAATAATTGACACCAGCTAACCACTTGAAAAGGCAAGATAACTGTGATGTTGCAAACAAAATCTTATCTTAATATCTTATTGTTCTTCTTACCTTCCTTTGGGATCAACCTCTTTCCATTCAAAGTAACAATACCATTTCATATTTCTAATATGACATACCTGAAAGCTTACTCCTCTTTATCCAACTTGATAAGTTTGTTTTATGTTTAACCTTGATACTAACATTTGCATCTTTTAGAATTACTAATTTTTTTTATTTCTATGCTATTTGTCAAGCTTCACTTACTTGCTTTGAGATGGGGGCATTTCACCCAATGATACAAACATGTGTCTTCATATTCATCAAAATATTTGATGGGCCTTTTTTCGAAGAAAACTGTTCCATTCAGAAAAAGAGAAACAATGTCCACAGCTAAAAATAAAAAAGAATCATCAATTAAGATATTCAAGGATTTTGTCCATATCAAGTAATGGAATTATATTTTTAAAAAGATTCAAAATATCTTGGAAGCTAAAAAAATTGCATAGAACACATTAAACATAATGATGGATTACGCAATATCAATTTGTCTTTAATCATAGAAGAGGTGAGCTCGTTGTGAGTAGAAATATAGAAAAGAGAAGCTGTGGGGCTTTTTAGCGATTTCGCTGAACACACTATCATTGTCCAGCTATACAGTATGCAATCATAATATTGAAAGTGTTAGGGACAAATCCTAAAATCTTATCAGGACAAGTATGGAAGATATTGATTAGGGGCATTAAAACACTTGCTCAAAAGGGATAGGGGAACAAAAAGCATCTGATTCATTAAGATCATTATGCTTCATTATCAAAAGTTCTTTATTTCAAGTAGCCCATAATTTAGCACCTTCTCCGTAAGAATTCTCGTCTTTGTTCTTTTCAAATCCTATATTGCTGCAAATCTTGCATATCGTTTCGTACAACCCATTTTAGTATGTTTAAAAGGCATTTTGACTTACGCCTTCATGATAATAATGAGTGGATGGGGGCTGGAAATATTTTTTGTAACATTGGAAGGGGGGGGGAGGTTATAATGAAATTTTAATTTCAGCAGATGATCCAAATTAAACAACGTATTAAGAGATTACCCGTCCCCTCTTTGGCATGAATGGGTAACAGGACCTGATGCAACAAAAATGAAAAATAGGGGAACTTACAAACTTAATCATAGTTTTAAAAAACGACAATGAAATGGCAGCGAATTTCATAGACCTAGAAAGCATTTTATAAGATAGAGGGGATACATGTAGGCTCGGGGGAGGGGGGTGTTAACCTAATAGGTTTCGTGGTACGGAGGCACATCATTATTTAGGGGGTAACTTTTTTTAAAACGGGTACAATTATCGTTACCATTTTGGGGAAATGAGGCAAAATTATTAAGAGGGAAATTTAGCATTAATAAAATGAGTGTCCACTTAAGAAAGTATAAAATGTCTGTAATACTGAGAGTTTGAAGCAAAGGACAAACAACATTTTGATTGATTTTGTTGTGTTTTGAAATATTATTTACCTTGGTATAGTTTCCATCATGTTTGCGGAATTACGGGCCACATTTTTCAGACATATGCGGAATTATGTGTCCAAATATTGAACCAAAATGGCTAGTCCCTGTCAAAAACTAGGCTTATTCACCTCATAATATGAACTTTACCTCTGTTTCTGAAGGCTAGATTGGCAAGGGTAATTCAATGACGGCTTTGCAGTAACATAAGGTTCAAATTTTACAACGGGAAAACGGCTGCCACAGACTTTGATGGTCATATTTTTAGAAGATTCAATTCAATGTTATGATTAAAACAGTGATTCTTACATATATTACTCAAAAAGAAGATTGGTTCGAGAAAATGATATTTTACCTACTTGGGGTGATCACTGCTTGTATCCGCAACGTTGTATTCATTGAGTAAGGTGGGAATGTATCCAAATGCAGTTTGAAATGTAGGTACAACGGGCCTGTATACCAACAAAAAATGTTTTTTATTCAGATCACATTGACCATGAAATTATTCAAGAAAATGTTTATTCCAGGCTCTGAAGAGAAGGAATTTATGCAAAACAAACAAAAGAGTAAGATGAGCTTCTTAATAAGCCCAATCAAAAATGAGATTATTTCAATTTTGCCTTTTCATTTCAAATTCTTACACAGGGTATCTCTACCTCTTCGGTTAACTGCTTTATTTATGATTCTCGTAAAATTGTGAACTTCAGTTAAACAGTACATGCAACACAAGCTCATCTTTACTCTAGCTACAACATCCTAGTGAAAACTAAGCGCTTCAGTCAAGCCCTTATTTTTATCATGCAATTTATGTTTCAGACATGATATATTGCAGCAACGTTTGATGGAAATTCGCAACAATGTAATTATTCCACACGTGCGTATTGTTATTTGCTCAATACCAGTAATATTTTACAACAGACTGATGCAACCTTTTTGGCACGCTCGGACGTGGAGACATCCTGTTACAAAGAAAAAGGAGTCCATTGATCATAAGCCCATAAACTTTCAACCTGGTTGGCCCAGGTGAACCCAAACAGTGTGACCCAAAAATCCAAATATGGCATTTAACTTATGCTAATTTATGCAAGATATGGTGGTCTGTGGAAATAATGAATATATCAGCAAAGTTCAGAACAAAGAGACTCTTCATTGTGAAAACTTACAGTATGGCCTCCTTTACATAAGCTGCCCTTACCCTTGATATTTATTTTTGGCAAACGGTGAATACCTTATGCGTTTGCCACATTTGGGCATTTTCCCAAACTAGAGGCCAGATCCAATTTTCAATCACATGCTTTTACTGTATCTACCCTGTTTGTAGCTACTTTAAAAAAACATTTTTGTATTTAAGAAGTTTTTCGCTGCAATCTGTTGGCAAAAATGTTTAAAATCTTAAATTTATTCCTTTAAAAGACAGGAGAAAAACCTCTAATCAGCGCATTTTCCATAAAAGTTTTTCTATACACATTTTAGCTTCATGCAGATTTTTATGATAATTTTCTTTTTACCAAAAGCTTGATTTGCTTTTGCTTTTGCCCTATATTTTTAAGCACATGACATGTTGCTTTTGCCCTATATTTTTAAGCACATGACATGTGTGTGAAAGACTTACTGAAACAGGGGTCCTGTAAATTGAAGTTTTTTTATATTTTTTTAACCTTACGTTGCCATTAATTTTCTTTGGCCCAATCAAAGCTGAGCACCGGTCAGAAAACTTTCTGGACCAGCCCTTGTCTAGCTAGATCACACCTTGTTTGTTGTTTTCATGTTTTTATTTCTTATCTTCTGTAAGTTTTTCTAGGTTTTAGTTTCTAGCATGAAGTAAGAAGAAATTTCCTAGCATACAAAATCAATTTCGAAGATTTTAGCTTATTCGGGGGCTCATGAGAAAGGAATGACGTTGGTAACAAAAAGTTCCTTCATTTTAACGTCAGTTTCGCATCATCACCATAAAGCTTATCATCACCCTTTTAAGGGCAAGGAGGTTTTTTCGAAAGCAAAATCAAAAGAAAAATTTCCGCGCCACCAAAAATCGAGCAACATTTGTACATTGGGGCTCTGCCTGTACGCATCCTCCCTATGAATCAGCATTGAATCTATTATTGTTGAATCTTCCTGCCAGAAACTTTCGCCATTGCATGCAGCCTCTGCCATTTTACCATAGACTCCACCATTGCTTATGACGTCATGTATGTTGGCTTTCTATAATCTAGCAGATAGCCACGGACTGACTTACTGGTGGTTGTGTGGGTACGAATCCCCCAAAAATTCATTAGCTCAAATCCTTGCTTCGATAATTCATCCCTGCGTATTTCTATAAAATCTTTCTGTGCCAGTAATTTTTAATGACTTGGATTCCACTAATTGCATTGTGTTGTTTACAGATTATTTCATTTTTATGTTAAAAAATTTATTCGGCAAAAAGATAATTCCGTCATTATCTAGGAACCCGAAGTGGCCCCAATCCTTGCCCCTAAAATCGTACACATCTATTCGAGTATGAAAGGAAATGTATTTCTTGGAATAATTCAAATCCAACAACGTTAATTTGAAATTACTATAGGTTTAGGGAGGGGGGGGGGCTCTCGTCGATTAGTTTACCTATTGAGAAAGGTCTTCCTTTAAGCAAATCCCTCCATACAATTCATCTTGTCCTTCTGTTTACAGTTTTATAATATATTAATTATTAATTGTATCGAGGGGCAAATCATTCCAAGAAAACCTCGTACACTTTTTGTGAAAACTGATTGTTTTATCTGAAAATCCCTAGAAATCCTTTTGTTTAGGGAAAATCTCGTACGCTATTTGCAAGAGTGAATTGCCCCTCATATTGTATTATTCTTTGTAATATTATCTTATTTCCTTGAAGCTAGTTACTTAATTGTTTTCTTTATTCGTAAAATTGCATGTAGTGGAAATCGAAAGATATGAAACTGAAACTGAAACCGAAACTACCTATTGAATTGATTGTGTTATTTACAGATAACCTTCACCTTCCCTTGACCGTCAACCTTTGTCGTTTTGTGAGAGGAAATCGACACGCAAGGATAGCTATGCATTATTTCTATTGACATTTTTCCAGCTATTGAATTACCTTCACAGGCAGATAACTTTCACTTTCCCTTGATCTTCGATTCTCTACCAGTGGAAGGCTTCACGGCTTTTTGCACTTGCTTTCAATTTATGAATGTGAATATTGAAGCAAAATAATGGTTTACAAACAGGGACGGTGGAACTGGGGGTGAACCTTGGGTACATGTCGCCAACCTTTGGAAACATGCCACTTTTCCCGGAAACGGACCTCTTTAGGAAACGGACCCTTTAGGATAAGTATCCCTTTTTCTGATACATGGTGTCCCTTCTAACCTGTGTCCCTCAAGCACTGAAATTTTTCCAACGTCCCTGTTTGCAAAATAAGGATGAAATAACTTTTAAGCAAACCAAGCTCTCATTGATAAATAATTCGTATTGATATTGAATTGAACAAGTTTACTTCAGCGCAAACAATGAGAGAATTCAGTTAGGGTTAGAAAGAGTTAGAAAATGAAGTGCTTAACTCGAACTTACCAGGGAGGGATTTTAGCAACAATGATGGGGGTGCTAGACATCATAGCTAGGGGATTTTTGTGCCACACCCTTCATTTTAATGATGGAAACGCCCATCTTTAAAATTCGGATTTTCACTTCAAGGCAGGGATGAAAATCGTTAAGTTTGATAAGGGGGGTTCTATGAAATTTCTAACTTGATCATATTGTGTAATCATGGCAATTTGAAAATGACAAGAACTGATGTTTTTTCCGATCATTGGTTCAGCAAGCAGTTGAGATCAGAACCTCAGTCTCGGATTGACAATTTTTTTCTTTTTTTAACAAAACAGAGCAGATGTTATCAGCTAATGAACCATGCTACTGAAGATGTTATGCAGTGCTATCATTCAGAAAGTATTTATGATTTGCAGAGATAGAAAATAGATATAGAAATTTTGAAATAGAACAACATAAAGAACACCCAAGCCTGAAATTATCCAAAAAAATAAGAACATCGAGTCGCTTGATCTTATAGCAACCCATTGACTCAGACGATGAGCCCCGTTTCTAAATTCAACAACAAAAAGTCAACCATCTATATAAAACTGCAACTGAACGTACTCAGTAAGGAATCTTCTAAGAATTTTCTACCTATTAATGAAAAGCTTTGTCTATATTTTCATGCATATAAAGCTTGCATTGCTTTTCTTTAGTCGTCATTGAGTGATATATGGTGAAGCAACGATTCTTCACAGCTTTCTTTGCATTAGATGATTCTTGGCTGTATCCAAGCACATATAATAAGGGGGCCCTACTTTTTTTCGAAAATTTTAAAAAGAGGGGCTGCGCTCCCCTAAACCCCCCCCTCCCCACCACTACATCCATTTTTTACGTAAAATACAGTAGAACCTTGGCATTATTTTGTTACTACTGACTACCAATATTGATTTTTTACCGAATGGAAGCAAAATTTACCGAAGGACACAGAAATATTGGTGGGTGTCACACCCCAACAACCTCCGCTAAATCTGTCCCTTGAACTTACCTATAAGTTTCAAGTATTCACCATCTTTATCAAACACTGTGAATCCTGGGTACGTTTTGGTATTTCCCGCTGCTTGTACCACTGCAGTTGTGCCTAATGCAACTATTGCCAGAAAAACAAACATTCTGAGAATCGACGTCAGGCTCCTACAAAGAGGTGGACTCTTATCTTTAATTTCGACATCCAGTCTCTAAGACAGTTGAAACTTTTCATCACTTTTATACAGACACAATGGTCACGTGATATTATCCGCAAGAAGATTTTCGCTTTCACAACAACAAACAATACTGTATTTGCCTAAATCTATAATCTAAACGAAACTGAATCTGAAATATATTATGACTGAAGGCAAACCCGAGGTAACATTTTCAAGCTTTCTTTCATCAGTATGTCCCATAGTTCTATATATTTACATGTCAAGGTGAACTAGAAACGTTTTACAAAGTTTTAGTCAGGCTATTTACCATAAAAAAAGAAGCAAAAGTGTGCTGCGAAAAATTTCGACAATCTGAAGAGCATTCAAAACAGCTCTAGATAATGAAATAAGCACACATCTCAGGGCACTTGCTTGGTAAGAAAGAGACTTTGCAGAAAATATTTGATCAGTCTTTTTTCTTTCGATTTGAGAGTCTTTCTTATAGTCCAGCAAAAATTGCACATCAGCACATAAACTCAGTATTTGTCAACATCCTTTGACAAAGGCAAAATCTCATCTGAGTATATTTACCCTTCGAAATCTTACCTTCAACAAGATGGTAATGAATGCTTCAATCTCGCATTGATAAAGCGATAAGGGCGTAGGCTCCCTTGTTTTGCTCGCAGCGTTTTAACGAGGCACAGCGCAGTCCTTTGCGAGACTGCTTGTCCTAAATATGCCAAATATAAATTAAATCTTATTCAGCTATTAGCTTTGTCGCAAGAGCTCTCGCTACACGGGTAGCTTTCTTTAAACTATTTAGCAGTACAAGTCTCTAAACTTCACTCACTAATTACGACAGCATATATATATACAGGGGATAAAAGGAAAGGACAGAAGTGGGCTACACAAACATACTCTGCAAAAAATTACTTAAAACAAAGTAGGTTACAAACAGTGGTGTAGTGCTATCAAAAAACAAGGGGTGCTCTTGCATAAAATGTTGCGAAAGAGAATAGCAAAAGTAAAAGTTTGCAAATTTTTGGCATTAACAAGTGGGGCTTAGCCCCCCATAGCCCCCAAGCATTACACTCCTGGTTACAAAGTAACAGAATGCTGTATCGTGCTTCGTGCCGGTCGGTGTTGCATCATGATGCCGCTTGGTGTTTCATCAGTTTCTTCTAATTTTTTAACGTTAGGAATATCAACAAAAATGAGCCTGATTCCTCCGAACAAATTTCCTTATATCAATGAACCACTCCACGTTTATTTTCTAGGAAGGGCACATTCAAAATGAAATTTGATTAAATCTTATTTGCGCACTAGTATTGAAAATAATTGATTTACAATAAAATTTCGTCCGCTTTTTACATAATAAATCAGAATGGCTACACATATAAGTATTATATTGCGCTTTTTTCTAACACTCTCCAAACATTCATGTTAAAATTCTGCAAATACAGAGCTAAATTCAAAATTTGATTATGTTGCACAACAGTGCACTAGAAAAAGCAAATAAAAGCTGAGATTTCGTTTATATACGTCGATTGCGCAAAAAATCTAAAAATATCTGAAATTGTTTCACCAATCAATTAGATAGTCTTGTTTTAAGATTTCATACCGCTACGGCTAAATTTCATACATCGGAGAAATTGAATAATCTAAAACACATTTTTAAGCTTTAGATTTAAGATAAATTTAGGCGTCGAACTGTTAAGAAAGAATCAACAAGTAATTAGACGAAGCAAATGATTTGCAAGTTTACAAGTCTGTGATAGAAGATTGTTTTTCGTTCTAAGTCTTTTATGGTTTTAAACAAACCAAAATGAAAATTGTTCTCTGATAATCTCACGTAAGTCTTCGGCATTGACATTTCAAAGTAAAAAGTCAGATGGCTTTTATTTCAAAATTCTTCACGTATCACATAGAACTACTCAGAGAGTCATTTGAAACTTGATTACTGTAAATGTAAAAGTTGAAGAAGTTCGTGTTTTTGAATCCCATTGCAGGCATCGGTTGTTCTGCTAACATGACTTAGAAGTCGCTTTATATGGCTTTTTCAGCACTCGATAGCAGAAACAGGAATCGAATCGAACCTAAATTTGCATTGAGCGAACGACGTTGGTTACAGATGATAATAGCCTGTCATATCCCCTTATTAATGCATCAAAATATCAAAGTTTTGATGTCTCCTGCTCCATTGCAGCGTTCCAATGCGAGTGCTTCAGCTTATACTTACTGCTCAAAAAGCTCTCCTTCGATGCCTGTCTTCTTGCGTTTTCTAGGTTGTAGAAGCTAGAGTGTTGCCCGGTAAAACTGTACAAGAACTGAGGTGTTGTTATTTGCTTTCTCTTGAAATAAAAGTAAAGGACAGAGTCAAGGGTAGGGTTCATGTAGAACATCCAACGAACCCATTCATACAAATAGTCGGTGGAACTTACTCTCTTAAGGACGTTGATATGGAAGAGAGCGGCGGGCAACGTGCACAAAATGAAGGCAAAAGTAACAGATATTGAATGAAGAAATGCAGCTCGTACTGTTGATTTCCTTGTGTGGCTCCGGCTTGACAATACTCTGGCCATTCTGTTTTGCCTCTTGATAATATAGCAAGTTATAGTGTATGTAACGAGTAGAGACGCCTCTGAAATAACGCAGAAATAGCCGATAATATCTGCCTTCGTGATTGCAAAAACATTAACAGCACTTAACCCGAAAGAAAGGGCCCAAATTACGACCAAGCAGCCGTTGCAAAAACTGATCGTGAAATGCAGGCGAAATTTTAGAGGCGAAACGGCAGCAAAGGTGCGCTGCGTTGCGATAAACACTAAGTGAAATATCGATGAAAGAATCCCAAATTGCAAGCCAATTTGAGATACAAAATCTAAACTAGGTTTGTGTGATGCCAAATAGTTGTCCTTCAAATGCCAATAAACAATATGAGAGACAGTAAAGATTGAACTCAAAAAATCTGCAGTTGATAGGCTAAGGATAGTGAGCTCAAAAGCCGATTTCTTTCCTTTAGTCTGTAGTGTTTTTACGATTTGAGACGCATTCAAGATGATTCCAGTTAATGCGATAAGCTCAGATAAAAAGTAACTTGCTTGGTAAAATGCATTCATTGCCAAAACCGTTTAGCTGAAACTCCAGATAGATAATGTTTTCGAGTTCCCAGTATTCAAAGCATTTCTACGGAAAAGTGTAATTCCATAACAATTTGAAAATCACTAATCTGGCGACAGTCGGGCAGTCTTTAATGCTCGTCAGGATCTTGCTTCAAGTGAGGAATAAAAAGTAAAAGAAACAATTCAGAATCTTACGATCCAAACAATTGCAATTTATAGAGTCGATCACACGTCGCCAATCACTTCTTATTCGTCAAGCAGGGTCCTGGGTTTTTGACTCAACCACCGCCTTGCTTCTTCAAGTGTCTTTTTAAGAAACTATTTTCTTTATCTTCATGTTCCGACATCTGTTAATGTTGCTATCTTCATGACACAAGAACATCAGATTTATAAAGATCTCCGCGAAGTAACTATTCAAATTCCTTGTTAATAATTCATGCATGTGGAAGAATTGAGTGACTGAGAGAATAATTAATAAGAAAGATCTTTGGCTTTTTAAAGCTCGTGTTCAAATTGTGTCTGTATCTTAAGCTAATCTAAAAATAGCCTATTTCTCCAGATAATCACGAAGAGATACACGAGAATGTTCCAAATGAAATGTCTGTTTCCCTAACAGCCATTTTTAAACAAAAGTGACAGCTGCTTGGTTAACTAGAAAAATGGAGAAAATTTACAAAGGTGACAACAACTGGTATTCAGCAAATCATAAATGTTGATAAACTCAATGTCAACATGCAAATAGATTTATAATGACTTGATCGTTTCAGTATTTGAGATAGAAGGAGAATTGAATGAATATGTTGAACAAATTGAAGACTATTTCATTTAGAAAGGAAAGACCACGTTACAAATGCAATGGCACTATAAAGAGCTAGAAAAGAATGCAGCTTAATTAAATGCGTCTGGAGGAGACAACTTCAGTTGCATTGACACATTATAAAGAAAGTAGACTAGACAACTTGACGCTAACAGATCAGATAGAAGAGGAAAGGAGTAGAAGCATACAACGAATAGCGAACTGAGACAGGAATGTCATTTTAACTTTGGGGAAGGGAAAGAGAGAGAGAGAAAGAAAGAGAGAGAGAGAGAGAGAGAGAGAGAGAGAGAGAGAGAGAGAGAGAGAGAGAGAGAGAGAGAGAGAGAGAGAGAGAGAGGAAGAAAGGAAGAAAGGGATAGAGGGATAGAGGGAGAAAGGGATACAGGAATAGAGAGAGAGAGAGGGAGAGAGAGCGCAATTGAGTCGGAAATTTACGACTAAGAAAAAAGAGAAATTGACGTCACGTTCTTGAGAAATCCTAGACAATATTTGCAAACAGGTCTGCGCCCCAACACAGTAGAGCTACAGTAAAGCTACTAGACTTTTGGCATAAGTTACTTTGCAACTTACTGCACTGAAAAGATGTCCAAGGCTCACCTAGAAGCATTTTCGAGAACAAACATGCATGCAGCATTGGCTAGCTCTTAACAAAGTCTAGTTTTGAAAAGGTGGACATTTGAAATGGTGGGCATTTAAGACCGGGTGGCGAGGTCTACTAGTTGGCAGGGTCTACTAGCTGGCGGGGTCTACTAGTTGGCAGGGTCTTCGCTGTATTATTTTCCGAGGGGTAATTCACTCTTGCAAATAGCGTACGAGATTTTCTCTAAAACAAAAGGATTTCCAGGGATTTTCAGAAAAAACTATAGGATTTTCCTAAAAAGTGTACGAGATTTTCTTGGAGTGACTTGCCCCTCGCTATTTTCTGTCTATGAAATGACCACAACTCTCATATCAAACAGTTGAAAAGCAACAGTTCTAATGAAGGGAGAATTAGCTTGTAAATTTGTCGTTTGGGTTGTATGATAAATACTCATTTTTTTATGAAAAGCTTTTCATGAGATAATTTGGAAATGTTTTGATTGGGACATGTCGCAATGGTAATAACGAGCATTAATAATTACGATTACATGCTACGTGATTTTTATTTTGCTTTTCAGCCATTTTTGACAGGAGTGATAAGAGAATTGGAAAGGCGGCTGTTGACCTTGAAAAGAATGACAGAAAGTTTTTCAACTATCCCAAACATTCCTTTCATCACAAATGTGTTTACATTAACAAAGACCATGTGACTCATCCTCAAAAAACGTAGCACGGCTTGTAAAATATATTCAAAACGCACCGAATTTCCAGACCCGCCTGAAGACACCAGCCGAGCCCATTCGATTAAGTGCATTAGAGCAACCAGATTTCCAAAAGCAACAAATAACTGGCTCCAACAGAAGATACATACCTTTCTCAGGGGCAGAAAAATGTCAAAGAGATCAAAGGAACCAACTTGTCATAGGATACAAAATGTCTTATTTGAAAAGATTTATGAAGCCTCGATATTAAAACTGGGCGAAGGATAAAATATTGTCTGTCGTTATCTTGTCACCTTGCAATAGTTTTATTTACTGCAACATTGCAGTTTATTTAACCTAGATTCGAGTTGGTTGCAAGCCGGAAACTTAGACTTTATGTTTAGTAGCAGCATGTTGTACTGTTATTAAAATTGTTGTGCTAGGTGTTATTATAATGTCCCTGTCTTGTGCTGTTTAGGGCCTTTCCATTGTCCGCAAGGGTCACTCTTTCAATTTTGGTGACCGTCTCTTTTAAGTCCAAATTTTTCCACTTGTCTCATGTCCTTGCTTTGGCCATGACACATATTTTACTGACTCTTGCGTACGAGGAAACCGCCCTCATCAGTGCGATGCCACTGATCTCAAAAAAAGACTGGATCGAGCTTCTCCAGCCCAGCGTTGATTCCACATTGCAGCGTCCATCTTGAGACCTCGCTGTGTTGTATGAGACTAGAGAGCAATCATGTTGGTTTCAGTTCAACTTTCTTTTTCATAGCAAAATTCAAAGTAACCGTTGAAACAAAATCTTGCATCATTCGTAAGTGACGTCAAACATTTTTGCCATGGTACTAAGCTTGTGTAACAAAGAATTCACTGTCCACTTATTTCCCTAGGTCGTTGTATCTTAGAATATTTTAGAATTTAATTGTTAATGCACCATTTTAGGCGCAGCACTTTGTGTGCACCGTTTAAACAAATGGCAGCCCAAAGCTTTAGGCGCGAAAGGTCTCAAGATTGAGAGGCTCGATCAGCTTCATTGTACTGATGTAGGAGAACAATAGGTTAGTATATGAATATTTGAAGTATTGAGGTTCTTTCACGGCAATTTGGAAGCACCCAAAATAATAATGGAATGAAAAAAATGAATCACAAAACACATTGCAAGTAAAAAGAATCTAACCATCATGACTCAATGTCCTTCTTTACCATAACACTACTTTAATATGATTATTGGTCGTTCTTTTATTAATAATTAAGAGTGCCTGTTGAATCGAAAGTTTCCAAAACATTAATGCAGGTATCTTGTCTCTGAAGTAAAGGTAAAGCAAAGCTTCACCAGAACTACCAGTTTGACTAAATTTGCGATTAAGGCGACAACAAAAAGTTGATCGGTGCTTAATTTAATCATTATAGGAAATTAAATATACCTATATACAAATATTATCAGTAAAGAAAGAGAGAGATCTGTCCCACAAAAACATTCACTTCCATGCTCACGAGACCATGTCACTTCAAATGGCATGTTTCACAACGTGAGCAGCTTCTACCACTGTCTGAGTTGGTTTGCTACGAACACGTGGGTCCATAACAGGCACCGCCATTCTGTGAGAACAAGAAGGAAATTATTTGGACCAGATGCCGCTGATTAAGATATAAAATTTCATCCAGAGTTCTTGTCAAACTCAATAGTTATCAACATCTAGACTTTTCCAGTATGTTTAGTCCTTTTGATGATAATTTAAAGTCTAGTTTTAAACCTATAAACCCAACATCAAACAACACCAAGTATCAGTGCTAAACGAAATCTTGAAACCTTGGAATCTCAGTTCAATGCTATAAAGAGATAAATGTTGCTTAGTCATGTCTTCACCTTACGGAGTTGAAAACCAGAAATAGTAAACAAGTCAAAATAAATCAACAATTTTTGTGATGTACGAAATACTCAAAAGAGGGTAACGTGTGATCGGAAACGCTCAACAAATTTTAGTAGGCGCATTCATAATTTATAAAAACTAAAATCAATTCCATTTTAGGAATGTCTAATGACTCCACGATATCCCTGTATGATCTTGATTCTTTGCTAACAATCATCACACTATTTAGCTCCAAATCCTGATTCTTCAAACTATCTTAAGATTTACCAGCTAATTTATTAGAGCACATCGAAAAAGAACGTATTAGATATTGGAGATATTAGAGAACATATCGAAAAAGATTTCCGTCTAGGTATTGCAGAAAATCTGGGAAACACTACTCCTACTTCCTTCACTCAAAACTTTAAGGAGTGGCTGTGGCTCCACAATAAAACTTTGCAAAATAAAGTGGAGAAAACTAAATTTAAAGCTAGAAAAGTGGACTCACGATACATTCGAGCGATTGTTTACAACAAACAGTGGATTTGTCTGACTCAGTATTTCGTCATTGACTGAGATTCCTGAAAATAATAAGAGAAAGAAAATTAAGAACAGATGAATAATCTTAATAATCATATTTCATGTATAAAAAAACATGATTAATATGGGTAAAGATTTAGGCAAATTCTGACATTGAAATATAGACGACTTACGAAGGCAATATACTGAAGGATCTTATTTAACAAACACTATAACGTTAGGATAACGGGCTGACGCTATATCTTCTGCTTCAAAGAATGCTTTAAAACGGGTGAATGTTCCCAATTTTCTATATCTAAAGAAAACATCGATCTTATATATTCAAGATTTAATGCAAAACACTCTGGTGGTTGGCAATAATCGGTAAAATCGAATGAATGCCACTTACCATCCAAATACTGCTTCAACACCGAACGAAGTTGTTGGTTTTCGTTCTGTAGCGTTTGCATTTCTTTATCAAGTGCCATCTTGTCTAGCAATACCTGCACGAAGGATGTCAATTCAAGTCACATATAGACTTAGACCGTATAACTGAAATGATCAAGGTAACATCAACAATTATGCCCGAGTAAGTCTTTTAGGATTTTGCCATTCATTTTAATTTCCTTTGCAAATTACAATATAACGGTCACGGAACCAAAGCAACGTGTACATGGCGATTGGTAGATTAAACTTAATAACTGCAAACTGAGCCACAAAACACTGTAGGTTTCTACTTTTTATAAGAATGTAAACTTGTAACCCCTTTTGCACTTGTTAATAGCACATACTTTTCTTTGCTTCAAATCGTCATAAAATTATGATCCATAAAAATATGGATATTCTCACCTTGTTCATGCGTTTCCAGAAATTCTCTAGTGGCCTATACTCGTGCATGACCTGGAAAAAGCAAGTAGATTAATTTAATATGGAAACAATCATTATTGTTGTTAAATATAGTTGCTACCTATGAGCTTCTGAAGAAAAAAAGAGAATTTTTCCAACATCAAGATGTACAAAGTGCGTCCTAAATTTACTATCCATATGCTGCTCATATATTTTTAAATATGATTTTCTAAAATGCACAACATATTCTTATTAAAAACACGAACTTTCGAAATGACAAATACCTCAGCGAGCTTTTCTACAGTAGACTCCTCCACAGCGGTTTCAACATCTTTTTCCTCCTCAGGGGAGAGAGACGACGCGTAAAATGGCAGAACCTATAACAGAAAAAAGTCGTTTGTTACCAAGAAATCTTTCGTTTGACTACGTTTCGTACTTTCTACAACCTATAAGATTGCCCTAGCACTAATCATGCAAAGTGAACTTGTTTACTGTGTTAAATGAAGTACTATAATGAAGTACACATTAATATTGAAGTACTATAAATCTTAGTGATAAGTCTTTGAGCTGAAGAATGGCAGTTGTTCAAATTTTTCTGCTTTTATGTAAAATCTTAAAATCTTGCAATAAAAATGATAGTTTCAATGAAGAAAGCATAAGAATAAACAAGAGGTTTAAGCATTGCTATCAAAATGTCTGAATCAGCCACAAAATTCGTTTTTCTAAAATTCGTTTTTTTTCTCTAAAATTCTTTTTTTCTCTCTAAAATTCGTTTTTCTAAAATTCATTTTTCTAAAATTCGTTTTTCTAAGATTCGATGATAGAGACCATTATAAAACTGTTATCAGAAAACTTTCGAGCAAGCATTAACTTAAAATAGACAATTATATGCATTTAGTTCGAAGTATAACCACCTGTGCTGTCTGAATTCAACCTGCCATGCCCACTTAACTATTGCCCGAAACGTTTAAATGTCAATGCAATTCTGACTTACTTCAAGGTTCTCTTTTGAACTTTTGAAGGAGAGACAAAGAGAAAGATTGAATGAATTGCCCAGAGGTAGGTACAACAATTGGTGGACTTGCCTTTTCTTCCTCCGTCTCTAGTTTTCTGCACATTTCTGCTTGCCTTAGAATTCTGTCACCCTTTTAAGGAAAAACAATTATAATTTTAATTAACAGGTGTTCTATTCAATATAGATATGAAAATCGTTGCTACAAATGCAATAAGATTTTTACAGAATAGAGGCATGAGGTATTAGATTATTTAGATAGTGAACCTGATCTATGCAAAATAAGAACAACAAAGTAATATGCCTTGTTAATGAGAACATTGCAGTTTCCTGAAAGACATAAAGAAAATTATATAAAAAAAGGCAATACAGCATATGCTGACAACTGGGCAGTGGAAGTTTCGAAAAAACCTCGGAAAATGTTATTTCAATTTGCAATTCACATTACAGCAATGATAATCTCGCTATTGGCAGCGGCGTTCAACTTCGTTGGAATTTACTTCTTGAGCAGAACAAATGACAAGAAATCAAATCAAATCCTAATCATAAAGCACATCGCGGCAGCTGACATTGTTAGCGCAATTGGATGGATCCTTGTTGACATTAATATCATCAAGAGTGGAACTATCAAAGTTGTCAATCAAATTATGACACCGATGTTCCGAGGATTATACTGTACGTGGTACTTTTTACTCTTTACTCTGACTTTAGACCGCTTCCTCGGAGTAAACTTCCCTTTATGGTACAGATGTACAGTCACAAAAAAGCACATAAAGACAGTTACCATAGCATCATGGTTGGTCGGTACTGTTATTGGCGTTATTAGTTGCATCGTCAATACAAAGTTAATCTTTCAGAATTATATTTGGCTGATTTTATCTGGTCTTTCTCTGTTTATATTTTCAATGACTTATTCGACCATCATTTATCGAATGAATCAAGGTCCCCCACCTGGAACTCAAAGACCAAAAAGCAGCAACAAAAAGATTATGCGGTTGGTTATATACATGAGCCTTGGTTTCCTACTATTTGAAGTTGTCCCAAATGTGGCCTTCGTGATCGTTAAATTTACTTTGAAGATCAATAGCGACATTATTAATGGGCTGATACTGTTGGTTTACAGATTCAATCAATTTGTTGATCCCTTTATATATGTCTTTATGCTTCCGGATGTAAAAAACATTGTGCATGAACGATTGAAGATATGCAAACGAAAACAAAACAAAACTACAGAAGAGAGCCAAGTAGAAGAAACAAATCAAGTGAAGATCGCAAGTCATGATAACAAGGGTTTTCAGGAAGAGACACAGTTATGAGAAGGAATTTCTTGGATTTTCAAGACATCTTTATCATTTCTGAGACATACCCCAACACCATTGCCACATATCAATGAATATTTATTCCAATACCCGCCAACTCAGATGCATTTCTTACCTTAGTCTCACGCCAGGGTAAACCATACATAGGCATCATTACTTCATATGCATTTTCAGTAACTAAGCTCGTTCAAGATTCAACAGAGGACATACTCTGATTGTTCAAGATTCAACCAAAGTGAAATATTGTGCAGAAAGCATTGTGCGAAATTTATTTGAACAACATTTAGTTTGCCATCTCTAAGGACCGTTTAAGATTGTCTATACAAAAGGAAATAGTCGATAATTTCTAACAACTGCAAAATTATCAATTATTGGTTGCCTTTGAAAAAACCAGCTAAATTTAAGATCACCAGGGAAAAACATTGTCTCACTTTCACTGTCATTCAAACATTAAATCGAGTAGAGCGGTGTTTCGACATTGAGGGTAAACAAATTGCAATTCGAAAGGAGTCAAAATTGCAACTTTATTTCAATTGATACTCGAATGCTGTTGTTTCGACGACTTTTTGATTGGGTAAATCTGCTTTGAAGGCATCTTAACAGGACACATTCTATTTCACCTGTTTCCTTACAACTCACTACTTTACAAAAATGGCGCAGCCACTTATTTACCTTTTCTTTCTTCTTGTCAAGCTCCTGCAAAGCGGAGTTGCTTTGTAGCGTCAGTTTGGTTAAGCGTGACCTAGAAATGTTGACATAGAGCACAAGTCTAAGTGTGGATAAATCTAACAGCGGTGTGAAAAAGGATCACTAAAAAACATCGAATTAATAATAGTAATGAATCGGTCTGCGGTTTACTGAGATACAAAACAAATATTTTCATAAGCAGACTGAATCAATCTCTGTAATCACAAGCAGAAATAAAATATTCGTTGGTGAACTTGCATGGAAGTAAGTGGGGGTAAAGAGATGAGACATCTAACAATGCTATAAAAAAAATTTTCGCACATGATTAATTGGAAAATGGCATCGATAATGAGCCATATGGTGACAACTTAATCACTAAATGCACATGATGCTATCTTCAAAAAATCATTTTGGCTATTTGAAGAACACTTTTCAACACGATTTTTAGTTAAAATGTGCATGTTAGAAAATTATAATCGAAAAAGTGCTGGTTAGGGACCGTATAGCACCTACCTTTGTTGATCCCTGAACCTGTTCATTTGATTTTTCAGTTCGTGGAACTTTGAAGCGATCGCCTCTCTTTCCTTGAAAATAGCACAGGACTTTGAATGTACGAGCAACACTAACATGGATGAATCAACGAGGGTTGAAAGGGGAATATGAAGGACAAAATCGAACTACATAAAAGTAGACGTGAATCCTTATAGAGTACTAATTGTATATGCACTATATACTATGGCGAAATATAAATAACTATCGAAAAAGACATCGCCGAATCCACAGAGACCGCAGAATACATTACGTAACAGGGAGGGAGGGGGGCTAACAATTGTGAAAGGGGCTAAACCCACTAAAATCGAAGAACGGGATACTTTTTGTATGGTTTAAGCATACTTTAGGAAAAAGTTTATAGGGCTGAGTACCTATCAGATCGATCTCTACGCGAGAGAGAATAACGAAAGTGGGACAAATTCCTATCAGGTACAACATTGGTTGTGTTTTGCAGTGGTGTTCTCTACGACCACTGCCTCAATCTCCCTGATCAATGCTTTACCAAGTAGATTTAAGCACATAATTATGGAGCTACAATGATAAATTTGTATGATCAACAGTACTCGTAGGTTTATAAAAGTATTTATTCAGTTGTTTTGGTAATTGGAAATCATAAACAGTATTTTTAGTTTGAGGGACAAATTCCAATTGGCTGAACTTGTTATTTTCGCAATTAGATTTGATTTATGTTTGGTATCGACCAACACTAAGAATGATATAGTTAGTAGGTACAACTGTGCAAAGCAAGAAACATAACAGCGAAGTTATAAAAAAGTGAACCAAAGTGCACGTCACTTACCTCTTTGAGGTCCTTATTTCTCTCTTCGCACTCTTTGGCATTTTGCGACATTTTTGAACGAATTTGGGAGATTTTCTCCTACAAAGATGCACGATTAAAAAGGTTATGCACAAATATTTTTCACTGTAAAAGATCTCACGTTAACAGGTTCTCGAGCAAGAAAAAGCAAATAATTAGGTGAATATATTGTGTAATGCAAGGGTGTAAATGCAAGGGCTAAATATAAGTTGACACCTGTTAAGAGGATGTGAACTTTTACCAAATAGGAAAGAAGTATTGACTATTTCTAGTTGGAAATAGAGTAGCAAAGTTATGACGTGACAAAAAATATGTTTCTTTGAACCAAACCAAAATGACACTAATTACTAAGCAATCTTCAAATTTTTCAATAGCCAATCACCGGAAATCTGTAACAGATTTACCCGATTTTGCACATTTAAAGATAATTCACCGTGCTCTTTCAGGTCAGGTGAAACAAATTAATTAAAAATCCTAATTTGACGTCATCATTTTGCCTCTTATCGGCTGCCGCAAAAGAATTATAATTGAAAATCTTTAAACACAGCATATCTCAAGTCCTACTGGAGATTAAAAATATTTTTAGAAATTTTGAATGTTGATCCCATAACATGAAAGAGCATCGTGGAATATCTCTAAATATGACAAATTATTTCAAAGTGTTACGAATTGGAAGAGATATGAAATGATGAGCAGAGGCTGTTGCTCCATTAAACCCCAGTGACTATATAATGTTTATAAATAACTTTATGAACACAGCCAAAATAACAGGGATCCGTTAGCAATTTCAAATCTTTTACTAGCTGTATCTCACCCTGTTTTTGACTCTTGACCCGATTTTGTATATTTGAAAGTATTTCGTAAAGTTTTGAATGTCATGTGGTCAAATTCAAAAATATTTTAAAAATAGTTTTTTGTGATGTCACACTTAACAACTCTTTTGCTTGTAAGCTTGCTCAAATCTGGATGTAAAGACAAATGAAGCTTTTATTCAGTTCAAGTTTGTTTTGAGTTTGTTGTTGACGAACTGCGTTATCGAGAACAGATTCTTGCAAAATATACAGGTGCATTTGAAGGTTTTTGCTAATCTTTGAGCATAAAAGGCCTTTATACGTACAAAGGCAAGACGCAAAAAATATGCAAAAGTCATTCATTCTTGCCTGATTTATTACAATAACAGCCACTGCGGCAGGGAATATTGACACGACAGGAAGAACATGACAAGTAAAATTTTGTTAGCTGACCTCCAAAGCATCAAGATTTAATAAAGATTTTTGGGCAAAAAGTCTTGATTGCATCATATCTTCATATGGTCGGTCAAACATGCGTAGATTGACACACAACTTGCACAAATATTATCAACTTCCCCTTAGATATGATAATCATCAAGGGATATTTCTTGCCGTCCTTACGTTGTCAAAGTAGGTGCCGAATTTCACATTGTAAGCAAAATGTACAAATATACCAGAGAGGTCATTAAATAATACCTGGATTCTATGCAGTTTCCTCATTTGCAACTCAATCTCCTTTGCACTCTTTTCATCTTTAATTTTCAGGTTCTCAAATGCAACTTTTCTTTCTTCAGTAGTTTCATTATAATTCTTCAAGGCCTGTAGGAAAAAACTTCTGTCCATTACAACTTCTGTTATGCTTCAAGTTTACATTAGCATAACTATAAGATACTATGATATATTGAACTATAACAGCGATATCTCCTCCTTGCAAACCCTTCTGCAACAAGCTATTATGGCGCTGTTTATATAAAGGTTGGTACCACGAATCCCCATCCCCAACAATATCAGTTTTGCTTAGCCCTGAAAGTGGATCTCTCTCATTCTTCAAAACGGCCCATTCAGCTACAAATGCAGTTATTAAAATGTCAAATAATATGGGATAATGATTTAAGGGTTGTAATCACTTCCATCGAGGGCAGAAATACGATCTCTTAAAGAGCATGGAGAAGCTTTAAAAACGCGCGTATTATGCTAATAAAATACCTAATAAATTACCACTGAAATCTTACCGCTTGAAACTGCTTCCAGAGTTCCTCGACCTGACCTTCAAGTTGAATCCTAAGTGCGTGTTTTTCTTCAAGATTCTGTTTGAAAAAATATCAGGGCAACTAACAAACGGTTACTGTTTCTAGTTTATTAAATTTCAAAGCCTTTTATGTTCCTTAAAGCATAAAAAATCCAAAATTTCCATAGTTTTCAAGGGAAAATAACTGATATGCGAAGGAGACTTACAACGAACTTCACCCTTGACTGTAGGAACTCGCATTTTGATATCACTTTAGACAAGAAAAATGTTTTGACAAATTAGATAGCTAGGAACCAAGGGGTTTAGGCTTCAAAACGAGGAACTGGATCACCTTGAAAAGAGGCCATTTTTCAACGACATTCCTGAACTTCGCAACAGAATACATCATCACAGGTTATGTAAAATGCACAGTGAAGCAGGAGCGTGATTACTTTTAGAAGAGGGGGACCTGTTACAAAGTTCGGATAGAAGGGCGTGTTTCATTTTGGAGTGGTTGATTAAGGTTTTTTGAAATACTGGTGATGCTATTCATCATATCAATTTGGACAAAAACTGTAAAATAGAAGCTTAAGAATAACACAGATATTATCATAACTGATCCTAGAAAAAATTTGCCCTTGCCCTCTATCCATGATGCAACCAACCCAATATAAGACAGAAATGTTGACCGATTGATATAATGCTATATCCTAATAAAAATATCCTATCATGCAAGCTATTCTGCACGGGTCAAACAATGTGAATTTAATATCCATTTCTATTTGGAACATCAGCTAAGAGTTACCTTATTCTTTATCTCATCACGCAAACTCTGAAATTCCTGCTTTGCATCATTCTCCCTTTCCTCAAATTCGTGTTCCATGGCAAACATAATATCCATTATCTCATCTGTCTCAGCCTTGTGCTGCTTCAGTATCTTCTCTCTGAAGTCAGAGTTAAGAAAATAATGCAATAAAGATGAGCTACACTCTTTTTTATAAGAAACAGTAAATTTAAATTCAGGCTGACTGTTCTTAAAGGACGAGTGACACGCTTTTGGCGCCAAATTTTTTTTTCTTTTAACTTAAAGTATAATGCTGTATGAGAGTGTTGTTGAAATATTTTTCCTTTCTGATTTCATTTTCCCACTTAAAAACCCATTTGAAAATATGGCGGGAAATGAATCACGTGACACCGTGACGTAAATTGTGATAATTTGTTATTGCTGCTACTGGTATACAGTGCAATATTAACGTTTACAACACGATTGTAAACGAATACAGTTCGTCTGGACCTGTCGCGTCGTGTTTCGTAAACTCTCTATCAATTACAGGAAAATTCTGAGTTATCACAATGTACGTCATAGGGTCACGTGATACAAAGCTAAAACGCGCCCCCTGCGCCCCCTGATTAGAATTTTTTGTTCCAAACCAGGAAAAACTTACTTCTAAAAGATGATCTATAAGTTAATGAAAAGAAACGATAGGGTGAAAAGTGTGTCACTTGTCCTTTAATTTATTCGAAAATCTGAGGCTGGATTGTTCTTAATTTTTTCTTAAATTAATAGGGTGTATGTAGTATGATTGCTAGCTTTTTCGCTCTAGGGAGGTTTTCAGGCCAACAAAGTGGGTGAGACAACCTTCATTTACTGCGAAGTTCGAAAATTCACCGAAAAAGCCAAACTTTGCTAAAATCCTCGTTTAAGAGATAAAACGTTGTTCAAAATGCATTTTGAAGTAGCTCACTACCATTATGAAACATCAGACAAAATAAAGATAAACCTATTCGTGCAATAGTTATCTATTAAATTAACTGGATTTGCCCATTTTCAGGGACTAAAAATGAAGTTAAAAAGTGGGGGAGGGATTGATTTTATTTTTTCCAAAAAATGATAAATGTGGATTGCAACAGAAACCAACTTTATAAAAAACATGCTTATTCATGGATATTCTCAGAATGGTACATATTCATTAATCAGTAACTGCTAGCATGTCACAAAATTCAAGAGTCCAAGAGACAGAATCAAAAGTCCTTTTGTCCACGAACTGATCAGGATTTATCATCTTTCTATGCAGATAGATGCCAAAACCCAAATTAAAAGACAGCTATGCTTTAACAATGATTTTAAAATCACATTTTAACATTTGTTTTGGTCTCTCTGTATTGTTAAAGTAAATATTGACTATTTGCTAGATTTTAATTTAATTTGGGTATTTTAGTCTTTTACAAGCAGGCTGCTCCCTTTTCAGAACTTTTTATTTATTCTCACAAGAACACGTTTCTCATAAGAGAGAATATGGTAATTCATTGTAATCTCATCAGTGCTAAAAGAGGATGTGAAGTGGCTGTGACTGTGAAAGTTCCACAAATACGAAAAAACAGCCACAGTGAGAGCAATTTGGTGAACCGACTTATAAGAAGAACACAGAGGAACTGTTAGACATGCTGGGTTTACAGTGAAATCTACATACCTTTCTGTGTCAAATTCATTTTTGATGTGTTCTAACTCATTTTCAAACTCTGTTTCCAAAGTAACAAGTCTTTTTTCTTGAAAATCTAATTCAAATAAGGTGTAAGCTGTACTTATTTTGAAATAAAGCATAAAAACTAACTTCACTTTAAAAGGTTGGTCAAAAGCAAAAACAGAAAGTAATATATTCACACCTATTGTTGTCTCTTGTACTGACAATAAGTGAGAAAAAAAACCATTACAAAAATGACAAAACTTCTCGAGTTTCATGGTATAATAAAAGAAATTGAAAGAGCAAAATTAGAAAATCTTCTAGAACAAAATCTTTGATTACCTATAAGTTGATCGATATTCTGTATATGACTTCTTAGAGCAATCTGATACTGCTCTTCAGCTTCATCTGAATCTTTTACTAATGATTTCAGAATGGCATCTTTTCTATCAACAATTCTTTCAAACGTCTGGCTAAGGATTTCTATGTCTTTTTTCAAATCATGTGCTTTAGCTGAGAAGAGAAATGACATCATGTTACAACACCTTATGATGCCTTTTTAACATATTACTAGTAGGGTAATAACTCTTAAAGCTCTTTAGTTAAAAGCAATAGGCTAATGTCCTACTCTTTATATAAACAACATAATGATGCCCACCTAGCAAAATCCCTTTGCAAGGGCTATGCTTAGGTACTTATAAAAAAATAATCTATATTTTGATATTCATCTTTTGAAATCAAATTAATGAGAAAAAGCAAAAACTGTATTACATTTGTCACCACATGAATGATATGTTCTGAAAATAGAAAAAATGCACCTGTGCCAAAGAAAGAGCATAGTGGATTGTTGAGAAAGAGACAAATTTATTCCATTCCTTATGCATCTTATTTTGCTTCCCTTTGTGATGGATAATTATGAAAGTAAAAGTATGCAGCAAGAGGAGTACAGGGGACAGCTTCCTTGAACAATAATTAAATAGATTTTGCTACTGCCAGCATTTAATTACTCTTACCCATGTTCGCGTAAAACCACTGATAACAATAAAAGTCAAATTATATAGCAAAAATGTATTGCTACAGATTTTACAGTATGATTTTCTACAATTAATAATGTAGTGATAATACAATCAAGCAACTGCTCAAAAATGTTGATTTCTTGATGCCAAGTTACCTAATTCTACATACAAATTTTAGAATGTGCTACTTTCAAAAAGTTAATGCATCATGTAGTTGATATTGCGGTGATTGATAAGTGGCATTTTCCTTATACAAACTCAAAACAAAACAAAAAATGAGCATGATTTACTGTTTGAATGGTCCCTACCTTCCCTCATTATTACCCTCCATTGGTGTTGCAGTTTGCTAATATTAAACTTTGAACTTTTCTCTTCCTTTGCTAGCTTATCCTTCAAAAACTGGGTAAGCATATCTTCTTTTTTCCTTTTCATTTCTTCCTCAGCAAGAGCCTTTTTCTCCATTTGAAGAATTCTCTCCTCTTCCGTCATTCTTGCAAGTTTACCTTTAGCTGCTTTTTTCTTTGGAGCCATGATTGTTGATTATATGCTTTTGCCTAAGAAAAATAAAACAAAGACAAAATAATGATTTGTTGAGCAATGATTATCGTATGAGTGTCAGCAATGGTCAGCAATGGTTTGCAACAGTCTGTGTTGGTCTCTCGATGTTAATGGTAACACTTTCTTGTGGCTGTGAATGGCAAGAGTCGGGGAGTTGATCTGAGTTTAACTTTCCCAACTCTTACGACTCTTCAGATCAATGAAAACTGTCATGGAACACATGTCACTGATGTCACAGATCCACTTTTATTTAAGAAAATAGCCACATAGATGTAATTAACATAGGCACGTTATTAGGCACATGGTCACATGCTGTTGTTTTGCTGTCTAATATGGTAAGGTAGTTTATTTCTTTTTTAACTAACTAAAAGCCAGTAACAGACTAATTGCTTTGCAGTCAAAATAAAAATTTAGCAATTTTTTGCTGCTAATTCAAAAAAAGTATATGTACTTTACAAACTAAAGACATCAAAAAATCAAGAGATACAGTATTTCAGCATTGGAGCTGATGCAAAAAGCCTTTTTGTAAGTGTGCAAAATTAGAATTGTAGACAGCACTAATATATGCAAGCAATATCTGGCAGGCACGGCAAACTTTCTTGTCTGGCTTGGCAATTCAAGGTTGGTTGCAAAATCCTTGAGTTTGGGAAAGATTTGACCAATGGTGACAGTGGTCAGTTGTTGTATAGTTTTATAATAAATAACAATGATTGACCCTCCCCCCTCCCCCTCAAAATGTATTAAATGGTGTGTTTTTAGAAAGTGTTTATATATAGCAAGAAATATATACCAGTATCTTCAATACAGTTTTAGAAAATGATGCAGAAGAAAAATGCCTTTAATAACAGGCTTCTAAATTAGTTTTCATTCATAATTTTACACACTTGGCTGCATTAGCTCTGTTACTTTTGATTGCAATATTTCTCAATATCAACAACATTGAAAAGTTGAGCAATGCAACCAGAAGCTTTCAAAAATCATAAAAAATAGCTTTATGGTTACTGCTCTTACCTATAACTTACTGGCATTAAAGCTAAATATCATAGCAAGGTCTTTTCAAGTTATTTTGTCTTCGATCGTGCGTAGAACATATAAAAACATATTGTACATATTGCACTGACATACTTGTCATCAATAACTTAGGCCAAAGACCAGTGGTTATGCTTGAGAAACTAATATGCACAGATATAACAAAGATAGCGAGTCATCACATAGTACAGTTGGTACAAAGCGAATTAAAGGTCAAATTAGAACAATATTTACCCTTTAACACCGTATTTTCTCAAAGCTTGGTGCAAAGAAACAAATTTGTCTCTTTTCAAAACCTTTCGCTAAATGTAATTTTCCATAGCAACAAGAGTAGCCTCTCGTAGGTACTTAGCCTCTTTCCAGTTGGCGGTGACGCAACGGGGATGCACCACCGAGTGGGGTTCTCCCAGTGATAGATATTGAAAAATAGTGTTGACAAAACAGATTTTTCAGTAATTTTTTAAAACAAAGGATTGTTGGACCAAAATCACAATGTCATTCTATTACAGGGGCGCCGGAGCCATGGGGGCAGCAATGCGCCCTTCCAAGAAATATTTGTACCAGAAAGAATAATTCATATCTACATCTACATGCTAATGAAATCAAGGTTTCAAATGTCCCCTTGATACCTTTTTTGCAAGAGAAAAGTCAAAATTTTCCATTTTGATGAAAACTGATAATCAATTTGCAAAGCAATTTGACCAAATAATCGCATTAATAAAGTATGCACTTCAGTTTGCAAGCAAAGTTGGCTCGCTTTTGTTTGATATATCATAGGCTCTGACACAAGTAGGAACTTGAAAAGTGGGGGGCCAAGCAACAATTTAACACCAATAACAAAAGATTTTGAAAAAATCCCCTTTTTTGCAAAAAAAGTGGGGTCATGGCAGGCCATCACCTACAACCAAGCTTCGCCATTGACCAAACGACGGTTCTAGACTTGTTTTAGTAGGAAACTTGATACCGTAAAGGTTCCCTTTCTGCGGTTCCTTCTATGCCATATTTGTACCTACAAGAACGTCATACAGTGCACTCTTGCCTGGTACATTACCCGTACTACAACCCATTTCGTATATCTTAACATTTAATTATTCATCTTTAATTATGTTTGCCGTAATGCCTCGAACAAGCGCCCCCCTCAAATAAGAGCCCCCCTCAAAAAAGAGCCTCCCTCGAATAAGCGCTAATTTTGGAGCCTCAATAATCAAATAAGCGCCCGGGCGCTTATTCGAGGCATTACGATATATATTTAGGCACTGGAAACTCAAGTGTAGCCTTCAAACGTTCACAAAGAATAAAAGTTCGTGTTTTTTTTGTTTCTCGAAAAACCTTATAGGAAACATTATAATTTTGATGATCGAAAAACTAAATGATATGTTGCATTGAATTATGTTCATTGCAATAAAGAACTGAGCATTAAAAAGAGGCAATGATACAAAATAAAAACGCAGACTTTCATAAAAATGTTTACCAATAAAATAAAAATCGCTTTTACTCCGCTAGAAACGAAACTGTTTACTCTAATGGTAACAAAAGAAAAATGTGGAAAAATATTTACAAAAAGGATATCTAAGAGCACCTATCTAGAATGAGAAAATGGCTGATATCAAAGACAATTCTAAGATTGTGTGTGTCAAAAAAATGTCTTTTGTGTCGATAGAAACAGTTAGAAATTTGTTTATTCCAAATTGAACAACTGTCTTTGTACTTTAGTCTTCCAAATCTATGTGAGATGATAATATTAAATTGGATTTCCTTGTCCATCAAATACATCAGGTTTCAGATGGAGACATCTCATGCGTAACAGCTTAGATTGTCCTTGTTTGCTTGTAACGATGAGCAAAGGTTCTATTTGACGAAGGTGATTTTAGTTCTAGCGTTGTTGATTTGCCAAACATTAATGTTCTCATAGTCATCAAGACATCGAGAGAATTGATCAGGGGTGAAGCCTTTTGTCAGACAACGCTGGCGGGCATCTTCAATCCTATGACAAAAAAATACACTGTCAAATCAAACTATTAGATGTAAATTCTTCTTGTCATTCAGAAGATATACTCCATAAAAACAGTGAGCATAAGATTCTGTTTCACGAAAACATTATTCACTGACTGTTTGACGACAACAGTGACATTATTAAATAGAAAAAACGACAAGTATTGACCAGATGTCGTGTCATGCTACCTTGCTTTAATGAGAGGTTACCTGGCTTTAATGAGAGGTTGCCTTGCTTATACGAGAGGTTAATCGTGCATCAGTTAGATGGCGATAATCAGTCAAACCAAAGCACATACTTCATCAGCAATAAATCCTATTTACGGATTCTTGCTTTTGTAATTGATCTTAACTTTAGACCTCGCAGTGGAAATTCTAGCAAATCAAAGTAGAGAAACCAGGGGTGTTGTGAAGGGAGGCCTTGGAGGGGTTCAGGTCCCCTTGTTAAAAATTAAGAGAGTTTTTATGAAATTCGGCCCCTTCCAGTGATGGTATGTTGGGTTTGGTAAATTCTTTACTTGCCAATAATAATTATGTTTTCCCTAAATTCTAGTTTTAATGCTAAACCCAAAAACAACATTGATACACGATAAATTTTGCATTTCCGAATTGTCCAGTAATCAGCTTTGGCAAGAAACGTGAATAGAAATCCAGGCATCTTACCATTGTTTACAATGTTGTTGACATTGCTGATACTCTAGGATAGCCTTTGTAATTCGAATGACTTTATATATATACGGAACATATGCGTATTAATGTTACACATGCAACATGGTCAAGGGCGTGGCACATATCTTTTAGGACGGCACCCATGAGAGAAACGTGCACAGAAATGATTTTACAAAAAGTTCACAAGAAAAATTACCTTTAAAGATTGTTACACTACAACAACCCTGAAGTAGTGCTGATAAACCTGGTAAGATAAATTGAATTTCTATCAAACTCACTTCAAACTGTTGGCGTCCCCAGCCATTTCTCTTATTATACCGTAGATGACGTCAATTGGCTGTGATGGTCTATAAGATCAACAAAGCATAAAGGTTTAGCTCTCTAAAAAGTGCGGCAAAAACAACATGTCGCCAATGAGAATGGCCATACGGTATTATGTGTTCCCTCTCAAGTTTAAGTTAAATATATACAACTGCTAATTCGATCATGAAGAATAATAATAAGATACAGGTTACCAAAATAATCTCTGCTGCGATTGTAAGTAGTCCCGGAAACTAAAATATATCAGTTTTATGGAAAAGCAAAAATGACAACGGCCCAGGAAAGTAAAATACTTCAGTTTTATGAAAACACAAAGATGACAACGGCCCAGGAAAGTAAAATACTTCAGTTTTATGAAAACGCAAAGATGAAAGTTATGCGTCAGAGCCTTATTGTCATGATGTAACATATCTGCAAAAAGGTTTACTTGTTGATGCCTTCCTCGTCGATAAGAGAGGCTTTGGACATCTCCATTAACCGCATTGCTTCATTGATGTCCTCTTTCTCGACAACGTCCGCTAGACGCAGACGGGCCTGAAAATAGCGAAAATAAAAATTATGTACATTTCACAATTAGCAGAGCACCAGACCTGCTTTACTTATTGTGAAATAAAGGTGAATAATTGTGAAGTTAAGACCATTAAAGTACGTAACAGAGCTAATTTTAGCAAGAGCTTGAAAGCTGCCCAGGAGATTAACAAGAATGTCTTGGGGGTGGAAGAAAAAACATCTCTTAGATATACAACGTTTAAAAACTTCAACTCTTTCAAATTGAATATGTTTTATCAGTATATTTCAGCTAATTAAAAAGGATAATGAAATACTAACATAGAAGATCGAAAAAATAACAAACATATTTTAGATGAAATTAAATTGCGAGTAAGAAAAATTAAATACCAAAGGAAAAGTAGAAATGACTCAGATGTGCATTGGAGCTACGTGTGAATCTAAAAAGTACCTTGCCTTTGGTAGATATTTTGAAGAAAAAAACGAATTTAATGAAAATACATTTCGAAGCTGTAAATAATCATTTAATTTCCATTTAAAAATAAAACAAGACAGTAAAATCAAGTAAGAATGAAAGGAGGGTTGCAACTTGAAAAATGATCACAATAAGCCACAAGATGAGATTGCTAAGGCTACACCTTAAAAAAGAAACGGAAATTCAATATGAAAGCATTTGAATTTTTTAGCCCATCTTTACTGGGATTGGCAATTCAAAGAAAAAATTCCAAAATTTTACACCCTGATACTTAATACGATAGCCTGTAGCTCTAAATGGAAGGGAGAACAAGCCCTTCTGTTTGATAAAAAGCCTCCCACAAAAAGAAACATCCTTAAGGTGGTTGTCTCTACAATGACTAAACCAACAAGCATAAAGAAAGAAAGGCGTACCAAAGCTGTTCCAAGACGTAAAACGGCCAAAAGGGTTCTTGGTGACGTGAATGTGGTGTCCTTGCTGTTTCGCGCTTCTTTTCTCATTTCCACGTAGGCACTAACAATGTAGTCTGTAAGTTCGACTGGAACAGCCGGCATCTTCTCCTTGCATGCGCCTATATATCGCCTGCAAGAAAGCAACACGTGTCTCACTATCATGAATTCTATGATCATTTTAACACATATATAATACACAGATCTATTTTTTAATAGCAACCGTCGTATTGAACACTCACCGCATTAACTTCATGTCCAATGGATTGTACATGGCTGGAGGATGGACGGAATTTTGATGTACATATGTGATGTGTTGAGCTAGTCTGTACAAAGAGAAAAAAGATCTTTAATTACCAAGAGATGTGGTAGTGATATTGAAACATTCCATAAACCAATGTATAAAGCATGAGGTTAGCTCTAGGCAGGCTTTGGGGCACCAAAATCTCCCATTATCTTGTTACCTCGACATAGAAGAATCAATTTTCAGCTAGATTTCCTAATTTCATAAATTACTGCTATTCTTAATATTACCTTAGGTCGTTCTGTCTGTCTGGTTTATCCTGAATCAGCCAAAGCAAGTCAAACCTCGAGAGAAGGGCCGCAGGCAGCTGGATGTTTTGCTCTGCCGATTTCTTTGGGTTATAGCGACCATAGGCCGGGTTAGCAGCTGCAAGAATCGATACTCTGGCATTGAGCGTTGTCATTATACCTGCCTGAAAAGAAGTGACAACAGTGTTACAAGACGGCATTGGCTTTAGGCAGCATTAAGGTGTGCGGATGCCTCAGTGGCTCGGCTCACTGACTACAAACCCAAATATTCAGGGCTCGAGTCCCTGCCATGACTAGACTTTCACTTAGAGTGAAGACAGTCGCCAGCTCTCTGTAATTCTAGGCATAGGAATCACGAGGCGTGTTCACTTCGAGAGGAAAGACAAGGATAATGCTCAATAAGCATAACTTTCTATTTTGAGAGTATGCTGGTAAGAAATTGGCTGCAAGAAGTATTTGCTCGGCCTTAATTCATAAGAGACCTTTCCTTTGAGCAAAACTAGATTCGCTTGTTCGTTTGATCATAACTTTTTCAAAAAGTTTGTTGCTTTCTAAAGGGGCAGGAAGGGCAATAAACTTCATTATTCAATATTGCAACTCAGGCAAAAAATACAAAATATCAGTCATATTTGATATTTCAATGAAAGAAAATAGCAAAGTAAAGATACGGGCAATTTAGGCCAAACTACCAGAGTTAGACTATTTACCAGTAATCTAACAGACAGATACAATAAAAATAAACCACAACGTTGGCAGAGATGGATTTGTTACAGCCCTCCAAAAAATGCACGACAACCTACTTTGGCAATTGAGATTGTTTGCTGCTCCATGACTTCATGAATCGCAGTTCTGTCCGAGTCGTCCATTTTATCAAACTCATCAATGCAACAGACCCCTTGGTCAGCTAGCACTAGCGCCCCACCTTCGAGAGTCATTTCCCCAGTCAACGGATCCTTCATCACAGCTGCAGTCAGGCCTACCCCAGAAGAACCTCGCCCCGTCGTATACTGGCCTGAAAATCAATGTATGATATTGACTGGTAATTTACAAGTTTTTCATTTGAAAAAAGGAGCAACAACACGTTTTTACGCGCCAACAAACAGAACAAAACAAATCGAAAACGAAAACCATATGGCAATTGCGTTTTACTTGGGCCAACCAGGATATTTTATTCAATTTTCCATTCACAGTTTTTCACTCAGAATAATTGCCCAGCAAAACACATTGTCTCATACATCGCAAGTTGACCTGAAGCACGAGTATGAGTACAACGAAAAAAAGTTTGCAGAGAAGGACAATACATACTTCGAGGAGCCAGTCGGTCAATGTAGCCAAGAAGCTGACTTTTTGCAACACCAGGGTCACCCATCAGACAGATATTGATGCTTCCTAAAATAGCAAGCAATGCACAATTTAGATTGGGATAAAACATGAAACAAGAGAACGAGGAATGCAAATGACTATCTATAAATATATAAAATAATCGCAGAGTAAGGTCTGGCTGCTATGACACTGGCACTTGCACATGCAACTTGACACATACCTCTGATTTTCATTCCATTTGGATTCCTGTCAACTCCACCAACAAGCAACAATAACAGAGCTTTTTTGATGTCCTCGTGTCCGTAAATTTCAGGAGCTATGGATGCTGCTAGCTTCTCATAGAAATCAGCCTCTGCAAAGCAAACACCATTCATTGCTATTGTTTTTGCATTACTAAAGATCGTATACAGTAGTACCAAGATATGGTATACAGTGAAGACGCTTTTCGATTTAGGAATTGCTGCTAGTTAGAACATAAAACGAAATGAACAGCTCAGTCTATTCCAGTTAGTTTTATTGCTTGCATACAAAACACACTGGAGATAAATTCATTGCTGTAAAAATGACGATGAGACATCGCTACGTAAGAAGGCAAGTAACGAAAAAGGTTCTTAAAATTTTCAATTATGAAGCCAACTGTTGACAGTCCAAACATTCTTGGGGGGTTTGAAATAATTTTGCGAAAAGTAGGAATTGGGAACTAAAGAAAAAGGTTCTGGTTTTAAGCTATACAACAATGATGAAAAAACTATTGCAGTTAACACGATCCCATCTATGGCACACTGTGTACCTTCTCCACTTCTGATAAACAAGCAGTATTGTGTTTATTTTTTATCAAAGTAGAATTTCATTTTAAAAACTAAATTTGGAAAAAACAAATTTAGAAAAATATTCAACAAATTCTTAAGAAATAGCTGAGGAGAATGTGAAGGTTCTGGACGTAACTGTTTCTTTTTGTCATCATTAAAAAAACGGAAATTGAAATCGTGAGACAGTATCATTCATGTAGATTTACAAGATGGAGGCTATAGAGATACTATCTGAAATTAAGACATTGCTTAGTGGGTTTCTAGCTTACCTTCAGCCAGCCCTCGGATCTCGTTATCAGTCAAAGCCTCGTCTGTAAGCTCATCATCCTCAGTCTTGTTCATACGAACGATTCTCTACAAACGAAGAAAAGTTCGGTGCTAATATACTATTGTGCCTTGCCCACACTGATCCTTACCTTATGTATGGTAACCCCTACCCCTCGTATGAAAGCCAACATGCTGAGAGTGCGTTTAATTGATGAACTGCTAAACAGGTATCTGTTAATCATTGTTAATAAATAAATATTTTTAGGCCCCGTTAATACAAACAAAATAAAACAGGATGCTTGATAATGGAATGGCAACTTCATGGGGATATTCAAAGTCAATTGCCAACCCTAGTGTTCCCTACCAAAATGAAAAAGTTCTTACATGAGCTTCGAGGAAGGTCTCAGATAGTAAGCCTTGTGTAAGCTGTCTGAATCCTGTCTTCAGAGATGGGAGAAAGACCCCGGTTACACTAACATGATCGCCTGGTACTGCTTGTCTTGTAAGCTCACCCCGTGCGATAACCGTCATTGTCCTAGGAATGTGCCCAACTGGCACCTGATCACTGTGCTCCTGGATCTTCAGTTCCTGGAACTTCATGAATTTCGAGCCTCTTGACTGCAAATAAAGACGCCCACCAGATCTAGAGCGAATTGCAAACAAACAATTCAAAGCAAAATTAGGTAAAATAAAGAAAAAATTAATAGTTTGAATTAAAACTTGAACTGTAGAACAGAAAGGCAATCCTTTCTGTAAATCTCCCGTTTAATTACAATATTGTACCGTTTTATGTAAGAATTCGTATATGACTTTAGAAACTGTAAGATATTTGAATTTGTATTGAAATATAAAAAATAAACGTGGAATAACGTTAAAAGTGGGTTAAAAATAACATTGCATAAATTCAGTTTCTTAAAATGTTAAACGAATTAGGACATACTTGTTTGTTGTACACTCTTCACTGGGACACATTAGTAGAGGCATAAAACTTGACGATCCAACCTTTAATAAATTGAATATGATTAATAAAAAAATAATCACAAATGTAACTTCTAGCAATTAGAAGACATGTGCCAAAAAATGGAAAAATGCAAGAATTAAAATGATATTACCAAAACCTATACGATTTCGACTGCTAGATAATATCACAAAAACAATAGCGATAGTCTTGCCAGCTGGAATCTGGAAATATATCTTAAATGATCAGACAGCCATATATATATATATGTTAAATGATGCCGAGTTTATAGTTCTTGTTTATACTATCATTTACTAAAAAATGAAAACGTACAGGTTGGTATGTTTCTGCCCCGCAGCGGTCACATGTGTAGGTAGCAACAACCATGATTGGCTTTACTTCAGTGCATCTTGTGACAATTCCTCTCACAACCACAAGTTTCCCGATATTTTCAGCCTTCACATTTCGTATTGCCTCTGCCTTTTGATCTCCGAAATGTTTAAAGTGCAGTTCACTAGCAAGGGAAAAGTTTCAAGCTTCAATAGACAGCTCGCAAAATTGGAAGAATTCAGATCTATACGAGATGATATTTTCAGCAAATTTTCAGGCCAGCACGTAAACCATCTATTCATTTAGATGCAAAAACGTGGTAAGAACCACTAGATCTTTATATTTCTTTATAACACTTTTAAAATGTTTGTCCTTGTGTAGAAAAAGACAAGCTTTGGAAATTACATTTACACCACAGCCAAAACGGTCAAAGGTCAAATGATGATGATAAGAATGAAAACTGATTTTCTTATTTAAGCTATATCATGTTACTTCAATCTATTTATAAACTTGTTAAAGACTTGCATGGTTCTCCAAGGACAGTTGGATTTAAGCTCTACTGATCGGAACACAATATTTAGTGACCTCTGAGCAAATCGCAGGTGAAGTGACAAAAAGAAAAAAGACTCACTATCTTCTTAGAAGCTCAGGCGGGTATGTATTCTTTTGGTTTCTTTGAACTCCACCCCGTTGCTGGTTATTCTGTTGCTGTAGCAACACCCTGTGTTCGATATAGATATCTAATGCATCTTTGTTTTCAACCTGAAAATAAACATAAAAATGTGCATGCTTTAGTAAAGTGCTGGTTTAAAATGAGCAGAATGCAGATAAACCCTATAACCCCACATAAAAGCCCATCCTGAATAAAGGTCCATGGGCTTACACAGGCCTGGCGGTTTGAGGAGAGCGATAGCTCGCGCTCGCCTCCACGCTCCCCTCGCAACCTGAGGCGAGCTATGAATTGCTCTCCTAAACAGAACATGAAGGGAGAATCGCTCCCCTAAAATTTCCATTCATTCGCCCTTTTCCTATTCAAAGAACCCTGAAAAGGTACAAGGGTTAATTGGTTTATTTTTGTAACAGCGATTTCTCCCGTCACTGCATTTTTTGCAATTACCTTTTTGCTTGTTGGGCGGTTTTTGTTATAATAGGCATGAACTTCGATCTATTTGGAAAAGGGTGGTTAAGCGAAAGGTACGTTTGCAGCGATTAGAACCTTTCAATCTTAATAAAACAGGCATATTTTTGGAAGGAAAGTCGAAGAAATTGGTAGGAACTGTAGATTGGGGGATATAATAAAATACCAGGTCCCTTCCAGCAATAGAAACAAAACTATCCCTCAAAGAGAACAGGGTACTCTGTCTTGCAGATCAAAAGCGACAACCAAAACATGGAATTCCACTATCCAGCGGCATTTACTGAAAAACCCAGATTGGGTGAAAAACTAAAACGGCAACATGTTTCGCATTATTGGCAAAACATGATCATCGTTCCATCTAGCAGTTTGTGAATCTATCAACTATATAAACATGACAGACCGCTTTTGTGTAGACAGAAGGAGTTCGTTTTCACCTTAGGACTCTGTTGGTAACATTTTCAATGGGAAAGCGGCAAAGATTGGACAACCTCAACAGTAATGTGCTCGCGTTTTCTGATTGGCCTATTTCCATCCAAAACTGGGTATTTTAGCTTAGTGTTTTCCATCTATGTTCTGACGTTTTATACTCTGAAGAGTGTTAGACGTATAACTTAAGTTTGTTTCAAAATTTGTTTTTCAAAGCCATTTTCAAATTCTGTACAACAAAAAGACTGTTTGGCAAGAGAAATGTTGTTTTTGTGTTGTGCCAGCTTGACATGAAACTGAAAGAGTCTGTTCTTTTAAATACTTCAAGTAAAGGGGGTGCCTAATTCATGGTTAAAGCAAATACAAATTGAAAGAAGTAAAACAGCATACTCCTGACTGAGGCTATTAAAGGCAACCGACAGATACTAAAGGGGCTTAAGTCATCTGTCGATTGTCTTTAAAGTACATTCTATGTGTTACTGAATTAGCTCGCCTCAGCAAATGAGGGGAGCGATTCACAGCTCACCTATAAAAATACAAACGGCCAGGCCTGGCTTACACCTAGTTAGGGGCCCACTGGGCTTTTAAGCCAGAGACTTCTCATGTGAGGATGAGGATAAAAAAAATACTCCAGAATAAAGGATGCTTCATAAAAGATCGAATAATTTTTTCTCCTGAAAAAATATCTTTTACTACAAAAAAAAGTCAAACACATTAAGTTGTTCTTGAGAAATGTGTCTCCTTGCTTACTGCTTATGTTTTTCAGTGGGATCTAAACCAGAAGTTGAGAATTGCCTCAACAAAAAACTTTGCTTCAAGGCAGGTAATCAGCTACCCACCTTCTCTAGTGTCTCTAATAGAAGGGGGTTAATAGATAGGGGTGTACCGGATCAGGATTTTCAGAATCCAGCCGGAACCGGATTTACCGGATTTCTTCGTGGAATATCCGGCCGGATTCTACCGGATAATCTGACCGTTTATAGAATTTTCAGTAATAAAAAGTTTTGAGCCACTTTGCGAAAAAATGTATAGCGAGAAGATCAAAGAGACCTATTCAGGGTTGCCAGATTGAATTTACAAACGAAGGCTAGACTGGTGAGCAATTTAAGCCAAAATGCTCATAAAAAGGCCAAATCAAAAACTCTCTCAAGAATCCATCGAGCAGGCACTGGTTATATTTCTACGCTTGTGCCTGTTAGATAATTTCTTAACTTTGATAAGAATCTTACTTTTTTCTAAAACCCTTTGCTATTATCAAGATAATATTTAGGTTAGGTGATAAAATTTGAAATTTGGTTAACACTTTGTAGTTAACTACTAATTATTCTATGAATGTAGTAATTACTCATTAATTTTGGACGTCTGCTGGAAAGGGCAACAAGGTCAAATCACTGTATGAAGGGAGTCTGACTTGGTTTTCCAAATTTTCTTAGTTATGATTAAAGTTCTGGAAAATCCGGCAACTGGCCGGATTTCGGAAACAAATCCGGCCGGAACCGGATTTTCAAAAAATCAGTGATCCGGCGCCGGATTATCCGGCCTACCGGATATCCGGTACATCCCTATTAATAGAAGGGGGTAGTAGAAGGGGGAGTGTTCATGTCGGCAATCCTTCTTTGAGATCGAAGTACCTTTTAGAATATACTGGCAAAATTTGGTTTCAGTTTCTTGCATAGTTTTAGAGAAAATCAAATTTACATACAAAGATAAATTTACAACTTTTAACTTCCAAGTCAAAAATAATCGGTTTCCTTTGTACAATTGAGATTTTTAAAAAACTATGAAAAACAACAAATAATGAAAATCAAATGACTTGATTTGTAAAATTTAATAGAAGGGGGGAGCTAATAAGCAATGGGGGGGCCAAATTCTTCTGAAATTAATACACGGGGGCCGTCTATTAGAGACACTAGAGTACTTAAATCTTAACAGAGAGGCCTGTATTTTCATAGCAATTTTTAAATTATGATTGCCATGTTCCTCAAAAACCTGAATGACCTTCTAGCAAACATGACATGGGTTTAATGAGTATGACTTGTCATAAGTTTACATGTATAAACTTCTTCCAAATGTAGCTCTTCAATGTGTCATAAAAATGTAAAAAAATACAAACCTCTCTTTCTTTGTAGTCTGGTAACATTTGATAAACAGCATCTGAAAAGATTTTTGCATAGCGTTTGGTGTTTTGAATAATCCTGTCTGCAAAGTCTGGATACTCCTTCCAAAAAAAGAAGACATCAAGTCAAAGCATATCAACACCAAAGTTTAGCTAAACAACACAACACTCATCTAATCATAATTACCAGGCTAGGCTGTTTGAGGCAGGTGTTCACCTGCTTCAATGCCCTCCTTAATGGCTCAAGAAACGTAATCAATTGCCTGCTTATCCACCAATTTTTACACTAAATGCCAACCTTAAGACCTTAACCTTAGATGTTTGGCATTTTAAGCAAAACAATATTGGTCACATCAAAAATTTCCATTCATTCAAGATACCACAACTTGTTAATGTTCATCACATAAAAATATTGAGTGTCATTTCCAATTTGACTTTTCCATGGTTTTTCATAGCCCTATCTACTCATATTAGAATTTTTTTGAAATGCAGATATTTTTAAAAAAAGAACCAATCAAACACTTTTTAATTCTTTAAAGTTGTCTTTGATCCACACCTGGATATAAATTTTCTGCTTACTTTCAGTCATTAACTGACGAAGAGTGTCAGACAAAAAACAGTTCAGTATGCAGTATTTCTGCTATTATTTCATTGCCATGTCCGCTACTTCAAATTTTGTGGTACCAAAATCTTAAAAAGAGTGAGATAATAAGAGCAATAGATAGAAGAAAACAGCTTACTAGGAAGAGCAATAAATTTGGCTTAGTTAGTGACATGAACTTGACAGGCATTAACACTAGACACTTCAGATGTAAGACAGAGTGGCAAAAAGCAAGACGTTGAAAGTCATTTCAAGTCTTTGCACAGCCTAAAGCTTTAATTTTGAGTCTACAAACCATTTTCACGTCATCAAGTTCTATTTGCAAGTCTGTCTGCTCTCGATGTGCCATCTTAATCTAGATTGGAAAAATAAACATCAATATATACATAAAACATTATTATAGATAGATTATACACACAACACATCTTTTTTCAAGAAACACATCAGGTCAGGTAGGATAAAATTTTGTTGATTTGAGCCTCAGATGTTTCTTGAATGTTTCTTAGGAACTGACTCTTGTTTTAGCATACCAGGTAGAGAAAGTCTGTAGCTGTAACTCCCAGATAAAATTTCTGTGACTCTTTAATTTTGTTTTATTCTGTTCTACTTGATTTACTTTATGACACTTGACTTATTTTTTCTTCCCTATCTTGCTATCTGAGGCTGGTAATGTTTCTTAAATAATTTTTAGTTTTAAGGGTATTTGAGCTTAATGTTTCTTATTTCTGTGTTCCATAAGAAAGATGTGTACACTCTAAAAAAAACTAATGATGCTAGCATAAGGATGAAAAACTAATTCATTTGATTTCCCTGTCTTATTTAAAAATGTTTTACATCAAAATTAATTGCAAATTATTTGGACAACATTAGGGCAATACTAAACCAATCCTTTGTTAACAGAAACAGGTAACATTTGATACAGAACTGCCCAGTTCTTCACAAAAAGGGTTTTTGTTTGAAATATTTCTGAATATCATTTTCTTGTGCAAGCTTTACTTTTTCAATACAAATAAATATATAAAGTAAATACTTACAAGTCTCTCACCATACTTGAAAACTTTCTTATTATCATCATCATAATAAAACTCAGCTAAGAATCTCTTTGCCAAGTCTGAGAGAAAAAGGTGACAAAATGAGTTTTTGACGGTGCAAAATTTGAAGATGGCACAAAATAGCAATAAAATAACAGAAAGGTTATGTTTGATCTGCACCTGGATATGAATTTCAGCTTACTTTCAGTCATTATCCAGTGTCGTTTCTACTGTTTTGTGCCATCTTTAAAAATGTCAGTCTCCTTGCACCCAGAATTTATCTTTATATCCAATCTTGCTTAAAGTCACAGTCAGAATCAAACATGGCTATTTGAGGGCAGAAATTGCACTCATATAACTCAATGACCAAAAGGAATCATATGTTTTGGAAGTTTTAACATTTTATAAATTCAAGGAGTTAATTGCTTAGCGAACATATATAATTTTGAAAGGATATTAGCATATACTTAGGTTGTCATACTATAAAACAAGTAAATAACTTAAAGCATTTAATCTATGAAGTTTTCATGCTATTTTCAAGCACAAAAGTGGCTAAAATAATTTGCAATAAACAGAGTGATAAACACACCTCTTTCATCGCTGTAATCTTCTTTTCTAGCCATCTTTGGAGTATATCTGAGCAAGAATGATAAGATATATATATATTACAAAGTACCACCAAAAAATGTAAGGCTAAAGAAAAAATCTAAGGCTAATGTTAAAACCTTGATTGGTAGGGAGCTTCAAAGGTAGCATGGTTGTCCAGGGTGCATTCTATGTAAACCTCATGTTGAAGGTAAACCAAGGCTAGGCCAGCTTTACTTATGCCAATGTTCATACACAATGCACCACTCACCCCCACCTCCTTCTCTTACATTTTGTGGTACAGCAATTTGAGTAAAGACTAAAAAAACAATGAAATGTTGACATTCCATTCATTCATCAGCTTTGTTCAAGCACAACCTCTATGTATGTAAAATTCCCCTATTTAAAATCTAAACCAGCAAGTTCTCTTATATTTTAGTAATATTCTAAGCCTGTACAGAAAATAAGTGAGTGGCACCATGTAATCAGAAACTTAATCCTACTACAGCTGCTCAGGCAATTTATTCCTACAATGAGGAAGATAGGGATGATATTGTTTTAGAATCTTGCATTTTCAAATAAGTTCTTTCAACTAATTTTCAGTCAACCTATCTCTACTCCATTGATCTTCAGCATTTGCTACATAGAATGCACCTTGGCTGGTTGCCTTAATTACACCATAGCATGAGACACGCAGGGACTCTGATCCAACTGTTTTGTGTGATGCTTTGAAGCCAAGTCCATTTTCAAACATGACATGTATAGGCTAAGGAAGGGGGCACAAACCTTCTTCTTTTCAGAAACAGCGGTTAAGTGCTTATTTGCAGGTCACGGAGGTGCCCTCTTTTGTCTCAATGTGCCCCCTCCCCTTGCATAGAAAAAAATTACATATACATCGTTACGACATAAACAGCAAATCATTCCTACCTATTTTATCTACTTGTTTTAAAATTTTAGGGATATTTGAAAACAACAAAAATTATAAAAGAACTGACAATGAGCATGTGTTTACTGTGTAGTAGTGTGAGGTCCCTTAGGCCAGTTATAGAAACTTGGCAGAATCGCTAAATATCACGAAATCGGCCATCGTCTGACTTCAAATACAAAACAGTGAAACCTATCATAAGTTCCTCAAGTATTATGTCAAAGCTTTCCTCTCACCTGGTGAGTCTTCGTGACTGATTTCGTACCTAACTGGATGTTGCTTCTGGAGGTGAACGTCCGTAAGCCGCGAAGGAACATAAACAATAGCTGGGTGATGTTTTGACCAATCAAAATCGATGAAGCTAAAAAGCGCGCGAGAAATTGGAAAAGAGGGTGCAAATATTCAAAAGGAGGCGAACAACGTAAATTTCATTTGACTTGAAAACAAGCGTCAACCTGCAGGGACAGGGCTGTACATTACAGGTTGGGGAGAGGGAGGGGGGCTAAAAGTCTTAACTATTAATAGAATTTCACCTTCCAAATTTTTATTTAAGAAAAAGCATCTCCAAAATTTCATGTCATTTCTTTAAACTGCACAGCATCATGCATCGTGTTACCACCCTTGAACTACTTCAACTGTATATGAAAAATGTAAGCTGTGTGAGTGAAGTTGTTACGTTGAAGAAAATTACAAGAAATTACGATCTACACTTAGGTTCGAAATGTATTGCACCACTTCGATGAACCAAGAATAAGTTCACCTAAGATACAGTTTCTGGCCATAATTCTCAAATTTTTCTTACCGTCAACCATGGTGGCGGCCTTTCCTAAGTCCATTCAAGACTTTGATATTTTGGCCCCTCTACTTCCAAATACGTTTCGCCGGCCCTGAGAAAGGCATAGGACATTGAGTATCTTTTGCCAATATCACCATATACTTCTACTATTTGCTATCTAACCAACGAATTCAAAATTATTAATGAATGACAGTTTCCATGCAGTACCTATCATAATGGACTACAGAACAGTGACCTTCAGTACTTTCGGGCTGCTTGCTGTGAATATAAATATTATGTCAGGTATCGTTATTTGTATCAATATTTACAATGATTTCAAGTAGCATTGTAACCCAAAGTAGCAGACCTGCTATTTTAATGATTATTTAGAAATCGTATAAACTGCACGAATTCAGGGACGTAAACTGACCCTTACTCTACATTCCGATGTTAACAGACCTGCCGATAAACATGGACTCGCCATGTTTAGCTTTCTGCTCGACTCTAGCAGTTTTTTAATCAGGAGTGTACCAGATCACTTTTATTCGAAACTTCAATGGGAAATCCAGTTAGGCCATTTAACACTGTAATTATACCATAAATGACGTCACCGAACACGTAACAACAAAGGATTTTCTAAAAAGGCACAAATCGAAATTTTCAAGTTTAGAGCTTAGTTTAACGGGATCTGCTGAGAAAGAGAAGGTTAGCATGTTTGTTAGATTGTTAGAGTATATGCCCTGTCTAAAGGTGGAATCCACTGCACTTTTTTCTTCGTTGCACTTTTAAAACACACGTTAAAAAACATGTCGCAAAGTCGATTTGTGGCACGAACAGACACAAACTTTTTAGGCCAAGCCCTTTTACGGCACGTAAGTACATCTGACAAGTGAATACTGTTCTTGTTCCATGGTTTTGAAATTTTTCAATTTATATTATATTATTCATATTATTTATATTTATACTATATTATATGTTTTGAATGTTTATTCTAGCAAAGTTTTATCGTATGCGATGATTACCATCAACCAACAACACATAATTTTTTCTCGATTTATAGTGTCTGTCACCCCCTAATGAATGCTTGAAAAGCTGGATGAAGGTCTTGACAAGGGGAAATTTGGCCGGAGGGAGGTTGAGGACTTTTCTGGACTCTGTGATGGCCTATATAATTTAAGGGTCAGAAAAGGAATCCAATTGTTATTCGCCATTTTCGAGGGAAACTGATGTTCATTTTCATGGCGCCAAAAACGAAAAAAACTCTTTGTAAGTTTTAATGCTACAACCATGTGATACTATCTCTTCTGAAATTACAATTTGTGATATTTTTGGGTATAAGATATAAGTAGAACTGATATTTTTGGGTCTTTTGAAAATGAGCTGATATTTTTGGGTGCCCTGTAATATTCTTGGACTGACTCCCCGTATGTCTTTGTGCTGAGTGCCCCCCTGGGGGCCATCCCAATCCTACCTGAATGGGGCAAATCGCGTCCTCGTGTACACTTGCGATCTCACCTGTGGAAACTAACCCATTTCATGTAAACAGGCCCTTGTGTAAATTTTCCACATGCACACCCGCCAGCTCAGTTAGTGCTTCGTGTTTTTCTCCCGAATAGCATAGATTTGTCAGTACCTTTGAAAATATTGCATCCCAGACTTTTCCATTTGGTAAAATGAGCATACGGAAAGAAAAATCTGGTTAATTTCGTGGACCCAAGATATATCACAAAGACTGCCACCCCACCGATGGTTTTACAATACCTAAGACATTGCACCTGATATTTCACAAATGAAAGCGTGGTGTATTACTCATGAAAATTGGCAAAAGTTTCTTGTACCTTGGGAGTAGCTTCAAAAATATCTTATCTCAAGATACTATTATTAAGCCAAATAACTATCGTATTACCAGAATTATCGTATCAGCTACCAAATAACTATCGTATCAAATTACCACCTTCAAGATAAAAAGACGAGATACTGTCAAACTCTGTCTGTAGCTGAGTGAGCGGCTGAATGTTTAAGTTGAAGTTAGAGGACATCTTATTGAAGGAGCACCACTTCTTCTCAGAATGTTAATTTTCCTGGCAATAGTTGCGTTAGGCACCACTGCAGTGATACAGGCAGCGGGAAAAACCAAAACGTACCCAGGATTCACAGTGTTTGATAAAGATGGTGAATACTTGAAACTTGCAGGTAAGCTCGTGTGAAGCACTCCATTTTCCAACCCTTGTTGATAGCAATTCTTAACTTGATTGTACTGAAAGTTAACTTGATGTTCAAGATCAATACGAATTATTTATCAATGAGAGCTTGGTTCGTTTTTGGTAAATACTTCCACTTTTCTCATGCGCCTAATTCAAGTACTGGGTTCAGCGCATAAGAAGTTCGACGTTTAACTTTGGGCCTAAGTCATGCTGCCTGCTGACTCTCTCTATATCACATTGCATCATCCTTTCGTCATCCTAATTCATCTAAAGTCAGCAATTTGATTCTTGTATATATGTATATTAATTTTTATTTAATTTAGTTCAGTTAGAATCCAAACACTCAATATGCACATCGTCTCTTCTCTGGCTCCGTGTTCTCCACACGGTAAACTGGACGCGTTATGTTGGAACCAATCTTAAGATCATGGATGGTTTTATTTAGTGGCTCAATAGCTTATTTGCTGGTTCAATCTGATTTGATATAATCATAGCTATGTTTGTTTAATAGGCCCATTGTACGCACATGTCAAGCCGCATTTGGATAAATTTCCGCCTTATTCCTTCAAGTCTAAGTTCTCAGTACAAGCAGTGATCATCCCAAGTATGTAAAATACTTTTTTCTTGAAGCTTTCTTCTTTGCTAAAAGATTTATAAGAAGTGTAGCTGGCAGGCAGTCCCAACTGTTTCAGCCATTGAATTGATTCCTCGAAGAATGTGGCAGTCACAGTCTGGGCAGCCGTTTTCTCCCTTGTAAAAGTTGAAGCTTATCTTACTGCAAAGCCGTCATTGAATTGCCCTTGCCAACCTAGCCTTCAGAAACAGAGATAAAGCTCATATTGGTAGCTCACAGAGATTCTTCTTTTGCCTACATGTGCCCACGCCGGTGTAGGCACGAAGCCAAGGGGGGCTTGGGGGGCATTGCCGGCCCAACTAGAAATTTTTGGCCCTAGCATGTTTTGGTCTAAAATCGTAGAAACAACATATTGTCGAAAAAAGTCGGTCTCAACAAAGTCTTAGCCTGTGCTCCAGGGGTCTGGAACGCAGGCTACAAAGTCTGTGCATCTGTGCATTTATGGTAAAGCCAACATCGACTGTGCACCAGTCCACGCATATCCACACAATGGTATATCGAGCCAGGGGCGGACTGGCTAATTTTTTTGGCCCGGGCAAATTTTGATCAAACCGGCCCACAAAAATAGCAAATAAAAACTCTTCAGAAATTGCAAGTAAATGTTAGTCTGTAAGGAAAACAAGTTTTTAAATTCAGTAATTTTGTGCATGGATGAATGCTGGTTAACAGAACATGTTCAATAAGTCATTTGCTAACTAAATAATAAATAAACAAAAATTTTAACTCATTGGTTTGACTTTCTTTCTAAATACAGTAACCTATTTGTTGATAATGTGATCGTTCTAGATGTCATCTAACAGGTGTTTTTCTAAGAACATTAACATGGCTTTATGTATCGCATTGAAACAGGGATGTTAACATGAAGGACTCTAGGTTCGGCTGCGAAAAATTACCACGTAATCTGTTCTTTATATATTTAAAGTGGAAAAGCTTCACACTCAACTTGTGACAAATAATTTTCTATTCCTCCGGAAAACCACAATGATTTTCAGCAGCCCAAAAATATCGATTTGTCAATTTCTGACCCCAAAAAGAAAACATGGGGACCCCTGTTGAAATTGTATCGTGTAGCACCATACCCCTGTTTTGCTTGATAAAAAAAGCTTTGTATCGTAGCTGAATCCTTTTTTAAGTCTCGAAGCTTTTCCTCACGAAAGTTCTGTGCACCACCTTTGATTGAAGTCTTCTTGCTCTTCCCTTGTTATACGTATGTCCTCTTCATTACTTCACATCACAGAGCAAATCGCTTAGTGAACTCTAACTTTTGAACTTTTAAATTTATTACATTTAGCAATAGCTTGTGCTTAGGGAAAAACATGACCAGCTTCAAGCAAAAGCTAAGTAAAAAGACATCGGAGCAGGTTAAAATCTTAAGCCCCGGCAAAACGACTGGACATTATCACTGAACATGGACTGGACAAATGTCCAGCGTAAATGTTGCGTCGTTTTGCCACCTTGTCCAGTCTTGTTCAGCGATGTTGAATGTTGTTCAGTCGATTTTGAAGGCAGCCAAAAATGTTCAGTGGACAGGATTAAATTTCTTTTGTTCACTGATGTTATACAGAAATTGTTCAGTCGTTTTGCCACTCTACTGAGCATTGTCCAGTTCGCGCACGCGCAATCGATTAATGGTTTGGATTTGGCGTCAATTTATTTCCCATATTCAAATCTTCAACAAACTTTCCTAGTCAACACCGCGAACGAAATGGAAACAACGTAAAAATTCAATTCGACCAATAGTAGAAAAAGGCAGTTCATTAATAACGATGAGTCTTCTGATCAGATTAGCTTTAGTTACGATAAGGAAAGCGATGCCAGAGAGCACGAGGACGGTGATTTTGATGAACCTAGCAGTCCTAGCCACTTTTCAATAATACACTTTAATTCATAAGATAACACGGTTAGGGCTATGAAAAGTGTATTTTCAAAGGTAAAGAGATGCCTTGTTGCCTGTTTTTCAACCCGCATTCTTCAACAGAGAAAAAGTTCACTGGACAATGTTCAGTCGTTTTGCCATAACCAATATTTTCTTGATGTCCATACTCTGAACAAGTGAGCAATGTCCAATGTGTGACCAGTGCAAATGTCCAGTCGTTTTGCCGGCGCTTTATATATCGCATTGAAACAGGGATGTTACAGTATAATATGTCGCCAAAAAGGAAATACCGTCAAGAGAAAATATAACAAAATGTCAATAACATGTTCCCTGAAGAAATGTGTTTGGGCTACTTTTTCGCCTCGCATTCACTTTTTAAGATAAAATATTTTTTTGCACTTTTATCAACCGGCCCTTTAACCGACCGGCCCTTCGGGCGATCGCCCGAATAGCCCGACCAGCCAGTCCGCCCCTGTATCGAGCAGCCTGCGTTGAATGCTTGTTTTGGGCACTAAGGAAGGTAGATGCTCCCAACGAAGACGCCAAGCTGCAAAACGAGGCTCGAACTTACTTCATTTTCAGGGCCTTTTTTAACACACTAGGGACAATTGCCCCTGCAGCTTAAGTGACTTTCCATTGTTTTAAACAATAGACTATTGTCCCTTTGTTATACAAACAGAGGCTCCCCCCGCAGCTAATTTCCCCTCAAAATGGCTATGTTCATTTTGAACGATAATCATTGATGTTACTGCAGTTTGATGCCTTATTTCTTGAGAGCCAACACCCTGAAAACTCTATTTCAAGTAGACTAAATGATAAGGCTCTGTTGCACCTATCATTATGGCTTAGCTCCCTTTTACAATTTTTGGATTAGTTCTGTTGAATACGTAATAGAAAATAAGAACTTCTTTTCAGATGTTTGCGTTTCTAATCTCCAGTGAAAAAAGATTACAAAGTCTCTATAAAAAGTTCATTAAATTGCAAAAATTCTTTATCCGGAAAAAGATGATAAACCTGTATCAAACCCTGTATCAATTACAAGATTTAAAATTTTTAAAGGTTCTTTAATACCGTTACTTAAGCTCTTCAATACCGTTACTTGAGTTATTGCCTTCAAATAACAAGCAGCGAGCTCCTTCGCTCAGTTTACAAGCCGACATTAACTCGGCATTTCCCTCCACGGGCTTCGCTAAAGAAGTGCTTGGTCCCCATACTCCGTCCATCGGCACATGTTTTCTCACCCTATCGTATAATTATAACCCTTCTGAAACAGTTGTAACGTGCTAAAATTTCTGCACTAAGTATGCACTAAAAATACAAATTGAATACTTATTTTATGACCACACTAAAAAGAGTGAGACACGCCCTTTTCGTCTGCAAAAGCAATACTACCCCTCCGAAAAAAACCAACCCTGTTGCCCGCCTAACTTTTCAGTGCTGGCTTCGTGCCTGCCGCCGGGTCAGGCAATTTTCTAAGTTGCAGTAATGTTCCAATTTGTGCAATGATGAAAGGAAAATGTGCAGCAGTGAATTTGATTTTGGGCAGTGATAAAATTGTCAAAAAATCTATCATTGTGTTTCTATGTTTTGGCTTCAAAGATATTTTGAATTTTTTTCAAATATTATTCCATTACTTAATATCGACAAAATCCTTGAATATCTTAATTGATGATTCTTTTTAATTTTTAGCTGTGGACATTGTTTCTCTTTTTCTGAACGGAACAGTTTTCTTCGAGGAAATGCCCATCAAATATTTTGATGATTATGTAGACACTTGTTTATATCACTCAGCAAATTGTCCTTATCTCAAAGCAGGTAAGAGAAGCTTGACAAATAACATAGGAATTCATAAATTAGTAATTCTAAAAGATGCAAATGTTAATATCAAAGTTGAACATAAAAGAAATTAATTTTTTTATATATTCTCATAAATTTTTACGAATAAAACAAACTACAAGACGATGCCACAGGGAGCATGGAGATACATAGTAACCCTGGGACAATTACATTAAACATGTTTTCTTGAAATGAGAGTTACATTAAATGTTACAAATAACATGTTACAGATAACTAATAACAAATAACGCTTAACATTATCAAGTTAATCAAAAATATTCATTGACAAAACAAAACAAAAATAAGGAAAGATAAATTACATAGGAGAGAGAATTTCAGAGGTCGGAAAATATTTAATTGTTGCCTCGAGAAATTTTGCATTTTGATTCAAAGATAACTTTTTGTGACCATAAAGAACTATTTGCAGTGAAGCTGCATTTGAAAGGTTTGTTAATCATGGACATTGTATTGGAAATGTCCACAGGGTTGCAATGTAGCCATCACGTAGCCCTCACATGGTCGAGAAGATCGCGTCTATCTGTATTATAATCTTGGTAGAGCAGCAAAAAATGTTCCGTATCCTCAATACCATCATTTACTGGGCACAAAGGATTCAAGGTATCACTGAAGTTATGTTTGAATTTGTGAAAATTCATCTTGCTAAGTCCAACTTCAAGTTGTGTTAAAATTGATAAACCATTTTGGTCGTGGATGTTGTAGACTAGCTTTTGAGGCGGACGAATAAATGCTAATAGTTGTTTTTTGAAAGCACTCACTGAGCGGATTGTTTGATTTCTGGATCGAGTTCTTCCCATTCCGATAAACAATCAGGATAAAAGCTAGTTTTAGATTTCTCAGTTCTCTCATGTATTTTCTCTACTGAAGCCTGGCTGTGAAAAATGTAGCCTGATTCCTGAAGTTGGGATATAGGGCCTCTTGTGTAGTCTGGTGTCAAGTTATTGATTATTGTAAAGAAAGAAACAAACCCATCAAGTTGGGTAGAGTGGAGGGAGCTTTCAAGAGTATTTTGAGCAAATTTTGACATAGACGCATTTTTTTAACAAATCAAGCTCAGAATAAATACCCAGTTTTCAGTGGCGTCGTCAGCCCGAAAAAACTTGGGTGGACAAAAGCGTTTTCTTGATCACGCCCTTCAGACTTTCGAAAAACGTGGGAAACGCCTTTTTAGTGTTTTTAATCTATATTCAAATTTTTGGAAAAGCAACTTTCTCAAGCAGCATTTTTCATAGCGGGGGCTTTTTTGTAAGAACGAAAATCGAAATTGATCAAGGCCAATCTAGATTCAGCTCTTCTCCAAAGCATGGTTGAACCTAGGTCTAAAATTGCAATGTAAAAACAGGGCTTATGAAGACTGTTGTACATAATTGGATATACCCTTGTGTAACATGAACGACTGGCAATTGGAAATGAGCCTTTAAGTTTTCCTTTAATTGAATTGGTGCCTTGTTTGTACCAGCTAAATAAACTATTTTCATTATATCTAGAGTCCTTTAATCGGTCAATGGAGGTAAAATTTATGGACACTGGTCTCATACCGGTATGTAGTGACATATTCCTTCATTGGCATTTGTTTTAACAAATATAACCATTGCATCACGTAGCCTTTCCATTTTACCCATTCTTTGTAAATCAAGATCACAGTGATCAACAACAATTTAACCGTTGGAATGCACATTCTTTGTACGTCGTAGCATTATAATTTTCTTTTAGGGTTGGTATGAAGGAGACATAAATGCATCAACTATGATCAATGGGAAAAGGCTTCGCTTAGGCGGTTTTAAGTTCAAGCTGAAACTTCGGGACGACTCCTAGTAACCAGTTTTCTAAAGTCAGGCACGGAGCCACTGGGCTGAAGCCTATGCTTGCACAAAATTGGGATATACGCTTTTACATTTTTATTTAGACATCCATAGAATTGACTACACCTTGATGCTCTAATGCCAGTTCTGCAACGTCCAGATCTGAGCATATTTTTCATACACTTTTGCTATTTCGAGCCAGTTTTTATTGTGTTTTGTTGTTTTCATCCTTATCAGGTAAAACCACACAACCCTCTATAGCCTTTAAATATTCTCTGTATTCAATGCCAATGCAAACAATGAAGTCAAACGAAAGACTTATTTTTTAGACCAGTGGCTCTGGCTCTACCGTTGTTTTGTTCGTTTTTTAACCAAAATTGCATTACATTACAAAAATTTTACCGGAAATTTAATCTGTGGTGTTGTAAATTTTTTTAGAATAACCCCTGAAGTTCTCGCAATCAATACCCCCTGAAGTTCTCGCCAGCTACTGCAGAGTGGGAGCAAGACCACGCCCATTTTGCCTCATTTCATCGCTTTGTACCAGGCAAATTTTCCTTAGGAAATAGGACCTACCCCTACCTAGCGCTTTTAAATTCATTTTTAGAAGAAATATGTAGACCATGTTTGTAAAAAAAGTGGGGGGGGGGGGTAATTACCCCCATACCCCCTTGGTGCTGCCACTGAAGGCAGTGGACATAGGTGGCATAGGTGCTCAGGGAAGAAAAGTTCTCCGTTCGCTTTGCCCCTTAGCTTTGCCGCTCATGATAAATGAAATGTCGAAACATTTGCCAACAATGTGCAGATCTTGACCATTCAATGCAAAACTGACACAAACTTAAACGTATTTTACATCTTCAACAAGCTGTCGCTGTTCTCAGGTTTTTTGCTTTATTCCGTTACTTCCGAAAGCGCTCTCGATTACAGCCACTTGATATTTTCATCTAAGAGATTTATAAACATGTCCAAAATGTAGTCGTCTCTGATACTTTTTCCTTTTGAAGAAGGTTCCTGTCCGATTTTCCCAAAATAAGTCAGCTGCCCGAATCTCGAAAGACTGAGGCCCCCCTCTCCCCTTCCCCGCTCTTACGCTTAGGCATGTACAAACAAAAATTATGGCTTGAAACCTTCTCTCTGCATAAGGCAAGCTGAAAAAATATAAAGTTACCTTCCCGAATTAAATAGATTTATGTAAACTTTTGATTTCGTTCGCCTTGGAATCTCCCGTACGCGGAACCTACTCTTTGCCCTTTTACCGCATGAGTGATTCTGCCTCACTTTATCGCTTTTATACAAATCATAACTTATATATCATTGGCCCGCAACAGAGATGGTCAAGTCCTCCGTGATTCCCCCATTGTGATTTCTCCGGAATTCCCCCAAAGAACAAGGAGTAAACAACGGCGCAACTTTTTCTTTGTCGGAAAGTCTGGTGTTGAAGATACGAGTTTGACTACGATTCCCAGAATGTTTTCTTTCCTAGCAATATTTGCGTTAGGAACCTCTGCAGTGATAGCAGGAAATTCCAAAACGTACCCAGGATTCACAGTGTTCGATAAAGATGGTGAATACGTGAAGTTTATAGGTAAGTTGGGGCTCAGCATTTCATTTTCTGTCCATTGTTTAAAGCAAGATAAATAATAAATAAATAAACACTTCCCTCATTGATTGCACGGTAAGGAGATATGTTCATTCTAATATTAAAACGTATATTTCGTCAGCGAGTGCTAGGCTTCGTCATCGTCCTTCGACCACCAAAATATTCCTTTGAGTCGTTGTGACCGGGGGTTGTGAGGGACATCACACCCCCCTCCCAAATATTAGCTCAGTACTTTAATTCAAGTAAAATATGTTCTGTGAAAGCTACAGATGCATTAAAAGTCAAAGCTACTATTTTTTTTCTGAACAATGTCTTTAGCCCCAAGTAATACATACAAAACGATCGGGATCCTGATTAGGTTACTTCGTCCTCGCGTGAACGGAGTATTATTCATTTATGAAAACTTTGCTTAGTCCTTGGTACAGTTTATGTGTTGATGCTCAGCAATACCTAAAATGACGTGGCAAGCGATTTACAGCACAACTGGCAAAATGACCTTATTTTCTTGGCATGACATTTCAAAATCCAGATTGTATATTATTACCAAATTTTGCAGACGTAATCTCGTTATATCGCTCAGAAAGTGACTATTCTAATTTTGAGGACCGGGACCAAGTGAAATGTTCTAAGAATAGCTGTTAGAGAAATTTTTCAGATTGGATCTGTTTCGCATCATATTATTCACCTTAAACTACGAATATCGTGAAGTTTTCATGCTGGTGTCATATTTTCCACGATTGTTGCAAGATTTTTTACTTAACAGACCTTAGTGTTAGGCCTAGATCATTGCGTCGCATTTTAGATGTGTCGAATACAATGCAATTTTATTCGACTTGTATGCGATCCAAAAAAGCGTCACGTCAATTGTTGAATTTAATGTGTCGAATAAAATAAAATAGCCTTTTTGACAAGGTGCGCAGAATCGAGGCTAGTGAGAAACCATAGAATCTAACCATGCGCAAGAGGCGCCTAATTTGCACAGTACAGAACTTATACAACAACCAGCTTTGTTACGTCTTCCCTCAGATTGTTTAAAACACTTCTGATCCGTTGTCTGTCATCTAGCTAACAGTTTCTTGAAAACTTTAATAAGTGTTTAGCTCTCCCAGAAAACGGACATCTTGTTCCGATTGAATTTGTGTTTATCTTGTTGAAATCTGTAGCAAAATGGCGCCAATAAATAATGTACACAGGGCCATGTTATTGCATATTATCAAAAAATAGACGGAAAATGATAGAACAAGCACTATATTGCGATTGTAAGAAGACGTATTTTATTAAAAACTTGTATAAAGATCCTTTTAGCGCCCCAGGGCAAGAACACAGCACGGGTTTTATTATCCATCTTGCAAAAGACTTTCAAGGGCAAATGCAGGGTGTTTGAAGATGGTGTGGGAAGGGTACAGTGAGAAGAGATTCAAACAGACATGTAGAATAAACATTTAAAATATATCTTTCAAAAAACATTCAGTAGGCAACGCATTTCGAAACTTAATTTTGCATTGTATTCGACACATGTAAAATGCGACCTTTGAATTGGAGTTGCAGCAATGTCGCATAATGCGACAGGGTATGTCGAATAAAAAACCATTGTAGTCGACTAAAATTGAATACATGCAGATAATTCAAATCAAACGTCGCATTTTACATGCACTTAATTCACTAATTGTATTCGACACATGTAGAATGCGACGTTTGATCCAGGCCTAATATATCGCCAAGGATTACGACTTTCTTGCATCCATTTATTTCGCAAGACCATTGCCTTATTCAAAACTCTTTGTCTCTAGAGTTCCATGCTAGTCATTGAATCAGTTCGGTCATGCGAGACATGTTACCATTGTTCTGTCTGTATCACTGCAAGCACTTTTGTGTCCAAATAATTACAATTCAATTCGAGGCCATACAAAAATACGTGCCGTGGCGCAGACTTTACAATTTCCTCTATTTGTAAAGTCTGCACGTAGGTAGCCTGCGCAGGCTAGCACGTAGGCTACAGAAAGTTTGCACCAGTCTCTTTTTATAAGAACAGTTTTATAAGAACGCGAGCCTCAAAATTGGATGTTTGCAAAATTCCATATATGAAACATGAACTGCATGAAAGAAATAAAGGCATGATCTATGCCCAAAGTTGTTCGGTGGGATGTTTTAGTGAGGAGCTTCTGTGTTGTGTTAAAAGTGAATATTCACAATTTAGTGTGAATTACATGTAAAGCGGTTAACAAAAGATAGAAACTCGAAATAACATGAAAGAATAAAATCATGTTGTTGGTAAATATACTATTTCAAGGTTTTGACTCACTCTTTTGTGTCTTTTAGCATAAAATCCTATTTCGTAGAGAGTACAAAAAAAATTTTATTTAATAATGTAAGTGCCATTTGATTTTAGTAAAGTAATAATGCAGTTTTGTTGGCTTACTAGGCCCGTTGTACGGACGTTTCAAAATGGACTGGAACCCCTTGCCGCCTTATTCCTTGAAGTCCAAGGTGTCATTACACGCAGTTATCACCCCAAGTATGTACAACACTTTTTTCTTTATTCATCTTCTTTTATTTACCATATGTAAGTAGTGTGGCCTGCAAAAAACACCTCCTGTTACAGTAATGCCATATCATTGAATTTGAAGAATATGGTAGTCAAAAGCCCTGTCCACACTACACAAACTAACCCAGGTTCGCCCCAGGTTAAATTTAACCTAGGGTGAACCCTGCTTTGTCCACACTTGATTTTCATGTTTTGTAATGTGGACACAAAGTTGGGGCGAACCCAGGTTAGCTGACGCTACGCATGCGTAGTTAAATTACAACAACAACAAAACAACGACACAAAACAAATTTTCCATAAACACGACCAAGATGGAAGTTGCCGAAGTTGCAGTTTATTCAAATGTTTTCCTCCCTCTTCCTGACAAGGAAGTTGTTGTCTTTAACTTTCTTATAAGACTGTTTTAGTTGTTTTTTTTTTCACTTATCTGGATGTAGTTTCGCTCGTAGCCACTTTCTTTTTCTAGGCGCTGTGCCATCTTTTCGTAAACATGTTTTTTCCTTGTACAGTTTTCCAACTGTTCTTGAATCTTTTCGTCTCTCCAGATACTTATGAAGCTGAGAACTTCTTCGCGGCTCCATAGTGATCCACGATCTTTTTTGCAAGTTTCTTTATCTTGCCTGGTGTTTGCATGTAACGTATTTTTATTTTTCGGCGCGCAAAATGAAAACATATTCAAATATGCGCATGCGTTAAAAAAACTAACCCAGGTTCGCCCCAGGTTTTGTGTCCACACTAGAAATTTATAACACTAACCTGGGTTCGACCTAGGTCGAACCCACCTCTGGAGATGGGTTAAACTAACCCAGGGCGAACCCAGGTTAGTTGTGTCCACACTGCAAAATCTAACCTGGGTTAGCTAAAACCTGGGGCGAACCTGGGTTAGTTTGTGTAGTGTGGACAGGGCTAAAGTCTGTGGCAGCCGCTTTTCCGTTAAATGCAAAGCCGCTATTGACATAGCCGTGCCCACCCATTCTTCAGAAACAGGTAATGTTAATATTTGAAACTCAAAGAGGTTCTCTTTCTGCCTTCTCGTTCCCACGGTACGGTACCCCCTCTCACTTTTTAAATGTTTTCAACGTCTATGAAAGCTACTGCAATTTTACTGTCGTGTTTTAACGTCATGGTTAAGCTTGTAAGTCCCCTTATTTTTGACTGATCATCAGATTGTCTAGGGAGGAGTGGAATCATTCCAAATACGTTGTTTAATTTGAACCCCTTTTTTTTACTTGCATTATGATTTGACACCCTCCCCCTCCAATGCCAATTCAAATGTTTTCAGCCCCAAATGTTTCCATACCATCTTGACGAAGTAAGGCATAAAGGGCTTTCTAGCTAGCTAAAACTACATTACGATGTTAATAGTACAAAATTTGTAGCGATATATATATATATATACATATATATATATATATTATATATATATATATATATATATATATATATATATATATATATATTATATTTATATATATTTTATAAAATGCTTGGAATTTTTGATAAAATGCGACGAAACAGGCTTGTAGAGATAAAACCATTGTAGTTTTTACTTTCTTCAATCTATGATATACTATATATATATATATATATATATATATTTATTAATTATCATATTGCTGTCTAGAGTGCTCAACTTACCGGAGCGATTAGATAGATACACCTGATGATTGTTTACACATGAAACTCAGAGTTGTGTCACAATAGTCTGTTTATTTTAGTCTATATTTATATATATATATATATATTTGAGAAGACCAACTTAATATCCAGAGTCTGGTAGGTTAAATTTAAATATCCTTTTTAAAGATGACATATATTGAAGGACAAGTTGGTAAATGCTCGGCTAGAAAATATAAAACATTTGACCATGTAGAAGGGCAGTCTCAAGCAAACAGTTTTCAATATTCTGTTTTTCATTAGTTTTAAAGGCATTCTATTCAACCTGATACCACAAAGTCTTTGATGAAATAATGTGTTTAGGAATATACAAGATTTATACCTTCTTATACTACAAATAATTTATGCTACAAATGAGTTCTATATTAAGATAATAAATGTTATTCAGCGTGTTGGATGTCGCTAAACAATAACCAAAAATTTATATAACCACTTCATACATTTTAAAGAAATAAAATAGAAGATTTTAATTTATCATCCCCTCCCTCTCCGTTAGGATTAAGTATATTCATGCCACTACGCAATGTTGTCCATACCTAGCCTAATAATTATAATAACAATAATAATAATAATAATAACAAAGATAATAATAATGGAAACATTTCATTTTCAATTCAACTTAAACTACAATTACAAATCTCACTATTACAAGGTAATTAGCAATTGGCTAGCCTGGTTTTACAAGAAAAAACTATAACAATCGTAAGGTAAAAGGAAAAACTGAGAAAAATAAAACAACCAAAATTAAAACGGATGTAATTCCGGATTTGATAATAATAATGATAATAATGATAATAATAATAATAATAATAATAATAATAATAATAATAATAATGATAAAAATAATAGTAATAATAATAAGAAGAATGGTACAATCGAGCATATCCACTAAAAGTGTGGCTCTTCAACTCTTAAATTAAAAGCAAAGTCAAATTACAAGTTCAAAAGTTAAGAACAGTTACATAATTTTAAAAAAGAAATAATGTTTTTTAGTCCAATTTGTTGCTTGCTTTTTCAAATTTAAGACACAGTCTTATGCATTTATTAAATTGAACATTTTGATTGTATATCAAAAGTAAGTATAAGCATAGAAATTTCACGAAAGCTTCCTAAAACCTCTTTCTTGATTTCAATAATAACCTTATAACCAATAACCTGCAAAGCCAATAACATGCCCTGTTTCCTTCCACGATGCCTACTGTCGCTTACACCAACTATCTGTCTTTTCATATGTCGACTAATTCGATTTCAACATGAAGTATTTCTCGTCGACTCGCAAATGGCTTCATGTATAAAAGGCGTCATCATCACCATCATAACTAATATCATGGTCATCATAATTGACCAGTCATCATCAAGATCATTGTTACTCGTTTTTTATTTTTTATTTATAGATAGATTCCTTACATTATTTGGTCAAAAAGTTTGAAAATCTTCATTGATGATCCTTTTTTAATCTTAGCTGTGGACATTCTTTCTCTATTTATGAACGGAACAATTTTCTTTGAGAAAATGCCCATCAAATATCTTGATGAATATGAAGACAATTGTTTGTTTCGTTGGATAAAATGCCCTTACCGGGAGACAAGTAAGTGAAACTTGATATATAACACAGGAATTTTTAAATTAAATGATTCTTCAAAATATGTATGTTGATATCAAGGTTAGAGGTGAAAGAAACTCATAAAGTTGGGCAAAGTGGATTTTGTTTTCAGAGAGCCACTTAACAAGAGTCCACAGAGATAGATATCAGAATTGGTGCAGTTGCACTGTACCCGAAGGAGGGTGCACCCGAAGGAAGAGAATAAGAATAATGAGATGTCAAAATAAGATATTAGTGTTGTGTATTAGGCATAAACCATTTTGTACTAGCCTCGAATTGAAGTTCAGGGAGTAGTGATTTGATCAGGGTCAGGGTGTCAGGTCGCAGCGGATCTTAGGCATCGTGCGTGCGTACACAACAATTTGTGCAAACAATATTACAAGTATGGAGAGTCTTTAGGTGGTGTGGATGATGTTAGTCTGATGTTAAAAAATATTTCATCTTCTAAAAGGATTTGCGCCACCAATTTTACCATGTCATTTTGACCCCGTTTACACTAGAGAAAGAAGAACGGAACCATTTGGGCACGATACAACTTTTTTTCATGACATTTTCACTGAAGCAAAAAGGAACGAAACCAAATTTGACCCCGTTTACACTTCAGTGAGAAGAAGGAAACTTTCATGTGAAGCATGCGCAGTGGCGCAGAAATGACGTCTGATATTTTTAGAAAGCCTCGCCCCGTTTTCAATCGTAACCAAAAAGTTCCGTTCCTGACCCTGTACACTAAAGAAAACAAGCACGATTTGGAAACGAAACCAAAGAGTTTCGCATTTTAGCGAAACCAAAGAAGAACGGAACCGTTCCTAAACTAGCACGGAGCGAAGTTGCTTAGTGTAAACGCAAGGCCTATCGTCGCTTTTTCAGGCACGGAATCAACGAGTTCCGTTCTTTTTTCTGTAGTGTAAACGGGGTGGGGTCTTTATTGATTAATTCGGTAGGAGACAGATCAAAATAGATATTCTCGAGGCTTTTCGACAAACATTTAAGTTGGAGGGACCCGTGGACGCGATTTTGCAAAAATACCACATGACTGCATGTGTAGAAATTGAAAGCCGAGAGCGGCCTTTCCTAGCAACGTACAGGCCTTTTGCTACTCGCCCTACCCGCGCATCAAAAGTTGTTTTTTTTGAAAACACGAATGATTCTGAAATAGATATTTCTGCTGGATATCGTTATAGGATAGAAGTTATACATTATAATCTTGAATCACGTTGCAAAAAAAGAAAATTGCGGCGAATAACGTAACAACAAATCCATCAGAGGAGGGTAATGGACGCAGTGACTGGGAAAACGGGATGAAGCTAGATCAAAGTGAATGTGGATACTATTTGGAAAGTTTGTTCCTCTATGAATGGAATACCTTATTATAACAATTGATTCACGAATTATTTGCCGCTTTCTTTTCTTATCTCTGCCATTCATCCTTTCCCCGATTGAAATTAGATTGGGGTTGGAAACCTAAGAATATAACTTCTGGAAAGTTAGTTTTAGAGAATAAGAATTGTCTACCCAATAAATTATATTCAACTATGTATAGTTTTTTTAACTAAGAAAATGTGTGCTTTAGAATTCAGTCAATTTCTGAGCACCACCACCTCCCTGCTCTTCCTTCTCTGCCCCTTGATCTTAAAATTGTCGTCACGACATGTTTGGCGCATTCTGGATTTGTGAGTTTTTTTGGTTTACCAACGTGCCACTAGATGAGACCATAGAGATTGTTGCTGGTGCTTTACATTGTAGTGATCTAAACTGCCCCCCCAATCCTCCAGGTTTTGTCTTTGATTAAATTCCAACTAATCAAATAGTTTAGTCGTTTATGAAATTTTGTGAAGATGTGAATTTCGAATTGATGAATAAGTCGATCGAATTGAACAACATGTTCCCGCGAGCATCAGGCGAAAAACGGTTTCGAAAAGAAAACAGCCAGGTCGCATTTGCAAAAACCAAGACCCCCAAGTAAAATGTGGTTTCGCAATCGGTCAAACTTTGCAACAACAAAAGCATTAGGGTAGTCAAGATCATCCCGATGAGAGGTTATCGGTCGCTGATTGGTAGAAACAAGATAACCAATCAAACGCGACTTTCTTCCTTTCATGTTACTTTCGATCCACACCTGGATATAAATTTCCAATGCTGTTCCGCTTTTTTGAACCAAATTTTGCAAATTCAAACCTGTAGACAAAGTTCAGTCTTTATCCAGAGGAGGGTTGGCTTTTATAATTATTATTATTATAAAATTCTTTACAGTAGGCGAAGCAGTAGGCTTAACCAGGGGCCAATCAAAGTTTAGAGTTGCAATGTAAACAGGGCTCACGAAGACTGTTTTACATAATTGGATAAACCCTTGTATAATATGAACGGCAGGCAATTGGAAATGAGCCTTTAAGTTTTCCTTTAATTGAATTGGTGCCTTGTTTATACCAGCTAAATAAACTATTTTCATTATATCTAGAGCCCTATAATGGTTCCATGAAGATAAAATTTATGGAAACTGGTCTCATACCGGTATGTAGTAACATATTGATTCATTGGCACTTGTTTTAACAAATTTTGGACTTGGTACCAGAGCCGCAAAATTTCGAGCGCGTCAAGAGAGATCAAACTTCGTCTAAATGAGAAGAAGACTTTCCCTTCTTCTCAAATCGACACTCCACTGCTTCTCAAATCCTATCCTCTACCTGTGCACTTAAATTAATATAGCTCTGGTGCCCAGGGTGAACAAATATGAGCATTGCATTACGTGTTTTTCCCGTTTTACCCAATCGTTTCTTATTAACAGACCGTACACTTCTCGTCAGTACTCACCATACCCATTCTTTGTACATCATTATCACAGTCATCAACGGCAAGTTAACCGTTTGCGTCAACAAACATAATTGTTCCCCAGAGCCATACCATGCGCATTCTTTGTACATTGTAACATTATCATTATCATATCATTTTAGGGTTGGTATGAAGGAGCAGTAGATGCATCAACTGTGATCAAAGGGAAGAGGCTTCGGCTTGCCGGTTTTAAGTTCAAGCTGAAACTTCGGGACGACTCCTAGCAGCCAGTTTTTTGAAGTGAACTTAAACTGCTACAGAGAGGAAATTTTTTCAATATTCTTAAAAAGCAATTTTTTGCACGTATGCATTTTCTTACACTAATATCTCGTAGAATGCAAACGTTGATAAAATGTCATTTTTTGCTTTATTCTTAAGCTTTTAGCAAGTTGCAAAGAAACTTTTTACAAAATATGTCTTTCTTTGTTTCTCACCAATCAGAAGAAGAGGTAATTCCTATTCTTTTTTTGGCTGGCAGACCAAAGTGAGATCCTGGCACTGCATATATCCTTGGCAATTCTGCAGTTACATTTTCATGATTCGCGATTAAGGCAGGTGCGTGGGATGCGCGCAAAGTACAAAGAAAATCAACAGAGGATCCATGTTCGGTAGTTGCCTGCTCAAATGAAAATAAATTTGCGCGGGTGCGGATCCAGCGAAAAAGCTGACTTGACCCGTTGAAGAAAGGGGGTTGGGACCAAGTTTTTGATAATAACAGTCGAATCAGAAATACGAGCAAAATGTAGGTATTGTTAAGGCTGCCCAATCACATGCGTAGGGAAAGATTACTGGTGCAGATTAGTATTGCTAACCGAGATGACTGTTTCAGTGGGACTCAGCTACCAGTAGCAAACCAGAGCTCATAGAAAATACACAACAAGGTTCATTTAAATCAAAAACATCTTATCAATGAAATTTCTCGAAAATACAAATTTCTACTTCCCACAACAATTCAAACATATTTCTTACCATTGATAGATAAGTCTTTCACAAAACTAGGGGCAATAGAATCGATTTCAACCGTTAAGAAACGTGCTAGAAATACAAGGATTAATGTATTAGAACCGCTTGAAGCTACGACCTGATTATAGCACGACTGTGAAACAAGGTATAACTATGTCTCTCTTAAATCGGAAATACCTCAGGAAAATACCAACAGATCAGGACAGTGACAGTGTCCCAATTTCTAGCCGTAAAGATTTTTACCCAAAGATTGCCACTCACAATAACTAATTGGTTAAATGTAATTATCCATGTATGTTCTTGGTAATGTAGATTCTATGAATATGATTATCAAACAAGGGTAAAACTGAACAGCAGCTATATTTGGAATTTAGTTAAAATTAAGTAATAGATACAATATGCATGTGTTTTGTCATTCAATAATTGTTGTTAGACAAACATAGCCAGCAAAAAAGGAATAATTTCGTGACATGCAAATCAAAAATTAAAATACGTTTATCTTGTTTCTTTCTTTCTCATCCAAATCATCATCAAGTGTCATTAATGACTGCAAAAAACAAACATTTTTCAACTGAATCCAGTAAGAGTTTTTGTTAAGAATAGGAAGAATAAGGGCGTGGGAAATTCAATGTATTGTGAAGCGATCCTAACGACAGAAAATGTCCCTAAAAGAGGCCACTTCATTTTCTACTGATTAGGTACAACAGCCAATCTCCTTGAGAACTCAAAGCACTCGAGAAGGTTGGATTAATACTTATGCGTATTTAATAATACTACAATCGCAGACAAAATTGTTAAGAAAAATGAAATTTTTGCAATTTTCCACTTTACGGTGCCCCTGTAAATTCGAATCCCCCCCCCCCCTTCCGAATCAATGTTGGACTAGTAGTTCTGCCATTTGTGCTTCAAAAACATGCATTGAAAATTGATTGAAGCGGGGGAGGGGGGGGGGGAGGAAATTTGATTTTCAAAAGAAAGAGAAAACATAAATTCTTGAAAAGTTTCAACTATTTTTGTCCAGGATTGTAAGTCAAAAGTTTTGGCGATTCCTTGACGGGCCGCCAGTTTCTCATTTATTGTGTATCAACGTGAGAGATTTCCAAAAGGAAGTCACGGGCATGTGTCAAAATTACAATATTCAGAATCGGTTTAATAAAAAGAGTTTCTTACGGTGAATGTGAAGAACATTGCCATGGACGATAGAAAATGCCAAATGTCATGGTCATCATAGAAATCCATTACTCGACATTCTCTGTTTCCTTCACGTGATTTTGCTGGGCTGTACTGTAAAAAAATGATGCATTGTTACATATATATATCAATATCAATACGAAGCGATATATATCAATATCAATACGAAGCGATATATATCAAAATCGATACGAAGCGATATATATCAATATCAATACGAAGCGATATATATCAATATCAATACGAAGCGATATATATCAAAATCGATACGAAGCGATATATATCAATATCAATACGAAGCGATATATATCAATATCAATACGAAGCGATATATATCAAAATCGATACGAAGCGATATATATCAATATCAATACGAAGCGATATATATCAATATCAATACGAAGCGATATATATCAAAATCGATACGAAGCGATATATATCAATATCAATACGAAGCGATATATATCAATATCAATACGAAGCGATATATATCAAAATCGATACGAAGCGATATATATCAATATCAATACGAAGCGATATATATCAATATCAATACGAAGCGATATATATCAAAATCGATACGAAGCGATATATATCAATATCAATACGAAGCGATATATATCAATATCAATACGAAGCGATATATATCAAAATCGATACGAAGCGATATATATCAATATCAATACGAAGCGATATATATCAATATCAATACGAAGCGATATATATCAAAATCGATACGAAGCGATATATATCAATATCAATACGAAGCGATATATATCAATATCAATACGAAGCGATATATATCAAAATCGATACGAAGCGATATATATCAATATCAATACGAAGCGATATATATCAATATCAATACGAAGCGATATATATCAAAATCGATACGAAGCGATATATATCAATATCAATACGAAGCGATATATATCAATATCAATACGAAGCGATATATATCAAAATCGATACGAAGCGATCTACTGACTGGCGACCGTGCATTCTATATTGAATGCCGCTAAATATTGAATATTCAGTACAAAATTATCTCGGGATAGTTAATTGATGTTTCACTTCTATCCTAGATAACAATGAAAATTTTTTTACCAATTCTTCATTTTGTTTGAAAAAAATTAAAAGCTAATTGTTGGATCCAATATTATTAATTTTACCATATATGATATTTTCATGGCAAAATTATGATTTTTATTAATTCTGCAGAACTTTAGAATTATGGCATAATCAGGAAATCTAGCCAGGAAAAATCAGAAATTCAAATGAAACTACTTTAGCAACCATATGAGACATTGGAATGAGACTTTTTTTATCTCACAGTATTGTAACTCTCTGCAAAAGTAAATGAAATTTATTATGATGGGTTTTAACTTATAAAATTTACCATCACTAATCTTCAAGTTCCTTTTAGAAGCAGAAATCACAGCCATAAAAAAAATTACTTGTTATATTACGACATTTTTTGAGTTTTAACGGCCTCCAAGACTTATCTAAGCAATAAATCTTCAGAGATGAAAGTATTGCAAAGACTACACGTGTTATAGTGAAATTCATTTGTTAAGTGAAATTCAACTGCCATCACCGAACTCCTTCATGTATATCCGAAAAATCAAATACACTTCATCATCATGGGTGATTTCACTTAATCATCGGCATGGTAGCTGGATATTGGTGCATACTACAATATCTTTTATTGATGCATACTACAAAAATTTCCTTGTTTGCACACATGACTTTTGATATAAAAAAATTCATCAGAGCTGTTAAATTCAACCGCTAATAGATTTATTTCAGCAAATTACCTGCCAGTTTGTTAGGCCTTTAAAAAAGAAAACCAACGCACATCCCCACATGGAAACTGATAGCAAAGTGCAAACCAAAGGCAACGGGCGAAGCTTCTCTTTGTATCGAATCTAAGAAACAAAGCGATAGAGTTCTAAAGTGATGGCGTCACAGAAACAAAGCAAATGATTACGACACAAAAGCAAAGCAAGAGATGACGTCACAAAAATATATTTTCAAAATTTTTGAATTTGGATCATAACTTTATGAACAGAGCCAAAATAACAGTAATCCGTTAGCAAACTTCAAATCTTTCAATGGCCATAGCTCACCCGGTTTTTGACAAATTTGAATGATCTTGAATAATCTGAAGTGTTTTATAGTGTTTTTTTCATGTTATATGGTCAAAATTCGAAAATTCTAAAAATAGCTTTTATGTGACGTCATACTTACGAACTCTCGGCAAGGCGATTCAAAAACGATGATGACGAAAAAAGACAGAGGAAAGGACACAAGTTAGCGAGTTCCTACAATTAGCGACACTTGAAATTTTCTAAGAACTTTGAACACAATAGAAAAATAATAGCGAAAACGAAATAAAAGCCTGATTGGCAATGCTATTTGCAATTTCTGATAAAAGCCTGACTGCTATTAAGTTCTTGAAAAATGAGCAGCAACTTTTTATCTATTTCTATGTAAAGTTGGTACAGCGTCTAGCTAATTAAATCTAATTAAATCTAATTAAAATCGACTAATTGAAATTACCATCGCAATATATAAATCAGGCGTAACCATTGTTGTAATTTGTATTCCTTGCAAAGGTCACCAGTACAACTCAACCTTAAGTTGGGGAGTATTTTATATCCTGACAACGATGTAGAGTGGCGTTTGTTGCTGTTTTGAGTCCTCGCCTAGTCGCGTAACGCCTCCGCCTTCTGTCGGCCAAATTATTTGTTCATAATATTAATAGTATCATAACTATTTTGTAACTATGGGATTTGCTGCTGGAGATTCAGAAATGTAGATGATGACTGGCGATTCAGAAAAATATATCATATTTCGTTAAAATAGGCCTTGCATTGGTTGATTTAAACAATGGGTTTCTCAAAGTAACAGAAATTAAACACAGAGTGGGCCATGAACCTCCACAGTTGTGAAATACAGCTAACCACTTTTAAGACTGCTGCTGGTTTATCTCTCAGGGTCATTGTTACTTAATTCACCGGGATTATCTGAACTGGATGATTTAAAATAAGTTAACAGCAATAACGAACACTCTTACCAATCCCATTCTACACAACACAACATAACAATAATTGTTCCAGCCTCTGCGTAGCAACTTGAAGACACAAGACTTAACCAGCGAATATTAATTTTTCCATTTACCCTTTCCGTTGTTAACATACAACGTATTGAAAGCCAAAGTTCTGCAACTCCTCTTGAAATCCCAACTACATAATTTCCCTTTAAAATAACCTTTAGTTGACATTCATCACTTTAAATGTGGAGCAAATATCGCAATTGTGAAGTCAACCACAAGTCGAGTTACGAATTATTTTTTAAATAGTTTCTGAAATCGAGACTGAACTGTCCCGCTTGTTCATCCCCCCTTCCCCTCCTCTCTCCCTCGTAGCGTAACCATAGCAACTCAAAAATCTCAGTGTAAACAAACAAACCTTCATGAAGACATAAAAAAGTACGTAGAGCATTCCATTTAGAATGATGATCCCAAGGAGATACGTCGCAAAATCAGCTGGCATGTTCACTAAACCATTTATTGACCTAAAAGAAAGGAAAGTTAGAGGCTGAACTTTCAACTACCTTGCCTGCAAAAACTCATCGGAACACCTATATACTTCGTTAACATTTTTACGTTTGTTGTTTTCCGTGAGTCTAATTGATTAACCCTATCCCCTTTAAATCGGTATTGGTCACAATGCAGAACATTATACCATCGTGAGAAAAAGGTTTGTCACGTAAGTATGTTTTAACTTGACTATATAACAACATTGTTTGAAGGAAAGAGGAGAATGAGAGCAAGCGTTGGAAGTGTTTCAAGTGTTTTGTCAGTTTTCATAAGTGTTTCAAGTGTTTTGGCAGTGTTCACAAGTGTCTCAAGTGTTTTGGTAGTTTTCACAAGTGTTTCAAGTGTTTTGGCAGTGTTCACAAGTGTTTCAAGTGTTTTGGTAGTTTTCACGAGTGTTTCAAGTGTTTTGGTAGTTTTCACGAGTGTTTCAAGTGTTTTGGTAGTTTTCACAACTGTTATTAGTGGTTTGGCAGCATTCAAAAGTGTTCCTAGTATTTGGCAGTATTCAAAAATGTTCCTAGTGTTTTGGCAGTGATTACAAGTGTTTCAAGTACGTTGGCAGTGTTCACAAGCGTTCCTAGAGTTTGGCACTGTTCAAAAGTGTTCCTAGTTTTTTGATAGTGTTCACAAGTAGTTCAAGCATTTTGGCAGTGTTTACAAGTGTCTCAAGTGTGATGATAGTTTTTACAAGTGTTTTAAGTGTTTTGGTAGTTTTCACATATGTTCCTAGTGTTTTGGCAGTATTCAAAAGTGTCCCTAGCGTTTCCTAGTGCTTTGGCAGTGTTCACAAGTGTTCCTAGTGTTTTTGCACTGTTCAAAAGTGTCCCTAGTGTTTTTGCACTGTTCAAAAGTGTCCCTAGTGTTTTTGCACTGTTCAAAAGTGTCCCTAGTGTTTTGGCAGTATTCTAAAGTGTCCGTAGTGTTTCCTAGTTTTTTGGGAGTGTTCACAAGTATTTCAAAAGCTTTGGCAGTGTTTACAAGTGTTCCTAGTATTTTTGAAATGATTGTACCTAGCCAAGGTACAAACTGATTTTTCCATGACAGTCACTGCCAGTCGTCTAGAAACAATGGTATCAATCCACAAGGCTGATTGCCCTTAAAACAACATTGGGTATGGTGTATCGGTTTGGGGACCATGTATTTCAGGTGATTTTTCACATATTCAGGTAAACTTCACAAATGAAAGGCAAAAATTGTAGTAAGCTCGAAAAACAACCCAGTGTAAAAACGTTGGTGTTCCAAGTAAGACAAATTCTTTGTTATTAAAAAGTACAGTTTTCGCTTCAAGCAACTGATGTAGCTTCCAAACATCTTAGTAAGGTGAGGTCCGTTTTTGCCACAACTTGAGATGAAATCGTTTTAGATTGATATTCAGACCAGATTTTTATAGCCAATGAGATCATTTGATTCCAACAAATTTTACCCTATCTCTGAATGTTGCCTAACCGCGGTTTACTGAGTAATATGGCTACACCTTTGACCAAAAAGATAATATATTTCTCGACAAATAACAAACGCAGTAACATATCTTCATTTATAATGAAGTAAACAACAAGGTAAGGAGGTTTTAGATGTTCTGCAAAGAATGTAACTCAGCATAGACATATTACTATGTATCAGTAAAAAATGTGTATTTACTTACAAGCCACAGTTTACAACCATGAATATAAAGAGTAAGGCAAATCGATCCTGAAACAGAGACCATAACTCTCATGACGGCAAAGGAAATTGTAAGAACCCTAAACAATGCATTGCTCACACACTTTGGTTTTAATGCTTTACAATAGTTTTAATGGTTTTAATGCTTTACGAGATTTCTACAATACAAACTTCTTGCAAATTTGTTGAGAGTAACCAAGAGAAAATGTATAAAAAGTGTTTTTAAGTACGTATACAAAATGCAATATCTGCTGAGCTGAATAATTGATTAATAGGATAGATGAATCGTACCAAATCATACCAAATCATAAATTTGACAAAAACGCAGGACATTTCCTTTCTTTCAGCACATTTCCTGTTTCTCTTGGACATTGATAAAGTAAAGAAGAATGTTTTTCTGGAGTTTTGTTGTTAAAAATTGAGAAAACAGATGATTGTTTAGAAAGTTTTTTATTCAAAACTACTGGCTCAATTATTTAAGATTCTATTTACAAGGAAACAAAAAACTAACTAGATTTCAAATTTGATTAGAATTCAAAATACCTTGAATACAGGGCCTCTGCCAAAATCTTTCTTCGTGAGTATATACATATCTTTAAATGCTGAAAAAAATTAATCGTAGTAAAATCTTGAGAACTTTAATTAAAAGTTACAATTGAGTTGTATGTTACTGGGGTAAAAAGACAATGGCCAGCAGAAGATCTAAAATTTTCTTCTTAATATATAAACAAGGGAAAGGAGTGCCTTTCTAAATCATCGACTCAAAACATTACGGTGTAATTGATCCATTGTTGCAAGCAACTTGGGATTAACTTTAATAATCAAACTCACAGATGTCATAGCTCTCAAGTAACAACAAAGCTAGTACTCGACACGGTGGCTTGGGTAGAAAACCAAAGCAAAAATTTCAATATTTCACGAATAGAAAATGATTATTACCTGCTTTGACTCTACCCATGTAGTAGATTTGCAATGACAAATAAAGGCAAGTCAGCAAATGAAGTACCATAAATATGCCCCAAAAAACTTTTGAACGGAAAACCTAAAAATTAAATTTCAACTTACTACAACAAAATATATACAACAATACTATTCTTATTTCCATATCTAACAAGTTTTTGTATGAATATCAAGCAATGAATATATTAAGAATGTGGTCAAGTTTACTTCTGTTAATTATTTTCAAAACAAATACTTGATTTCTTCAAGAATAATTCACTTAAACTCGCGAATATATAGAGAAGTGGCTATTAAGATTGGCTGAGAGACAAATTGCGCAAAAAATCACGATGTCAGGTCATATATTAATGGGTCTTTTATGATAATAAAAACTAACAGCAACCATTCTTTCCATGCACTAGTTTTTGACCCCAAGACATGGCAGCAATATAACTTAATATTGTTAATAAAAGCGCGCACTAAATGACTATGGAAGCAAGTTCGCTAAATTGGCATCAATAATCGTAATTCTTCTACTACCTGAACTACTTTCAGATAATGAAAAAAGAAATATTTACTAGTAAGAATAATAAGTAATTATTAATAAGTAATAATCCTTCTCTTACGGGTTGTCTGTCACGAGAGAAATCTAATAAGCCTGTGTCTCTCCAAGCACAGATACAAAAAACATAAACACATGGCGAGAGAATAAAAAGCCAACATTTGTTCCCGCAGAATTCTAGCTATAGAATTAAAAATGAAAAAGAACTTACCACACCGATGACTGAAGTGAATATTACAATTGCAAATGAGGTGTACGCTAAATGACCATTGATAACGATGTCTTGATGGCGAATTTGGTACAGCCTGAGGCCGCCTAACAGGCCGATGATATACATGAAGGCTGTATCTGCAAGGCAGAACCCGGATGTCATTTACTAGGTATCCAACAACTAGGTATAATTAGAAATTACTCCGTAACAGATCTAATGTTAATTGATCATTACACATTCAATATAACTGGACCATAATTGCCTGACAGTTTTAAGTTAATACCCTTAACTTTCTACACTTAACCTTGATAGTTCTAAGTTTTAAGTTCCCGGTCGTTACCTAACGTGTTGTCGGCATTTGACACACTGTTCCCAGTATTGCGCTGGGCATCAAACTAGAGTAAGTTAAAGAAACAATTTTGCTCCATAAAACTAATTACTGTGTGACAAAAAGCTAAGCGCAAGATTGAGTCAAAAAAACTCACCGAACTGAAAATTTGAATAGTTTGGGCACACATGATAACAAGCGCTAAGGACTCCTTCCATGATTAGGGCAAAGCCTGTCACGAAAAATTTCATACGATTTAGAATTGGAGATGTAACAATGGGTCAATAATATAAACTTAAAAAGAATTTTCTTCGGTCTTAATTTCAAGTCAAACAATTAAATTAATAAAGTTTATATCTATAATGACGATAGAGATAATAAGGGAAAAAAGAAAAAAAAGACAAAGAAAGAAAGAAATGAGTCCTCCAATATATTAGCAGTAAGTTACTAGTCATTTGTGTAGGTAAGGATAACAAAATGTCTAAGTGGAAGAGTGATTACAATGAAAATTGATAATTTGCTGAGCAATGATCATAAGATGCAATATTTGGACATTACTATTCACTTGTAAGAAACTCAAGGCAGGATAAGCTCGGGAAAACCCCGAGAGCAACTCCGAGTCACTGCGGGTAAAACTCGGAATGTGGCGACTTTCAAATAAAGTGATTCATCAAAGAGCTTACCCATAGCGTAAAGTATACCAAAATGACCAGGGATCCCGTGCATCTAGAAGTTTGAACAATAAAGTTTCAATTCAACTCAGGTACACTACAACGGCAAACCTCTCTTTTACGGTAGTTAGTAGCTGTAAAACCTGAATTAACAAGATAATTCTTAGTGCAAAAAGAAAAAATATGTAGTACGTAGTACGAATGGTAATACTGGAAAGTTTAGAGACAATAGGTGTTGTTTATCGGTAGAGAGAGATTAGTACAGTCTGATGCATAATGATTATATATTGATAGCAATATCTTCATATGAAAACTTGCACAGCAAAAAGAATCGGTCGCTCTCAATCAAAGAACTGTTAACCTTGTTTTATTTAAACATATGATTTAGAGAAATATGACTGCAAGTTACAAAAATCCATTCGTAAAAATAAGTTAAAAGAAACAAATCCCAATAGTAACTCTTGCACTAAAGCATTGATGTTATGGTAAATGCACCTTACAACAAAAGATAAAGATATATAAAATATATATCAACATAGAAAGTAGATCATCAGATTTTATTTAATTCCATTACAACTACAAGAAAAACTTTAAGAAATAAAGATATCACCACATTACATTTTCCAAATAAGAATACCCAATGAAACAAAAAGCAAATCTTCTAATGCAACATTAGGTCAAATCAGTTTTAATTTGTAAGTACCTTCTTCAAGGAAGTAATTTTGTAACTTCATGTTATATACTGAAGAACCCAACCCCCAGCCCCCACCCCCAGCCCCCCTCCTTAGTGCTACAATTTCAGCCACGACGAAACAGAACTTCTCAATCTTACCTTCTCACGTTCAGGATCTTTAACATATTTTTGCTTAGCAAGGCGATCCCTTTGAGAAAAAAAAGATTTCTGTTTTCTAAACCAATCTTGATTCATTATAAACCTTCCAGAACAAAGTTTTTCGCGAGCCAAGTAGGTTAGTAAACTATAAATACATTTATAAAAAATATTTCTTACATTGGCAATCTGTTTAAATTATGAAATTTTCTTGAATCTCTTAAATCTGCCCTTCTAATAGGCGTAATCATTACGTTTCCAGGTAGCATGATATCATAACAGGTATGTTAACTGCCCAAAAAGTGTTGTCTTTGCACTGTTCATATTTTCACAATGGCATTCTAAGTCTGTCCCTGGTTTGTTGTCTTACCTTCGCAGAACTATAAGCAAGAATAGAATTCCAAGCATGATGTATCCAATGTTGCTATACACATTGTTAAATGCGCTGAAAAAAATCACGATCAATGAGTTTATTGGCTTCAAAACAAGGAAAACTTTCTCATTACCTGCACAAAAATCATCTGTATACAGGCTCTACAGAAGTGATGGCATCATTCTTTACAAAATTTCAAGGGCTTTGCATAACAAAAATAATTTGCAGGGACAAAATTTGACAAATTAGCTTATTCTAACTGCTGATTGGTTTTAATTGCACGAACATTACCTACAAATTCTGAAGTACTTACTAACTAATGTTATTGGACATAGACATATTCTTATTTGGGTAATACTCCAAGGCCTAACTACATTTGCTGCACATGCTCTCTACCACGTCTCACCTTAATACCCCTAGCTGCCTGGCACATAGGAAATTGTAATAGCAGATGTCTTGATCTCCACTGGTATTGACAACCCTTTGGTATGTAATCACCAACTGAATCACGGGAAGGGCATAGAAGATTGCGATTGTAATTATATTCCTAGAAGAAAATTATAAAACGAGCTTGAAAACGAGGTGATCATGAACATTCCATGCAGGAATCATAAAAAATCGTTGCTTTCCTGCATGTCTGATAAAATTAACGAAGAGAACAAAACGACAAAATAACGATTTCCCCTGAAAAGGGCCGGATAGAAGCCAACACCAAGTAAAGGAAACAAAAAAGATCCACTGACCAATAATAAACGTTGAATCTTTTTCGAAGTTTTTTGTAAGTCTTCTTCGTAATATCAGTCAAGTATAACGTTCGCTGAGTGAGGTAAATTGAGATAAATTGAGGTTAAGACTGACAATCAGATCACAAGAGCTTTACAAGAGATAAGACTGATAAAAGACAATCCTTTGGTGGTACAAAACTTGTAAATGGCTTTGAAAAAAGCAAACATTTAGTAAACTAAAGCTTTTCGTCTGACACTCTTCAGAGTAAAAAACGTCAGAATATAGATCGAAAACTCTACGCTAAGAAATATATATACCCAGTTGTGGATCGAAATAGGCCAATCAGAAACACGAGCACATTATTGTAAAGGTTGACCAATCAGTGCCGCTTGCCTATTAGAATGTTACCAGTGGAGTCCTAAGGATTTTCAAAACAGAGGCTGAGTGTGATACTTTCCTACAACGCCTTAATGGCCTTCACACAGCCCTACATTTTACATTTGAAAAGGAAGAAAATAACTCCTTGCCATTTCTGGATGTTTTGGTTGAAAAATCTGACACTGGATTTCTCACCAGTGTAAACTGTAAACCCACATTTTCGGGGTTATACACTCGATGGAGTTCGTTTTGCCCAAAACAAAGAAAAATCAGCCTCATCAAAACGCTTACACATAGGGCACTGATGATTTGTTCCAAGTCTAAACTCGACTCGGAACTTGAAAAAGTAACTAAGATTTTTCTGGAGAACGGCTATCCAGAAGATGTTATTTCAGTTTACATTAAGGAGAAGATAGGAAATTTCTCGGCTGACGTAAAATTTGGTCCTCAAAAGTGCCCGGTCTATCTAAAACTATCCTGGATCGGTAACAGCTCCCTACGTTCTGAAAGCCAATTAAAACAGGCCATAACAAATTGTTTCTTCGCGGTTAACCCACGTGTTGTTTATAGTACAAAAAAGGCCCTTCCGTCCATTCAAAAGGACTGCGTTCCTGCCACAAAAATATTCTGTTGTTTATGAATTTACGTGCCAGTGTGAATCTGGCTACGTAGGACGCACCACCCAAAGATTGGAGGATAGGATAAAACAACACGTTCCATCTAATATTAGAAACAAAACACATCCCCAAAGAGAACAGCCACTACGGTCTTGCAAATCTAAAATTACAACTAAAACCTGCGATTCTGCTATCGGGCAGCATTTGCTAGAAAACCAAGATTGTGCAAAAAACTATAATGGCGACATGTTTCGGATAATTGGTAAGCCCGATCGTCGTTACACCTAGCAGTTTTAGAATCTATCTACATAAGCACGAAAAAAACCGCTACTGTGTAGACAAAAGGAGTTCGTTTTCACCTTAGGACTCCACTGGTAACATTCTAATAGGCAAGCGGCACTGATTGGTCAACCTTTACAGTCATGTGCTCGTGTTTCTGATTGGCCTATTTCGATCCACAACTGGGTATATATATTTCTTGGCGTAGAGTTTTCGATCTATGTTCTGACGTTTTAAACTCTGAAGAGTGTCAGACGAAAAGCTTAAGTTTACTAAATGTTTGCTTTTTTCAAAGCTATTTGCTGTAAAAAGAGCTTTACATTCAAACATTATTGTATCGCATTGATAAGTAAGTAAGCTCCATAATTATTTCCCATGGAAACTAGATAGTAGTAACTAAGTTGATTAATCAACAGAAAGGGACTTTGAAATGAAGTTAGCAACGGAAAAATTTCAGATAAATATCTTCACAATGTTTTGGTTCATTTTTAAGTTTTTCCCACAAACCTTGGTGCAATTCAAGACGGAAATTGACAATCCATAGAAGAAATTATTTGAAATATAAAAAGGATCGGTCAGAAATTTAGCTACAGTAGGTTCCCGCATATAAGAAACCACTTTTTGAATTGAGGTCTCAGAACGTTTCTTATTTTGAGATACATTTTTATAATCAGGGTAAAAGTTTCTTATTTATAGGTTACACATTTTTTAAAGGAGCAACTAAGCTTTAAGTGTTGGACCGTGTTTGGTTATGCCAAATTATGTTTTAAACACTACATTGCATTACAAAATTTAGGGGATTTTTTTTGGCATACAATAATAAAGTATGACGGATCTGAAAATAAGAAACATTTCAATTTCAGACCTAAAATTGTTTCTTATTAAAGGAGCCCATTGGAAAGAATTTGAGCCTGGTTTCTTATACAAGGGGGTTTCTCATATGCGGGAACCTACTGTACTACGTCTTGAGCAAGTTTTAATTGGCATTTTGAAATACATCGTAACAGGTACTACAGTGGGCTTCTTCATTGGACCTTTGAAGCGGCTGGTTACATATAATCGTTATCTGATAGGTAACTAATGGAGGGTGGGTCAATCACAACAGCCAAACATAGAAAGAAAGCCAATACTTCATATACATAAAGAAATCGTTCTCGTCTCGTACCCCAGGGCAATTACTGACTGGTGTTACTGATAGCTCGTTCATGACATAAGTATCTAATTTCAAATCATATAGGACATTGGATTTACATAGGCTTTCATTAACATAGTTATTCGATAAAATGTATCTTTCTCATACATAGAGATATATTACATGGAGATTAGTGGCCCTAGCTCCAATTTACGTCATCATGATAGCATAAGTAGCGGTAGATCTACATCAGGATAGAAAATGCTAAGACAGACTGTTCTGAACTGATAGCTGGATTAAACTGGTGTTTTATTAAGAGATTGATGTACCTTTAGCCTGTAAATGTCCTTGTGCTTGTCGATATCATCCAGCAAATCGTAGTCACCATCAAGTTCAGACACCCCTCGTGTCGGCTTCGGAGTTGCCCCCGGGTCAATTTGACTGACATTCTGCAGCTCCTCTGATCTAGACTCACGGCTTAAGCCTGCAAAAGAAACTGATGCAGACTGAACGAAAGCTAATCCTTAAACAATCATACTCCTATAACACTACCTGCAAAAGCCCCTAATTTTACTGCTTTGAAGCACGGTTCTTGGTGATTTCTATTAAAAGACTGTCAAAATCTCTGTAAGACTGCAAGACACTTTACCTCTTTCTACACTACCACCTACAGGCATTGCCACCATAGTCAATAGAAACGCGTTTCTATAGACTATGTTGCCACTAACAGCATCATGATTGGTCCTGAGCCAGCTTTCGGGCCCCTTTCAGTCTAGCTGCACTGATGATCCCTGATATGGTGCGAAACCGGCCTACAGCCGACTGTTTGGGGTGTCAGTGGTTTTTACTGACTCATACCCATATTCTAATTGATACTCTGTTATGCACCAAACAATTACCAGGAAGCGAAGGCACGACAGACAGCGAGAGAATTGTTGAAAAATTAAAATAACACATATGAAGTTACAAAAGAGATTCAACAGTTAACAAGGAGTTAGTTAAAGCCTTACAAGAACAATGGTAATATTTATTCTAATTTTTAATAAATGATGACGTACCATTGTCTACGAGACCATATGTCTGCATATCTGCAGTTGGTGAGCAGAGACGCCGCCCTTCTCCATCCTCTTCCATCTTTTCATTTTTCACTGCAACAAACCCGACAAAACAATTAGAAGATCAATTAGAATACACAGAGCAAATCTTCAAAAACCAAAAACGAATTGATAGATTTGAGTTATAAAGCATAGAAAGATACAGTGTTTGCTTCAAAAGAATCTCATTTCAAAGAAAGAAAGGATTTTTTCAACGTAGCAAATATATTTTGAGCAAACGAGTAACACACCTTTAACTTTGGATGGCAGTAGATAAGCAAAAAATGAACGCCCGCCATCATCCGCTCTGCAAAAAATATCATTTCAATGGTTCACGATTGAAAGACAAAGTTTCAAAAATTGAATAGCAAAGAAAATAAATATTCCTTTAATAATGTCCATCAACTATGCTTTAATATCGATACCTTTTGCAGAATATTTTTGGACCAACTTATAGGCAATTTACACTCAAAGACAATAAAGTGACAACTCATGATAAAATGCGAGGAATGATCGACCAACATCATCTTAAAGAGGAGGAAAAAGCAGTGGTGCAATTTATTTAGCCGATCAGTTATGCCACAAAACCATTATGCAAACAGATTGATTCACAAATATAAATAAATATCCAAGCAATTCGCAAAGCAAAAAAATTCTTCAGCTGTTTCTTGCAGAGTACAAAAGGGAAAACTGTTCACATTTAAACTCTCCAACTAAATTTTTTGCTTGGAAAGATAACTTCGAAATAAGATGTTTTGGATTCTTTGTTTGATTTGTCCTATTGGCAAAATTAATAACAAGAATGTCAGATTAATAAGTTGTTTATAAAGCCTTGGCACTATTCTTTTATCTTGGAAGTAAATACAACCAAACATTAAAAGAAAGTTCCAAAGCTTGTAAAATAGGGATCGTGCAGTATGACCTACCTGCACCAGGAAATGATAATTACAATCAAAGTTATCATATAAAAGCTGCCATAGATCAGCACTGGTGCGATGATTGCTGGAATGTAGTCATCATCTGCAAAAAAACAGAATTATTGGCAAAACTTGTCTATAAAAATAAGGACATACGCTTAAATACAGTAGAGGTAGACGCGTAGTATGCAGGTTTTGACTGGGTTTGAAGGAATTTCCTGGAATAGTAAATACTGCAGCATCATAGCATAGTGAAAAGCATGATCAACTCCTAGAAATTATCTGCGGGAGGGGGGCAGGACACTATTCTCTGCAGCACCATTCCATCCGGCGCTAAATTCTCTCGTAGAGGGTAGAAAGATCTCAAAAGTGTTGAAAGCTTTGATAAAGGTACGTTTTCCATTAGATTGTTCAGAGACCTTTGAAATAAAATTTACAAATCATATATTTATTTATACAACATAAACATCAACCTGATGGAAGCTTCTCCAGGCGAATGGTAAAGTTCTTGAACCTTGTTAACGATGCAAGTTTGGCAGCTACAATTAATGAATAAACATGGGTTATCATCAAATAAGGAAGAGAAACTCAAAGCATAGCATCTTTTCTTTGCGTTCAAATCATAGCAATTCAGCTAATATTTTCTCAATAAAAAACTTTAGCCAGGGAAAATTATTGCAATCAAAAAGGATTGAAATACTGTTCTTAGAATTTGAATAAAGAAATGGGTAAAGATTTTAACACAAAATGGATATATAATATAAGTTATCATAAATAATGTAAGTTTTTTTGCTAGTCAGCCTTTTTTCTGTTCTTCATAGACAAATCACTTATTTCTTTGTAAAATCTCCATTGTGTAAAGTTCAAATTTCAATCACGTTATCTACAGTCTTGGCAAAGAAGTTTTCTAACAAAAAGGAAATCGAATGTTTTATATTTATATCATATTTAATGCAATGATGACCCATAACCTGAAGTCAACATTGGGTAAGATGATTAGGGAATAGTTATTCAAGGCGTTTAGTGAATAGACCACAGCCAATACTGACCATGCCGAAATCTGCAATGGGCGATATCGTATTAAATTTGCTATAAAACTCATTTCTAACTTTATCATTTGCTGAAAGAAAGAGTGCCGTCAAAAAGGGTAGGCTGAGCCCCTGTATTGACACCACACAACTTTTGAATATATCTATCCTAATTTAACCAAGCCCCGCCTGCCCCACCTAGCCCCATCCTTTTGTCAAAGAGAATACACAGTTGAGAAAGTCTAGCTACACCACTGGCTCAATGACTCTCATTACAACATTAGTTTGTAGGAGGGTCTTCGAAGACTGATACGTATTCAGAAATTGTCAATGGTACTTTAGTATTATTAATCAGATGAGATTCGATATTCAACTTCTCTCTGGAATGGAAAACATCATTTTTAGATCTTGCTTCAAGCTTTAGGTCTTTAATCTCCGATCTCGTTTATTTTACTTACCTTTAATATCAAAGAGCCCACAGCGCATCATCGAGAAATACAAATAATTTGGAAATATACAGTATTTTATAGTCTTAAGACTGTGACTATGTAACGAGTATAAAGCCTCCGCAAAAGTACGCAATCATGTAAGTGGTAACCATCTTTGAATGATGTTTAAAAGACCTTATGGGGTTACATATGCACCCTATATGCATATAACAAAAATAATTACTAAAAGGCACAATGCTGACAAAAAGAAAAACCTTTGAATGGGTACATCGAATTTCCAGGAGTTTCCAATGTATCGTCTCGTTTAAAAGGATTAATGTCCCCTTTGTGAACAAGGCAATCTGTATCTTTGTCCTTAACAAGCAAAACGACATAAAAGCTCTCTGTGCGAATCATCTTTTTCTGGAAAAAATACCATAACAAATTACACATTAAAAGTTCTTCCAAAGGACACATTAAACGACAAGTTGGTCTGCAATAAAACAGAAGGCCAAATCCTTTGAAATATTTATATAAAACTTTTCAAAGTATTTTCTATATTAGTCATTCAAGAATACAGCAAAATATGATACAACGTATTTTGTTGAATGTGGTAAATTACCGAAACAGAGATTGCAGCCTTTGTTGTTATTGTGGCGTATAACCCGTTGAAGTCATTTGTCCCTTCCTCAAATATCGGACACTGTAAAAGAGGGAAGTTTTCTGTAAGATTCCCAATTGATAGGCACGCATTAAAAACATTGTGACGATATTCTCATTACGCATTGAAACAGCTATACAAAAGAAATTCGAGATAAGGATAATGCAATGAAGGAACGCTGGTATCATATGCTTTTCATTGCATAAGAATAATTGCAAAGGTGAATGAAGCTCTGATGGTCATAACTCGATGCTGTTGGGCCTAAAATTGTACTTTTAAGAATACAAAGCATATTTTAAGAGGACCTCTATTTGACTGAAATACCTCTTTATTTAGTTTATAATTATTCTATTGATAATTTATTAATAGGAACTTTTTTCAAAAATGTTGAAACACTAACACTGGCTTGCAGGACCAGGAAATGTGTTATGGTAACAGTCAGTCAGAAGTAAAACTGCTATTTATCACTTAAGCATATTTAAGTTCAGTGCATGTTGAAAAAGTAATAAACAAAACATGAATACACTGCCGCAATTAGTACGATAAGCTCTTACCTTTGAATTTTGAACTAATATCATGCCGCAGTTTGTAGATCCTGATGTAACTTTTACAAGCACTCTGTCGACATTTGCTTCAAATTTGTATCGAAAGTACTACGGTTGAAATTTAGCAATAAGCATTGCAAAAATAAAGGAAAACGGAGATTCAAGAAGTATAAACATATAAGAAGTAATTCAAATAAGAAGAAGTAATCCTAATACCTTTACTTTGTGATCAATTGCTACAGAGCAGATTTTCAAAACATTTTTCATATACTTCAAGGGATAAAAATCTCCATAGATAGGATCCACTATTTCACCCAATGAAGCACCTATGCATCCCCTTTCAGTTCATTTTATAGCTAAGGTTTCAATCCGTTGGAGATGTTATTTAAGTGGTTGTCCCAGAAGATGAAGTAATAAATTCGGAACTTCACCAACTGAATATAGTTATTAACCATATTTAGTTTTCTGGCTACTTTAATTATCTATAAAGAAAAAATACCACAGGTTCAGCAGGATCTACTTGTACCATTGTGCCTTCCCTCTCATTAACACTAAAAGAAAAAGCATAGTAGGGTGCTGTCATTACATTGTATTGTATTGTGTTGTATTGTATTGTATTGAATTGTATTGTATTGTATTGTATTGTATTGTATTGTATTGTATTGTATTGTATTGTATTGTATTGTATTGTATTGTATTGTATTGTATTGTGTTGTATTGTATTGTATTGCATTGTTTTGTATTGTTTTGTATTGTACTTTATCATATTGTGTTGTATTTGATTGAAATGCATTGTACTGTATTGTATTTTATGTGTTGTATTTCATTGTAATGTATTGTACTGTAATGTATTGTATTGTATTGCATTGTATTGTATTTATTTTAAAGAACTGCATTATGTTATACCATATTACATTTTATTAAAAACAGGGCTTTGTGGGAAAAATATAGCTGGCATGCTAACAACCACACACCTAAGTCATCCAGCCATGCTGTAACGTGAAATTTTCTTTGCAAAAAATTAATGGTAATGATGGCTGATCTATGCAGAAATTGCCAACAACAAAGATATCAGCAATAATTTTGATAATATAGTCTCTGCTGAATTCTCGAAACTTTCAGTGCAATCTGCAAATGATCTCATTGCAACTGCGACTTCTCCTTTGCAACACAATACAATACAACACAATACAATGGTTGACAATTTGTGTCAGATGTTTTGCATAAACTTTGCACCAAATTTCTATAAAACACACTTTTTGCTACCAACCTCTTTAACATGACATCAAATAACATTGCTTTTGTTGAAGGCTGTTTTGATATACCTTTTTTCTTCCAGGGGCAGTTACCATAATCAAAAACTCAAATTTGAAATTTTTTTTTGGGTTTTTTTGAAGTGGCATTTATTCTACAAATTTCACAAAAGAAGGATCAACATTTAAACTCCTCACAAAAATTCACAAAATTAATCAGTAAGATTATTGCAATCAAAATAATTGTAAGTATGCAATATTTTGCAAACCTGGAAAGCAGCAGTTATCACATGGGATTTTAAGGTATTTCTTGAAAAGCTTGTAAACATATCTTATTATGCAATGTTTTGTATTGTATATTTAGGAATTACATCTTCCTTACATAAAATTTTCCACTACTTAATCCCCAATTTTTAAAAAACAATGGTCAAAAAAAGAATGTAAATCCTGAATGTGATAAAAGAAGAATTAAAGCAGATTCAACTAAACAAGTGTTTGAACTCACCGTAAAGTAAAATGCTCAACGATATTAGCAGTGAGGCTGTACTGAATGGGGATAAAGCTTTCGGTTGAAACATCCACATAAAAATATGGCATTGCAGTTCGGTTTTTATTCAAATTCAAGCTTGGACATAGTGACCTACTCACATAGTGAAATATTGTCCTAACAAAAGAAGAAAAGGGTATCAAACATTTAAAATAAGATGAATGAAAAATAAAGAAAAATAGAATATTGAAGCCAAATGCACTAGTGATCAAGGAACTTTTGCTGTAATTAATGTAATTCAATTTTTAGATGTGAAACTGGGGAAAGCAACTTAGAACAATCCTGTTCTAAACACAAAAAGGGTGTACACCTTTAAGTCATCCAGCACTTTGTGACAGATGGGTAAACAATTATTGTCATTAATATCAACAATATATTGAAAGAACAAGGAAAGGTTTTCATAAAATTTCTCCTCAGAAGCTTTCACTTCACAATAAAGGATTAGATGTTTGAATAAGATATTACAATATTTACAACTGGTGTGGAGATTCTGAAGATTCTGAACATATTTAATCAAATACATCAACAGCAGGGCTTTCATGTTCAGAAATAAACATGTGGGGCCAAAAACTTGCATGATAAGAGTGGGGTGTGAAAATCAGATTCATTTTTTAACACAAAGCAGTAAATTTGTTTTCTATTAAATCATTAAATGTGAGAAAACTTTTAATAAATGAGCTGAATGCTACACATTGTATAGTTATGTTCATGTTCAATGGGAAGAGCAAAAATCAATTCATTGGAGAACAGAGTCATTTAAAAATGAATTGTATCAATGAGCAAATCGAAAACGTCAATTGAAAACAAATTCTTTCATCTTCAGTTTCAAGATAAGCTCAAGCAAAGGATATGAAAAAGGACAAACGGCCTCTAAAAAGAATTTCTCAAGTGGAATGACCTATCCCCATCCAGTAATTGCGCTCTCCAAGAGAAATATTTATCACTGGGTGTGTGACTAATCACTCTAAAAGATCATATGGGGCATGTGCCTGCACGCTCGCACGCTATCGCATGCCCCCCATTGAAAGCCCTGCAACAGCATTTTATCAACCAAACATTAAGCAACAGAATTTATCTACAAACCCATCACTTAAGGCAAATGGGACAGTCCATGATCGCACTCCTTTAACCATTCGAACCACAAATAATACAGGAAAGTCTGCATTTGCAGAAGTACTCTTCACTGATAGCCTTATTGCCTGGAAAGGTGATAAAAAAATTGCATATGGAGGAAATCAATATTTCAATAGAAAAAAATCAGATAATCTTTTGACATGTTTTATGAGACATAACACCTTTTGTCATAAATACTAGCAGGTTCAGATATAATAAGCATTTACCTATGACCATATTAGTCTTCGGTGTGGAATCATTTCTAACTTACTTCAAAAGTCTTTAATCCATCAAAATACCTCTATAAATGTAAGACATTAAGTAAAGTTTTAATGTCAAGTCAAGACATCAAAATACAAGCAAAACCTAGCATGTTTTGTTCCTGATCACCAACAGCATCTCTTTTTCGTAAAACTTAACATTTTACTCAACATGATACAATTTTGGCTTAAAATCTGCAGGTTGCTGTTACAAGTGGTCTGTCAAAAGATACTTACTGATAGGCTACCAAAAGGATTTTTTATTTTCTAGCAACAACTCTTTAAGGACTTTAGCCACTTTTATCTAATGATTCAGGAAATAGGCCCAAAAATACATCCATAAAAAGATGTCTGCCATGGCGGAACCATTTTTTCTTTAATGGTTATGGTCAACTGGGTATGGTCGATAGCTAATGTTTCCAAATGACTCTTTTAAAATCATTGTTGTAACTGAACTGGCTGACTGATGGCATAATTGGTTAGATATGTCAAATGGGTCGAAAAAATATTTGGTCGAAAAAATGCAGTTGAGATAATGTATCAACAGTTGGATAGGTCGAAGAAATATTTCAAAAAATGTAGCTGAGATAATGTTTCGTTCAAAATAACGTAAAAAACTATTGAAAAAAAAGTAAGACATGGGTCATTAGTTCCTTCTGATTAGAAAGGCAAGATCAACCGAACCGATCTAATGTGATATTCAGAGCGTTAAAGAGTCATATTATTTTCCAAAATAGGTATAACTTTCCGTATATTGAGAAGTTTGAAATGGTTATCTTACACTTTGCTCTCCGTGCGTAGCAATTGTAGAGTTAACATGGTACATATCCTCCATAAATCTTGATACTTCGCCTCCATATGTTGTCCCAAGACTAGCGTTTATCATCTTTGTGAAGACCCTTGCTTCATTATAGGTATACAAAGCAGATAATGCCAGCAGCTCCAAAAAATGGCGAATCAGCATCTTTAGTTATCAAATTAAGTAACGCATCAAAACAGCGACACTTGAATCGTAAGAACGTACTCAGAG